CAAGCCTGGGCTTACTGCTTCCTAGCTAGGCTTGTTACATAATGATGATAAAATTGCCTTTTTGAATTTTCTAAAACATGTTTTAAATCCAGTTACTAGATACAAATTGCTTCAACAAAGTTAAGAATATCAAACACTTTTGTACAAGTGTAGTTGCCTAAGTTCAGCATTGATTTTAAAGAACTTTGCTTTCAGGGATCAAGGATATGTCCGTCCTGATATTTTCAAATGGTTATAAACTGATAATTGATCACAGCAGGTTGGCAACTCTGTTACATTCATATTATTGGGAGAACACATTTATCAAAGATCAGAATGAATGAGGTTACTACGTCTTTGAATTGATGCCAGTTATGGCCAAGGTTGTACCGTAATTACCTGACAATAAGCCCAACCAAGTCTGGTAGTAAGCCTACACTTGTATATTGATGTTCAGTAGAATCCTATTTTTCTGTCCTGTAATGGGTTTGTTAATCTGACAATAAAACCTATGCAAATTCAGTAACAGGTCCACCCATATATATTGATTATCTTTAACTGATGTTTATTGTCCTGTCATAGTGGGACCCATATTTCAACCTAGTTAAAAAGTCCATACTTGATAATAAGCTCACCAGTATTGATTATTACAAACTAATGTCACTTTTTGTTCTTTATTAAACCCATTCCCTGACATTGAATGAGAAGAGAGTGCTGACACATCGAGGTCCTGTAAAAATCCACCACCCACCCCCCCTCCCCCCCCCCTCCCCCCCCACTTAACTTTGAGTAAGAGGTAATGTGTTGAATCTTAGGGTCCTGTAAAACGTCCACCACAACTTTGGGTACGAAATAATGTGTTTCTCCCTGCAGTCATGTAAGAAACCCTTCCCCAGATTTTGAGTAAGAAGTAATATTTGTTGCCCCTGGGGTTGTGTTATAAGCCCATGCCCAGACTTTGGGTATGTGTTGCCCCTGGGGTCGTGTTATAAGCTCATTCCCAGACTTTGGTTATGTGTTGCCCCTGGGGTCCTGTTATAAGCCCATCCTCAGACTTTGGTTATGTGTTGCCCCTTGGGGTCGTGTTATAAGCCCATCCCCAGAATTTGTGTATGTGTTGCCCCTGGGGTTCGGTAATAAGCCCATTCCCTTTTACTTTAATGAGTTGCGTCGACTGCGTGGTTTATTTCAGAATATAAACGGTATAGAGGGCCAATCTGAGCCTGATGTTTATTAGATCTGACAAAAACTCAGTCACTATTACATCGCATTATCCTATGGTATTCGTTGTAACGACCAATATTAACAGCCATTGACAGAAGGCAGCTCTCACAGTTATGACAACGTCAGACAGATCATGAATGCTTTCCAAGTGGTGGCCAACTTCAGGGGCCAATAAATTCTCACCTACGATGGTATATAGTCAGTCAGGAATACATGTGACACATTTACCTCAGATTACGTGGACGATCTTTAAGAAAGTCATGACGATCTTCAATACAATGGCTTTTGTTGGCAACTGTAATCGGGGAGCTCCACCTCTTAAGGTTTAGTTCAGATAAATCGTATATTCCAGAACAAAAACAGCTGAATTTGGTTTCTGTGTATGGCAGGTTGTTGACCCAGCTGGCTTGACTGATTTCCCAATCCAATACCTTATACTGTGATGTAATATGTAATCAGGATATTGAACCGACTTGAATTGAATTGTTAACCTCTGATGTTGAAAAACAAACTGATACACAACAAGAACAGCTTTGTTGTCTACATATGTAACCAAAAAAAGCATTTCGTCCTTGATGTCAACTGAATTCCAGCCAGTTTGATAAGACATGAAAGCTGTCCAACTCCACCATATTGTGTCGAGATGATGTAGACAAAGTGACGTTATGATAATTACGTAGCATATTCAGATTTAAGAGCTGTCCAACTCCACCAGATCGCGTGATGATGATGTAGACATTCGTGACATGTACGTGTAAAACATGCTTAGAATGACAATGCTGTAATGTTATTTTATAAGAACTTTTCTGATATAATATTATGTAGATGTTTTCTGTCCCTCACTGTAATGAACTGGTGATGATATAGGCACTCCTAATCAATATACATTTACACAGAAATCAAGGAAGTATTCCAAAATTCCCCAATGACAGGTAATGGTCAACTTGTATGTAGTGCGAAGCCTTGTATCTTTCGTAAATATTTTTCGACGAGGTGTTACTATATATTTCGTGTCAGCACCTGTATCTATATATAGACAAAGTGCTTACATAGCCAGACAGTGGCAGCTCCGACAAGTGCAATCAAGCGTGATGATGATGATGCTTTCCCTGAAGCATGGGTTCGAAATGCACTTGTGACAGGGGATGATTTCTGCTTGGTTAGAATCATTTCAAAACTGATGTCACATTGATTTTTCTTGTGGGTCCAAGTCGGCATTTGTTCTCACAGATCATAAGATTGCAGTTCAATACAGGTTACTGAATACTGTTTGGAAATCAAATTATTTTAACAGAACACAAATTTTGTGGCTTTTCAGAAAAATACTGTTTTGTGGGAATTTGATTTTGCGGATCTTATCAGTGTGCCGGAAATCAATTTTATTTTAAAGAATGTCAATTTTTGGATACTTTAGTACGTTGTAGATTTGCTGTATAAACAATTACCACAAAATAAACAAAATACATTCTCCAAGAAAATCAACGATTTTTTCAGTGTTTATAGAATTGGCAGTATTTATAGTTATTGTGGAAATTCTCACAGGTACCGTATGTTTGTTATTAAGTTGCAATTTCAAATCTTTTTTTCATCCTTGACTGTTTTTTGTGATCTCCTTATCTTGTTTTTCTCAAATCTGTAGATAACATTGAAATATCATTGATTGGTAAACTTGATAATGAGATCTAGTTCACCACAATCTTGGCCACCTCCAATCTGGGTCACCTCCAATCTGGGTCACACTTAATCAAGGTCACCTACAATTTAGGTATCACCTTTTTTCAGTTAAACCTAAAGTTTGTCTGGTCTCACCTAGGTTAATTATCATGAAGACTGTAGACTGTAAAACCATGATTGTCCTTGCTGTGTGTCATGAAATATATCACATCTGTCCAATCTATATCAATATTGTCCACCTGTTGAGCTTCGAGCCTGTGTTCACTAGGTGGGCGTCGGCATTACAGCAATACGGAAGCTGATGATAACTGGGGATTCACATGACACAACTTACGTCTAACCCTATTGGGGATGTCAGTAACTTTACAACACAGTAAACCTTACAAATCGCTTACAATTAGATTAGTTTGCAGTCGAAACTTGTTCTCACAGTGACTACAGGGAGACACAGTCAAATTTATGTAGTGTCATATACACCAGAAAATCAATGCGCTTAACTCCATTTCAGTACAACTCACCAAAATTCCTCATCTTTGCTGATCGTCATCATCATTATAAAGTCACATCAAATGATGATCTCCATGGCTGTAAATATCATCAATCTTTCTGTCTTCTCTGATTATAAATTATGACATATCAATTTGGATCTGACTACACTGATGATTGTTTTCTTTTCCTTACGTCTTTGGAAATAGATTTACGATTCAATTACTGAGTCCAGGACTACGGATATACTCTAACATTGGTCATATGACCTGTCTGACTAAGGATGTGGTTTGTAACCCATTCGTTGTTGTAAGCATCAGCAGCTTTAGTAACAGTGGTCATAAAGGGCACAAATTGTAATCAGACTGTGGCTCAATAACTGACAGAGGCTCAGTTATTGTCAGGGGCTGTTATAACCAATATGTGGCTCAGTTATTGTCAGGGGCTGTTATAACCAAAATGTGGCTCAGTTATTGTCAGGGGCTGTTATAACCAAAATGTGGCTCAGTTATTGTCAGGGGCTGTTATAACCAAAATGTGGCTCAAATAGTAATGGTGGCTGTTACAAACAAAAGGTGGTTCAGTTAGTAATGGTGGCTGTTACAAAAAAAAGGTGGCTCAGTTAGTAATGGTGGCTGTTACAACCAAAATGTGGCTCAGTTAGTAATTGTGGCTGTTACAACCAAAATGTGGCTCAGTTAGTGATGGTGGCTGTTACAAACAAAATGTGGCTCAGTTAGTAATGGTGGCTGTAGATGGGCAGTGGCTATGTGACCATGACACAAAGCAATTATAACCAGAATGTGGCTCAATTCCAGACAGTGACTCTGACCTAACTTTAGCTATAGCTACTTCCTGAGGCTCAGTTATTGTCAATTACTGTATAGAAAATGTGGCTCAGTTACAAACAATTTAAGTAAATTAAAAGTGACTGTAACATAACAGAGGTTGCCAGGTGACAGTGACTATTATACAAATGACTGTGACTCTATAGCAGGTACTGGCTGCAACACACAAAAGCTGTAACTGAAAGTGGCTGTAACCTAGAGTGGCTGTAACTGTCAATGGTTCTAATGGACAGTGGTTGTAACTATCAATTGCTGTAACTGAAAGTGGCTGTAACTGTCAATAGTTCTAACAGACAGTGGTTGTAACTATCAATTGCTGTAACTGAAAGTGGCTGTAACCTAGAGTGGCTGTAACTGTCAATGGTTCTAACAGACAGTGGTTGTAACTATCAATTGCTGTAACTGAAAGTGGCTGTAACTGTCAATAGTTCTAACAGACAGTGGTTGTAACTATCAATTGCTGTAACTGAAAGTGGCTGTAACTGTCAATGGTTCTAACAGACAGTGGTTGTAACTATCAATTGCTGTAACTGAAAGTGGCTGTAACTGTCAATGGTTCTAACAGACAGTGGTTGTAACTATCAATTGCTGTAACTGAAAGTGGCTGTAACTGTCAATAGTTCTAACAGACAGTGGTTGTAACTATCAATTGCTGTAACTTAGAGTGGCTGTCACTTTTAAGTTCCTGTCTATGATAAAGAAATATTTTCAATGAAACATTAATGATGATGAAATATTTCAAAATTAATATTAGTAATTAGAAGTGTTTTTATGTTTTGTATTTTACAGGACCCCAACGACTTGGTAGATGTTGGAGTAGTAGAAACAGTTGTAAGAAATGCCATCTGCTTGACCTCCTCCAACTTCAACATCTCCAAGCTGCTGTTGGGAGGGTCGTATGGGAATTTGAGCCCCCGGGTCACGGGAGACATCCCCCTCTCCCCCAGTAACCTGTCTCCCAGGACTGAGGCTGTTTTCGAGCCAATCGAAGTGAAGGATGTGCAACAGAGTGCTGTAAATACTCCTTTAAATCTAGTAGTTTGTGGTAGTGAAAAGATTTATTTGAAAATCATTGAGACGCTTGTAAAAAAGAAAAAATGTATCATATTTTTCCAAATTTTTATAAATCTGTAAATTAGAAATCAGAATCAAAATGAGAAAAAAAATCTGTTTTTTCCAAGGATTATTTTTTTAACTAGGATTTCTGACAGCTTAAAAAAATAAACATTTTATTTACATTTGTTCTATAGTTCTTATTTGTTTGTTTGTTTACCAGTTTCATGCGCCCAGCCTTGCATCAGCCCCGAGGTCCACTCGTCCTCCTCCAGCCGAGAAACGACTTCTGGTCAAGGTTATCAAGGCCAGTGCACTAGGCAGTCGAGATGTTGGTAGGTCCATGCGTGTTTAGCATTTATTCAAATTTATATGTATTTAGACTCGATTTCAAATTATACATGATACCATGCTGATGTTAAATGTTATTATGAAAACATTAAAACTAAGAACTTCATTACATCATCCCCGCCCCCCTCCATTTAATAGGCTAGGAGGTATCAGAATGCTTCATCATATAATGTTTAGGGTAACTTTCTTGGTTATACCCACCTGCAACGAAGTTAAAGGGAATGTAATGGAATTCGGTTGTCCCTTTGTCAGTCTGTAGATGCAGTGACATACTGGCTACTCATCCTAACTTCTGATTTAAAGGATATTTGTTTGCTTATCGTAGGTGTGTGTAATCAATATCACTTTGAGCTATCTCCCCTTTTTGGAAAGTTACGTCTCTTTGGGAACGGCGAGGAGGGGGTCCCTGTCTCTATAATATTTGAATTATTTTTAAAAAGTCATTTTGATAGTTCTGATCTGATGGATAGATAAACAGGTGTAAAGAGGTATTTAACATAACTGGTAGCTGGTATCCTGTCTAGATTAAGACGATCATCCACGATTAAAATTATCTAGACCATCAGTGAAAAGTTTGGAGGTTCAAAATTCTGAACAATGAGCCTGATTATTGTGTTTAACACTTTCTCCAGTATGTGGTGCTAATTTGTACTTGTAATCTTATCTAGTTCTAAGGCCTTATTTCATGTTTTGGATCGTATATACATGATTAGGGCCTGAAATATTTCCTGTTTTGGATCATATATACATGGTCAGGGCCTTAAATATTTCAAGTTTTAGATCATATATACATGGTAAGGGCCTTAAATATTTCATGTTTTGGATCATATATACATGATTAGGGCCTTAAATATTTCATGTTTTTGATCATATATACATGATTAGGGCCTTAAATATTTCAAGTTTTAGATCATATATACATGTTTAGGGCCTTAAATATTTCATGTTTTAGATCATATATACATGATTAGGGCCTTAAATATTTCAAGGTTTAGATCATATATACATGTTTAGGGCCTTAAATATTTCATGTTTTAGATCATATATACATGGGTAGGGCCTTAAATATTTCATGTTTTGGATCATATATACCGTAATTTCTGGGTTATAAGCCACAGATTTTTCCCTTGGCGTTCAGGCATGCGGCTTATATACTAGTACAGCTTACATGTGGACGAAAACAAAATCGGCAGAATGAGAAAAAAAAAGTATTGACTGGACATTGATTCTGGACCATTCTGTATTTCGGAATGGCTATTTTGACAAGGGGCATCATATGCAATATTGACCACCGTGACCTTGCACTCCAATAATTTTGGTTCTTGTAACATGGTGCAAGGAAGAATGAAAAATAGTGATTTAAACCAAGTTTTTTCACGAGTACCTGTCCATCACATGTTTGTGACTGAAAGAGAACATCTAGAACAGTAATTTGCAACTGTATACAGGATGATTTTAAGATTGAAATAAAAATAACATTTTTATGGATTTAATTAATCATACATCTTAATATGAATCACAATAATATATTCTAAACTTTTGTGATTGCTGTGAAAGTCATAGCGGAAATTTACAATAGCATGTTGGATCCTGGGATCAGTAGATCATCAGGTCAAATTCTAGAACGACCACCATGCTTGTTTATGATAAGAATGGCTTCATATAACTTATCAGAAGTAATAAGGGACTATCAGAATTTTATCAGCATACAATGGCCTTCGCTAATATTTAACAGTACAGACGCCGGGGTTATTGTTAAAGGTTAAAGGTACCCAAGCCGGACGAGTTCAATATTTGCCATTTTATGTTTTGAAATGCATCATTAAAATAAAAGATTATATGTGTATTATTCATTTGCAAACTTTTTTTTAAATGTTTCACTGATGATCTTGATAAATTGCCTTCTGTTGTCTGTTATATCAACAAACTTTGGTATAGACATAACAGTTGTATTAAAGAGTACGGCTTATATCCCGGTGCATCTAATACGTTGATCAAATAAAATCCAGCCCTGTGGCTTATACTCTGGTGTGGTTTAAAGTCCTGAAAATACGGTACATGGTCAAGGCCTTAAACGTTTCATGTTTTGGATCATGTATACATGGTCAGGGCCTTAAACATTTTATGTTTTGGATCATGTCTACATGGTCAGGGCCTTAAATATTTCATGTTTTGGATCATGTATACATGATCAGGGCCTTAAATAATATTTTTGTCACTTATACATCTTCAGGGCATTTAAACAAAACTGTACACATCTGTCACTAACGTGTCATTCATGCTATGTTAATAATGATATGTACTAAAAAAAATGTTGATTAATCGTCAAAAGCCTTGTCGTTTTTTAACACATTCTGCTCTATTAACAATATTTGTCTCCCCTTGCAGGCTCCATTGACCCTACCTGTGTCGTTATCCTGGACAACCCACCTCAAACCCAGGCCACCAGTGTTGTGAAAAGCACTGTGAACCCTTTCTGGGATGAACAATTTCTCTTGTAAGTTATCATTAGTTAACCTTCAGTCCACACGACTTTCACAAAAAAAAAAAAAATAATAATTTTACCGTAAATTTGTCTGATTCAACTTTTTTACAGCAAAATAATTTAAATATTTAATGAAAACACTTCTGGTATGTATTCACTGTCAACAGAATCTCTTGTTTCTGAACAATTTGTAAGACTTTTACTGAAATCTTTTGCATTGATGTTGCATTTATAGTGTTATGATAGCAAATTATATAATTTGGCTTTCACATAGTACTATATAATTTGATGCATTGTTTGTTATGAAATATACTTTTGTGTCAAACACTCAAATGACCAGGATTGCTGCATCTTGGTCAGAGATATGCTTACTAAACTCAGAAGAATGAGGAAACCCATTAGGGATGATTACCTAAAATCTTAGAATATAGTTTGACTATCTGTTTGATAGTTTTGTTATTTAGACAAAAAAAAAGAATTCTAAATGTTTTATTTTTTTAAATTTAGATGGTGTTTGATTGATATCTACAATGATTCAATAATTTTTTTTTAATGTGTAAATTAGAACAGAAATTTGAAAAAAAAAAATTATTTACTAAGAGGAAAAAACTTTATGAATGGACTTTCATAGAGAATTTATTTTCTGCTTATTCCAAGAATGGGAAAAAAAAAAAAAGATATCTTGAAATATAGATTTCCTGACTTTTGGGGAAAATTTCAATGTGTATCAAACTTTTTGTGAAATCATGAAAATTTGCTCCATAAAAAATTACAACTTTTACATCATGTTTGTTACCTCAGAGAATTTCAATGATATAGAGGATGAAATTTAATTATATCTGCAAAGACTTAAAGAGGATTAGCATATATATTAATTAATCCACCATAACATTTATGGTGAAAAGATATTATCCATATTGATATCAGGCTCACCAAATGTATTTAACACCTCATTACAGGTGAATAATTGTAGGATAAAAAGAGGTTATTAGTATACTAATACACAGAGTGCATATAATTTACAGACCACCTCATCACAAGTGAATTACTGTCAAACAACTTTCTTTCACAGGTGATTTATTTTGGTAAATTTTTCAAACAAAATGAAATCATAAAATTTTATTGTAATAAGTAACGGAAGAATTTATAAACAATGACTTGAATACAGCTCAGTAAAATGTTTTGTGAAAGTTTCTTGTGATGAACGCGACTGTGAAAATCGTGGAAGTAAGTAGCTACGAAAGATTGTTTGTATACAGGATAAGAGAAACATTATATCTTCCTGGTTGAACTGAATTAGCAGTATGTTATAATAGAGATGTCAATTTTTCTTTACAGTGATGTGACCAGCAACACAAAAGAAATGAAGTTTGAGGTCAGGGACAGGCGCCAGGGACCAGCCGGGGGTATGAATTGTGTTTCTTCCAAAAATGTAACTGGACAAAACTGTCCAAATATTAATTATTGGAAAGTATTTGTCACATTGAAAAAATTAAAAGAGGATAATTTTGAATCATTCCCTTGTCTGCAATTTTTTGATGGGATATCATACATTAAAAAAGAATTGTTGTCTACATCTTGCCTACATACATGATAAGGGAAAGAGAAAGGTACAAAGAAACTTCTAGGAACGATTCGTCCATCTTCTTGTATACAGAGTTATCTGCCCTTGTGGATAGGTATTGACTGTTTGTGAGATAATAATATCATTAATTTTTTTGAGAATTTTTCTCACACACAGTAATGACAAATAATCAATACCTGTTGAAAAGGGCAGAGAACTTTATATTTTGAAAAAAGACGTAATATCATAAACAGTCGAACCGTGTTAACTTGAAGTCAGGAGATCCATAGAATAACTTCAAGAATTCAATTGAAGTTGGTTCAAAGGTTTAATATGAAGTTTGGCTGGGACTTACAAAAATACTTCAAATTAAATTGGGACTTTGAGTTATACAAAGTCGAGATAACAAGGTTTGACTGTATATACAATGTTTAGTGGAAGCAAATATTCATTCATATTGTCAAAAGTTCAACCGTGAAAATATAGATTGATGAATAATGTGTTGTTTTACTGTTTCTATAGAAACATGATGTTATGTATTATTGGTTTTTTTTTCCTTAGATTGTAATTTCACCGAAGTAGAAAAAATATCCACTCCTATGTCGAAGATTTATAAAATATTCCTTTCGATGAATATTATAGAATTGATTCTGCCTCAAAGGTAAATTAAGATGAAAAAAAGAGATAATATAAAAAATCACTTTTTTCTAACAGAAAAATTCCTGGGTGAGGCATATGTTTACTTTGACGATCTCAAGAAGACACCCAGCAGTCGACAGATCCTCCCTCTCCAGGGTAGTCCTGATATCAGGGGCGACTTTGTCACCGGCACCCTCACAGTCGAGGTAGGGTACATAACTCTTAGCATGTACGTCACTGCCAACATACCTCCTTAACTAGAAACCTAAATTTCTGTACAGCAACTTGCAGGTTAGGGAAAAAAATTCTCTGAAAAAACTAGTACTTATTAACTTTCAACAAAATTTATTTGGAAATTGATTTTCAGCTAAAAGAAAAATAATAATAAAAAAGATTGAATTAAAAAAAAAAAAGATAAAAATTAATTTGTTTGCACAGCAATCTTTCCTTTATATATCTGTGACATTGATCCCGTCTGTATTAGTTCCTTTATCAGACAGCAATGCTTTCTGTTGTATAGAGCTATCACAAAGATCTCACTATGTGTTAACTTGATTTTAATTTTTAAATTCTTTTTTGATGTCAAGTATAATATTTGTTAAGTGTGTATTTCAGACTGATGAAAGATATAAATATTTTTTTATTATTATTATTATTACTATTTTTTTTTTTTGAAAACCTATATTTCACTTGTAGCTTCTTCAGTATAGTATCTTAGCAACGAAAATGGTTTTGATGCATCTAAGAAATAACTTGTTAATCACTAGGTAGCTGTCTTAACACATTTAACCAACCAGGTGTAGTAAATTTTATAACTTTTAAATTAAACCATAGATTTAAAAAAAAAAAAAAAAAATGTTTTTCAGGAAACTAACATTCTCATGCTTATGTGAGGCTGTGCTAGGTTCATTACTCTTTACTGGATGTTTAATAAACCTCCTGTTTCTTGTAATCGTACTTTATGGAAAGAATTTATGTCTTGCCTCCGTTGTTTCAAAATGAAGTTATTTCTTGAAATTTTAAAGCTCTGACATTATGACTGGCACTTTGTATTGATGGGTTGAAATAGTCTTTCACCCTTTTAGTGTGAGACAGCAGGATCTCAAACTGAGGGAAATATTATTAAGTTAGCAAATATGAGGCTTGCCCAGTGTTTGCAACTTAATAATCTTTACCCAAGAGTTGAGATCTGCCTTTTCCACATAGAAGTGGATGAATGACTATTTTTCTCTTACCTTGCTAAACTTTGTGTCGTTATGTATACGATTGGCTTTTCTGACGTGATGTCAATGTTATGAAAAGAGAATCCCTTTGTCTCGATACTGTAAGGTGAGACAAGAAAATCTCAAACTGCTAAAGCTTGGATACAAGCTTCCAGGGTAAGAGAGAAAAATGATTTTATTTAAATGACTTAAATTGCTGCATTATAAACTAGACATCTTATAAAAAAGTTGATAAAATGATGGAGATCTGTTCCAGAATTCTGTTGCTTTTTCTTGATCCAAAATTCCCTGGCTTTCTCTTTGTAAACAATGTGTGTGTTTTTGTTTGTTTTATTTTTATTAAAGGTTGATATGTGCTGATAGAATTGAGTTTAGATAATAGTTGCCATGGTAATTCAATATGGATGAAGTTCGATGAAGGTCAATGTGGACGATTTATCTAGCCCGCCACCATCAAGTCGTCGTTCGTCTGTGGTTTAATTTGTCTCTCGTCTATTCTTTGATTCTCTGTCATTCTGTTCTTAAACAACAAATTTTCTCTACATGTTACTAAGAAGAACACAGATCTTTTCATGCTCAGGTTTTCCCTGTACCTGTAGATTTACATGTTCACTTCAGTATCATATAGACTGATCTAAAATTTTAAAAAATGGTTGATAAGTGGCCATCTTGGATTTAGACAAATTTTTATCACTATTTTTCACAAACTGTACGACAGATCCCCTTAATCTCACACATATTTCAACATGTTCAAATTTGAGACCGATCAGAAAAAAAATGGCTGACAGACTATTGTCCTTATGTGTAGTTTTATTTTGTTAATGCTATTTCTAAAATAGCAATGAATAGGTCTCAGCAAGATGGCCGACACTGGAAGCCATCTTTTTGAATGTTGATATTTCTAATTTGTAATCAAGCATTGGAGAGATATTAAGTAACATTCAGATTTGATCTAAAATCTCTGCTTAAAAAACTCTTTGGCTTTCAGAAATTTTGGGACTTATTGGAAGATCAAGGGTTAGATGTAACATGTGACATTTCATTGGTCAATATGAATGATTTGAAGCAGTATAACCATGATATAATCCGTGAACTTTGACCCCTAAAGGTCAATGCAATTTCGCTTGATTTTCAATGTTACATTCATTACAAATTCAGAATACAGTAACCCAAATCCCTTGAAATGGTGCACAAAAGTGTACCATTGTGTTTGTAGTTTTTAACACCTTTATCAATAGGGATAAATACGTTAGTGTGATAGTATTGAGCTTTTCCTGTCACAATTCTTAATTTCGTAAAACTCTATTTGTGATAGTATAATTATGATATAAACTGTAAATCCCAAAAGTTTAAGGTTCAGTTTATTTCAAAGTTGGAAATATGTTAAGGTTCAATCTTATATTACGTGAAAATTCTCACTTTGGAATGACGATTAATTTTGATCACCCAGTGATTAATTTTAAAAAAATTTTGATAATTTCTTCATAGTTGACATACATGTAAATCCAACAAATGATTTTTACAAAAGATGGTGGGTGCCAAGATCCCTGTAGGATCTCTCTGTTTTAAATTCTATGAGAAATGGTTTGCTTGATTTATAGATGGGTTGATTTTTGAGTAGTTAAATAAGCATTAATTTGTATTAGTTAAATAAGCATTAATTTGTATGAGTTAAATAAGCATTAATTTGTGTTAGTTAAATAAGCATTAATTTGTATTAGTTAAATAAGCATTAATTTGTATTAGTTAAATAAGCATTAATTTGTACGTATATCTCTGCAGTCTTAATGTAGATGGGCATTGCTTTTGTTGATCAGTGTTGTGATAGCTGTATAATGAATTTATGTCTCTTTATGTTCCAGCTATATTAAAATAAAGTAGAATACTTAAAACAAGGATAACTGTGCAATAAGCCCCGAAGGCCGACACATCACTTACTCCTAGCTTATTACAGGACCTCAGGTCCAACACATCACTTACCCCTAGTCATGGATGGGCTTATTACAGGACCTCTGGTCCAACACATCACTTATTCCTAGTCAGGGGTGGGCTTATTGTAAGACCTCAGGTCCAACATATCACTTACTCATAGTCAGAGGTGGGCTTATTGCAAGACCTCAGGTCCAACACAAACCTTCTTTCTCCTAGTCAGGTGGTGGGCTTATTACAGGGCCTCAGGCCCAACACATGGCTTCTTGCACAGAGTCAGGGGGTGGGCTTATTAAAGGACAATAAAATAATGTAGGTTGATTTTATTTATTTTATCTATTACTGAACATCAATATACAGCAATATATCTTATTACCAGGCGTGGGCTTATCACAGAATAAATGATTATATCGAAACGTTTACAGCGTCTGAAAGCTGAAATATTTGAAATTGTGAAATTTTGAAGACTGAAGAAATAAGAGGAAAAAAAATACATTTCTTTTTTTTTTTTTTTAGAAAATTAGTGAGAAAAGCTTGTTGATAAAATAAGTGGAGTGTTTAGTAGAGATTGTCAGTGATTATTTCTAAAGCTTTTGATTACAATCAGCAACTTGTGTGTAGACATTCCTGTGTGTAATTACTGTGTGATACAAATATCTGTGTGTGATATCTGTGTGTGATCAATTAACCAGATACTTTCTGTATTCTCCTGTTTTCAGTTCCGCTGTATGATGGATTCCTACTGACCTCTGACCTCTGACCCAGCTCAGCTGACCCTTGACCCCTTGTTCCCTGCTGGTTTTTGGATAGGAGTGAATTTCAGTGTGTTTGACATAGTGTTAGAGTTTTCTCATTCTTCATCACAACTCAGTATCGTTCAATTTATCCATCATATCATATACCCAGTCAACTTCTTCAACTCATCAAACTTATTCGTGGAGGTGAGTTGCATCCAGCAATTCTATTGGTCGATACCAGTCATGTGATTTGCATCCCATATCCCGTTTGAGCAGCATTCGAAGTCACATGAACTGCAATCAAAATTTTGATTGGCTGACACAAATCATTAATGTGTTTTTCAAAATTTTTCTAAAACATGTTAGGTGATTTGTATCCAAAACTTTGATTGGTCTAGACAAGTCATGTGATTTGCATCCCAAATTTTGATTGGTTGTCAGTATAACATGTGACGATCAGTAATATTTTTTTTTGCATCTGATATTCCCATTAAATGTTGGTTGGTTTTTGTCTTTAGATTAGAAGCTAATAATAGTTCATTACTGCATTGGGCATTTTTCATTGGATGTTGGCTAGTCATGTGATCAGCTTACAATATAGATACTCATTTTAATGCTGTCATTGGTTGATTTTTTAATTTTTAAATTTTTTTTAAATAGTATCATTACAGTGGATGCCTTTTGATTTTTAATTTTTTAATCCCTTTGGTAATATCACCTCCAGCTAAGTTTGATGCTTTTCCACAAGTAATTCTCCTTGTAGAAATTATCATTTTTAACTTACTGTAATCGTGCAATGTTAGTCTGTACAAATTATGTTCACTGTGCTTTTTAAAGAGTAATTTTGATTCTGACTCTACTGATAAAAATCTGGTTAGCTCAACAAAACGATTCTTTTTTTCAAATTTCTGTCCTTAAATACATATTTCTCTTTTCTTTTCCTTTTGTAAAATTGAAAAAAAAATAGTAAGAAATTTCTTCATAAATGAAAAAAACACTTTTTTTTTCAAACTAGTGTGATTGGAATGCAGAAGTGTTAATATCACTACATACTAGCACCTAGCTGTTGTCTGTTTTTGTTGTATCCACTGAAATTCACTCCTCTCTGTTGACCGTCTAAAAGAAATCACATGGTCTACTGAATTTTTGTTGACATATAATCTTCTAACCTTTTGCTATTCTTAAAAGGTCAAAATAGAGGTTATGTTTTTCTTTTTTTTTTTTTTTTTAATGAAGATTTTTCAGGTCATTAACTCTGATTGGCTGCTGACAGATCCTCAGCCATTGGTTAATCTTGACCATTGCCAAAATACAGCTGTTTGAAACAATGGTCACAGTTTGTGACAGTCAGTCCCTTTAGAAAAATATTTAGTAATTGGATATGTGTGTATTTTACAGGTGTCATTTTGTGTTTATTTTCCAACACCACATTACACCAAACACTAACAGTTACTAAATATAGAATGTTGAAACACAGTGTTATTAATCCTTAATTGATAATGTTGATTTAAACCTTCAGACACTTAACCTGATGCATCCATACAGTTGTCAAAAAAAACAACAAAACAATTTATATAATTGTTTTCAAATTTCCGTCAGATATTTTCTAGACTGGACTTAGAAAATGTTTTAAAAGTTATTCTATATGTTCATTTTCTACATCATACTATATTTTTTCTTTCACTTTCATTCCCAAACCTTTTTTCTTTGTCGTCGATGTGTTTGTGTTGATTAACTTTCCTGTGTATTCCCTGACGAATCCTTTTTCTTTTTAAATATTTCTTTTTTGTACTGACCAACTTTTGTTTCCCTGTTTTAATCCGGTTTTTTTTTACCTTTGTTAACTAAATGTCTCATTTGAATGTGACTTCAAACTAACTCTGTCTTTATTTTCATTTGTTATGGAAAATTATAATCGGATTTGTATATCTTCAGAATGTTTGTGAGAAAGTACAAATATTATTGAGTGTTTTTTTTTTTTTAACTAATATCATAAATATCTAGCCATTTTGAAATATGTGACATCATTTGACATGTATTTGATTATCGTAATGAAAAGATCCTGCCATGAGATATCAAATTTAGACATAAAAAAATACGAAAATTTGTTGTGGTTAGACCTTAAGATCAGACATAAAATTGTGTTTATTTATGAAAGATACTTGATGTAATCATAAAACATATCTGTAGTATTATAAGATGAAAGAAAAGTTTATTTTAAAGTTACGTGAAAACATTTCAGGATTTTTTTTTTTTTTAATTTAATGGTATTTATCCAGCGATAAGGGCTTGTCTGGTAATAAGCCCATATATTTTGTTGTTGAATAAAAATTTATGTTGCTGTCCTCAAATAAGCTGTCCTCTGATTGTGAACAAGAAATTAGCCCTAGACCATCATTATGTTTAGAAGTCTGGATTAGTTATAACTAATCATCCAAAAAATAATCTTTGCATCTGGTAATAAGGACATGCCTGGCAATAAGCCCATGGACGTTTATTTCAGTCTTACAAAAAGAAAAGTAAAGAAATCCTCACTTTCCTGACTTTGAGTCAGTGGTAATGTTTTGGTTCCCAGGGATTATTGCAAAATAAATACACTAGATTTTTAGATTTTATCGTGACATAAGTGAGCAAAGGAGATAAAAAGAAAGAAAAGAAATCACAAGATTTTAAAGATTTTTTTAGAAATATTTATTGTCGCTATCTCTACTGATATTCTGTTTACCGATAAGTTGCATTATGGGTAGAGGTCCTACTAAATACTAGAATGGCCTGGACCGTTTTCTGTTTTTAGAAAACTTCTCAACATTTGATCCTTAAATATTAGGGAAAAGTTTTTTCTTTTTTTGTTTTTTTTAAGCAATACATTTATTTGGAAACAAAAGTAGGACCCATTTTCTATCAGTATCCATGTATGTAAGAATGTTTGGCCTCAATTTGTAAACAGTAAGTAGGGATTATCGTATTGAATCTTAGAACTGCATTTTCTTTTTTTTCCAGTTTCTTTTTTTAAATCCAGTAGATGCAGAAGCTGTCCAACAAACAATTGCAGCAATGTCACCAAAACGAACTGTTGAGGTAAACCAAGCTAAAACACCAGGGGGCACACTCGTTACCAAGACAACCACAACAACAGAACGATCACGTCATGGCCGACAGGGAGCTGAAGTAGATGGTAGGTTAAGAAAATTTTTCTTTAAATGAGAATATTTTTGTGTGTATACATAGTTGACATTTATATTAAATTTTTTCTTTTTTTTTAATAAATGTTTTGAAAACATAGTACAAGTGCATTAGTTTCGTATTTTTAATCTGTATTGAATATGTTTTTTACAAATTTTATGGGGGTTATATTTCTTACAGGGGGCGATGTCCAGAAAAAAAAATACAAATCTGTCCTTCTTCAGTATATCTCTGATTGACTAAGTATTTTTGAGATTTTCCCCCAAGCAGTGTTTCCCTATCAACCAAAAGCTTTGCGCCATGATATACTTGTGTATATAAGCAAGCGCTCAGGTGATTGAGATCTTTTGTATAAGATGCACTTTTCACCTGTATGAACTCACCATAGCAGTCATTAACATTGTTTCTGTTTAAGATTATTATTTAACAATGTTTTAATGTTATTCTGGAAAATTTGATTATAAGAGAGATTTTGCATGGTGTTCACAGAATGAGATACTTTTATCAGGAGTTGTGGCTTCTGCAATTAAATGGATGCATTATGTGGCAGCCTATCTGTTCAACTAGAAATAGGAGATAGAGATGATAAAAACATTGATCACAAGATGTTTTTTTCTATACAAAATTTATATTGTTTGAAAGTTGAATTTGAAAGTTTAAAGGACATATAAAAAATATGAAGGAACTATTTTTTTGGCATTTTGTGTTTTTCATAAAAAAAAAAAAAAAAATTCCTTCTGTAATAACCAGTGTTAATGGTTTCTGTTTTTTGTATCTGATTTCTATCAATAGTGAAATGATTGGTCAGTTATATATTGATATGTGTTACAGGATCACCCAATTACATTGAGAAGCATACCAACATATACGGTTACGATGGCTCAGACTCTCATTCTCTCAACACAAGCACGAACCAACAGGACCGATCAGTCTCATCATCATCTGGTAAGTCATATATCACCATAGAAACCAACCATATCACCATAGAAACACTCTGTCATCATAGAAACCATTCAGTTTACCATGGAAACCATTATGTCTCCACAGATACCATTTGTCATTATTGGAAACTATTCAAATCACTTAAGAAACCTTTTATGTCAATGCTTTTAATATATTCTTGGAAAGCATTTCACCAACAGGAACCGTTTTAGTCGTGGTATTCATAGTGTTGCTTCACTAGGGATTGTTAATGTCTTTTCTTTCCCAATGTCTCTCTGATAAAGTAGTTTTGAGATTTTCCCTCATGTAGTGTTTCCTTGTCAACCAAAAGCATAAGCATCATACTATAATTGTGTATATCAGCAAACACCTAGGTGAATAAGAGTTTAGGTATAAGGTGCACCATGTAGTGCTTCCTTGTCAACCAAAAGCTTAAGCATCATACCATAATTGTGTATACAAGAAAACACCCAGTTGAATAAGAGTTTAGGTATATGTCCCATCAAAGCAAATAACGGCATGGAAAGGGATCATAACAACAGTAACACCACTTTTTTTGGTTACCATGGAAATAGGTTAATTTTACTAAGAAAACTAAAAATATCATGAAAACAATTGTATGCGTTAGCAGTATATTTACTGTATAATAAGTGTGTTGGATAAGTAACATTGTAGTAGATACAAATTATTCCTTATTGAAGCAGGAAATGTAGTACCAGAAAAACAACTCCTTTGATATTTACAAGAATACATTGATGCTGTTGTTTATTCGGAGGGCTTTATGACTCATACAAACAAAACAATCTGTCTAAAAATCAGCAAATCAGAAAGGAAAGCACTACAAATCTGTTTGGTGACATTTTGATGAAATTTGCATGCATGGTTTATTTTTGTTGATGGTTAGTCATGGTTGACCGATTTTTATCAGAAACAAAAACGTCATGCTATGAAAAGATCTGACATTTTTTCAGACCGAAAGTCATATGGACAGGTGAGTTTGTTATGCCTAAAATGAAAGTAGAAATGATTGTTTAAATAATAAAGACTATATGAATGTGTCATCATATCAAATCCCTGTCATGTGACAACCTAGATCATGTATTATGCTTGACCAATCATCTTATCCCTTTTTATATTGTTTATTCACCAATCAGATTATAACATGAATGCTTTATCAACCAATCATTTCACAGGAATGTTTGATCAATCATTTGTAATGCTGGACAGGATTGTGGGACTGTTTTGTGCCAATCCCGTTTTGTGAATGTATTGTTAGATTGTCTGTTATGTAGCGTTATTACTACTCATAATTTTGGGGTAAAACAAAAACTTTTCTAAAACAATTTTTTTTTCTGTAATGAAGACTACAGGAATGCAAGAAGTATTTAATAATTTGAATAAAATTTCAAAGAATATGTTAGATCCATTTGAATGGTGCAGAAGATCACAGTTTGTACTGTTGTGACAAAGAGTTGGTTTAATTTTAATTATTTTAAACTATTCCCTCTGTTCCTTGTGACAGAATATGATTATGCCCATGAAACTTCCCCTTTCAACAGAACATGTCACTTTAATGTTAATGGTCAGGGCTATAATCTCTGTGTTAAGTATGATGTGAAAAAAAAATACATTTACCATCTCCAACACAAGTACGCCATTCTACATGCGAAGGCATTCATGTGCTTTACAGAACATCAATACTATTGTCTTCCACCCGCGTGTGCCCCCCCCCCCCTCCCAAAAAAAAAAAATTCTTAAGGTGCTGTAGCATGGATGGATGTAGCTATTAACATGGAATATCCTAACTGGGAATATGATATGTAAAAACAAGCAAATTTCGTAGGGAAATTAAATATGTCACAAGGTCAGCAGAAATTTTGAAAAATTCAACAATGAAATTAATATAATCATATATATGTATATATATAGTTAAAGTTTTATCAAATATCAGTATGAATGGCATTGTGGTATGTGTATTTACAAAGTACAAAACATCAAACTATACTATAGTATACAGTGTAGATTTATAGATAATAATTACCTCCCTTGTCTATTCTAATACTTTTTTCTTGAATGTAAATCTTGTCATACAGTTCTATTACTTCTCTCATGTTTCTAAAAAATGAGAACTTTGTATAAAATCATTTTTTCTTGAACATATCAGTTTTTCTTTAAATTTTATATTTATATATTAAGTATCCATACTTGATGAAAAATAACCCTAATTAAAAATTATATTAGAAAAAAAAGGATTTCAGATATTGCAAAAGAAGTTATAAAGAACAACATGTTGTTGTGCAAATAGTAATGATGTACAAGGATTTCACCATTCCTGATCTCAATAAGTCAAACGAAAAAAAATTTAGCAAGACCCAGACAAAAACAGGTAAAGAAACAAAATAATTAAAAAGATATAAAAAACAAAACAAAAAAAATGAGGAAAACAAAATAGATAAATAAATAAAAAAATATATATAATTTGCAGTTTTGACTTAATTAGGTAGATTTTTTTAAAAAAAATCTATATACTGGTTTTCATGGTTTTGAATATTGGATTTGGTTAAATTTCATATCTAGGTAAACATACCAATATCATGTCATGTAAAGGGTAAGGATTAGTGATAACTGTAACGGAAGGATGGTAAAAAAAAAATTTCAAAAACTGATAACAAGCATGCCAAAATTTTTCAAAGGGAGATAACCCAATTTATTTTTCTTCCTCAGTATTTTATTTGCAGGGTTTTTTTTTCTGTTACTTAGAATTTTTTTGTTCCTGAAGTTAGTTATTCAGCTTTTTAGTGTAACCTTCCTATAAAGAAATTGAATTTTTTATTATTTTAATATTTTCCTAAAAAAAAAAAATGATATTAGTCACTTTGAATAAAAATATCAAAGAAATTAAGGTTTGTCAAGATGTGTTAAAAGTTTGTCGTTTTTACATTGTTGTACTTTTTAGATGGTTAAATTAGAGTAATTGGTATCAAGTTTACCATGAAAATATTTGTGATAAGTTTTGGAAGGTTAGATGAAAGAAGCATTTTAATTAGCTTGGAGAATGTTAAAAATTTAATTATAGAGTGAAGATGTCTGACTTGTTAAGAGTTTGTGAAGTAGTTCTTGGAATGTTTTTTGTGCCTGCATTTTATTTATGTATTTGGTTTGACATTAGAGTTTGTTTGTGTGTGTTTCCACAGAGCATTTGTACATTAACGGGGTTGAGTCTGTAGCGGAAACGGCCATTAGAGAGCTGATGGATCGATCGCGTAAACCACGCACCCCCACCAAAACCAGTACCCTCATAATCACGGGGGTTAAAAGGGTAAGCAGAAAATAAGAAACCCTACAGATTATGGGTATTAAAGGGGTTGTAAAGCAAGAAATCATGCATCTCAAATAAAACCAATACCCTCATAATCACGAAGGTCAAACAAAAAGTAGAACTTGTTACCCGATATGTTACCAAATTGACCTATTGATGTGGAGAACTGAAATTCTATAAATTATCATTATTTGAGGTGAAACTGAATGTAAGATACTACAGAAGGTCAGCTGAGAATAGACTGAGAAAAAAATGATCTCAGATATGTACCATTAACAGATTCTATTTCTCAGTATATTTTTATGTCAATTATAATATCATAAAAATTTTTTTATAAACTATCTTATTTCAAAATTCTTCACTTCGGCTAAATTACCTTAGCCTTCTTGAATCATCAGTATCATCAACATCAATAAGAAGATTGTATATGACGTTTATTCTAATTATGATGTTACTTTAAGCCAAATGTTGCTTTAAGATTCAAGGCAAGTCTGACAGGATAATAAATCTAGCTCAGGGTAGTGTGTGAGATTTCCCTGTCCAATATACAAAAAAAAAAATATTTAAATAATTTTTAAATAAATATATCCTCTATTAAATACATCATTATCACAAAGACTCTCTTATCTTTATCCAAAAAATGATCCGTGGGATTAAAATTAATAACATTAACAAACTTTGCATTGATCAGAGAAATTTTCTCAAAACTCAAAGAAAAGCGATGAATCAGTAGATAAAAATAACCTTCAGAATTGTATAATTAATATAAAATTTCCACAAATTCTTCAATTTTCTAAACCTATTGTTTTCAAATTAATCACCAAATTTTGTTGATTTTATCAAATCGAATTTGAAAATATAATTCAGGAATTTTCTGTATTGATCCATGAAATTTGTTTCCTAGAAATCAACTTTACTAATTTATTGGCAATAGAAATTAGGCTCGCTTATATTACTGAAAGACATATTTATTTCCCTAATATGAGTTTTGTGACTTTGAAATAGATTTAACTGCTTGTTGATTCAAATTTTGAAATTAAATTGGTGCATAAAATTAATCAAAGTGATATATCATGGGGAGTTAAATTTTTGAAATTCTTCATGTACAGTAATCTTTTCTTGATAATATGAACTATTACAAATACAAAAAAGATTAATGTCACTGATGTTGATTGAAAAAAGTAGGTGAATTTCCTCTTTCAATCTTATAGTTCGAAATGTCTTAAAACATTTCTGCTTAAAATCGTTTTAGGTACAAATGGATTTATTTTAGTTTGGGGTCCTGAATAATGTTATGTGGTTCTAACAATGTTACATATATTCTGTTTTTCCTAAAGACCAGTTATTACATACATTTGTTAAGGGAGTATTTTACCTTTGCTGAAAATATACTTGTTAAGGGAGTATGCTGCCTTACTCATTTAATCTCCATTTGTTGAAGATTATTTGTTAAGCAGTTTGCTACTTTATTTGTTCTACCATAGGATTTTGTGTTAGAGTGATCTCCCTTCATTAATTTATTTGTTATGGGGATATGCTGCCTTACTCATTTCACCAAGTTTTGTGTTAGAGTTATCTCCCATTGTTCGGTATCGTTATAGTATATTTTATACTGTTATAATGACTAAAGCATGTTTTAATGTACTTAAGTATACAATGTATATCACAATTTGTTTAAGTTCAAGCCTCTGGTGAAAAAAATTATGTACTTGTTTTTCAATCCAATAGATCTCTTGAAAAATTATTATTTTCTATAAAAAAGTCTTACAACAAGTTTTGAAATCAAACTCTTAGTCTGAAGTCCTGAAATTATGGTGAAACCAACACAATGTGAATTAAAATTATTATTGTTATATTTTGCGAAGACAGTATGATAGGCCACAGTTTTCATCAGAAAAGGAATGACTGTGTTATGTTGACCAAAACAGAATGTTGTCATATTGAGGAGTCTTGTTAGACAGGTTTGATTGTAAAAAAAATTTATGTCCTGAAATTTTGAAATCACATACTTATAAAATTTGTGCAATTTAAACTTTTTCCAAATGTCTGCTAGACCCAAAAATTGTGTTCTTTGTCTGATAAAGGACTTTCTAAAACCCAGAAGAAAATTTCCTTTTTTTGAGTTCAATTGAAAAATATTCGAGATATGTAATTATTGATGCTGATAACAGGATTCTTTATCAGTTGGTTCTTTTGTCCAGCTTAGAGAGATAGATGCTATGTAGATATTATACACTTGAGGTGACCAAAAAAATTAAATAATAGGAGATTGATTGGCACAGTATAATGTACTCGCCTTTCATCTAGACATCAGGGATTCAATTCCCCGAAGAGAAAGGGAAATGGGTCGCATCGGGTCACAAGTCCTTGCTGGGTACTCTGGTTTCCTCACAACATAAGACTCCTTGCTGACTTCCATTGGGTGGAAAAAAATGATTAATAAAAGTTTATATAATATGTTTAGCAATTATTGTAAAAAAAAAGAGTTAGTATGAAGATTTTAAATTTTTTTTTCAATAAATGAAAATCATACCGTTTATAATTAGAGGCAGTATCACCGTCAAAGTTATATGATGCCGTTATCAGTCTAATTGGAGGAATTTGTAAAGAAAATTATTTTTTCATGATGCAATTTCAATTTCTAACAAAAAGAAAGGATTCTGATGAAAATCTAGGAACAAACCAGTGTTTATTTACCTATATAAGTACTCTGTTTTCTTAGACTCTGTTTTTGATGGTACAACACCATCTTTTAAAACAGCAGAAGTTTTTGTTCACTTGAAAACGTTCACAGTATTACAGAACCCTTTAGGTCAAAATATTGAAATATGGTCTCTATAAAGAGGATGTGATTTATCTAGATTATTATTGAATAAGCAGGATTACACAAAGACTTCTTTCCTGATTAAATAAAGAATAACCAATTTGTTTGGTATAGTTTAATTGATTGTTTGCTTCTACTGTATCTAATTCAGATTTGTTCTTAGCATTAAACAGTGTTGTTTGATTTGTGTCTTTTGTACCAAACTTTAGAGATATTGAAACTCACTTGTGTGTGAAATTTCAGCCTGTTCAATATTATTACTGGTATTTCATCTTTGAAATCTCCTTCTTGTTGAATACTAATATTCTTCATAATCTGAAAAAAATAAGTTTTGACTTTGTATTATATCACTATATTCTATGAGTACTGTCTGTCTGCTAGGCTTCTGCCGAGCCATCGGAAGAGGTAACAGCACCATCAAGTGTGGTCACTGCCCCACAGGACGAACCGTCCCCAGTACAAGAAACTACAGTCTCTTCTGAACCTGTGGTAGAACTATTACAGCAAAGCTCAAATCTTCCTTCTCATGCTGTCCTGTCTTCATCACCTCCTATATCTGAATGCTCTTCTAAACCAGAAACTTTGCTCGAATCCTCTTTCCCCAAATTCACTCCTATTGGAATGCATCCTCCTGCAGAGGTGAAAACCTTCCCTGATAAAAAAAAATCTCCAAGTCCTATTATAGAGTCTGAACATAAAATTGCAGAAATGTTACCAGAACCTATTCCAACGATTGACTTACTGGACGAAAATGTCGTCTTTGAAGTTTCGTATTCTCTTGGAGAAGCTGATGTTGAACCAACAGAATCTGAGCTGGATTCTAGTCATCCTATCCTTTCTGACACAGAAGTTAAATCTGGCCTTGATGATTCAGCTGAAATTCCCGTGGCATATTCCTCAGACATTGATGAAGGGAAAGCATTTGAGGCTCCCTCTGTCCTCATTCCTGACAAAGATATTGTGGAGGAGGTAGCCACTAAAGAGGCTCCCCCTGTCCTCATTCCTGACAAAGATATTGTGGAGAAGGTAGCTGTCGATGAGGCTCCCCCTGTCCTCGTTCCTGACAAAGAAATTGGACAGGAGGTAGCCACTGAAGAAGCTCCCCCTGTCCTCACTCCTGACAAAGATATTGTGGAGGAAGTTGCCACTGAAGAAGCTCCCCCTGTCCTCACTCCTGACAAAGATATTGTGGAGGAAGTTGCCACTGAAGAAGCTCCCCCTGTCCTCACTCCTGACAAAGATATTGTGGAGAAGGTAGCTGTCGATGAGGCTCCCCCTGTCCTCATTCCTGACAAAGAAATTGGACAGGAGGTAGCCACTGAAGAAGCTCCCCCTGTCCTCACTCCTGACAAAGATATTGTTGAGGAGGTAGCCACTAAAGAGGTTCCCCCTGTCCTCATTCCTGACAAAGATATTGTGGAGGAGGTAGCCACTAAAGAGGCTCCCCCTGTCCTCATTCCTGACAAAGATATTGTGGAGGAGGTAGCCACTGAAGAAGCTCCTCCTGTCCTCACTCCTGACAAAGATATTATGGAGAAGGTAGCCGTCGATGAGGCTCCCTCTGTCCTCATTCCTGACAAAGATATTGGACAGGAGGTAGCCACTGAAGATGCTCCCCCTGTCCTCACTCCTGTCAAAGAAATTGAACAGAATGTAGATGTCGACGAGGCTCCCTCTGTCCTCATTCCTGACAAAGATATTGTGGAGGAGGTAGCTGTCTATGAGGCTCCCTCTGTCCTCACTCCTGACAAAGATATTGTGGAGGAGGTAGCCACTGAAGAGGCTCCCCCTGTCCTCATTCCTGACAAAGATATTGGGGAGGAGGTAGCCACTGAAGAGGCTCCCCCTGTCCTCATTCCTGACAAAGATATTGTGGAGGAGGTAGCTGTCGATCAGGCTCCCTCTGTCCTCATTCCTGATAAAGATATTGGGGAGAAGGTAGACACTGAAGAGGCTCCCCGTGTCCTCATTCCTGACAAAGATATTGGACAGGATTTAGCCACTGAAGATGCTCCCCCTGTCCTCACTCCTGACGAAGATATTGTGGAGGAGGTAGCCGCTAAAGAGATTTCCTCTGTCCTCATTCCTGACAAAGATATTGGGGAGGAGGTAGCCACTGGAGATGCTCCCCCTGTCCTCATTCCTGACAAAGGTAGTGAAGAGGGGAAGAAATTTGAGGTTATTGACACAATCGTTGAAGACAGTATTAAACCAGTGTCTGCTTTGGATGCTGGAACTGAAATCGAATCTACCCAAGACATTAAATCTGACACTTTTCCTGAATCTGACTCTGATCCTCAACAAGTCAAAGTAACAGAAGAAATGCTATCTCCCATAGAAACAGAACAACAAGAAACGTGTCAAGAAGTTGCTCCTGATTCTACATGTGTTGAGATAGTAACTCATTCACGGTCGCCTTCCCCTTACGGGGATGACAGTTCCTGCTCATCATTTCATGATGATGAGTACATCTCTCATTCATCAACTGAAGACTTAACTGAAGGCGAATCTGCACATTATTTCAAATCTAAGCAGGTTGATGATGAGACTTCGGAACCTCTAGAGTTCTCTACTGACTTAACGCCTGAGACATGTGAAACTAGCGTGACGATGGAACAAACAGAAGAAGATTCAGAGGCAGCACAGTATGCTGCAGTTGAATCAAAGGTGTTCAAGCCAGAGGGTCAGGAAGAGGTCAAACTCACACCCAAGCAATCAGAAGGACCAGTTGAAGCTGATCCATCTGAAATAATGGAGACTGACCTGGTAAAAGAACCTGAGTTGGTAAAAGAAACTGAGGCTGCATCTGAACAAGTAAAAGAAATTGATACTGAACAGGTTAAAGAATGTGAATCTGAAACTATAGAACATGAGCCAGTCACAACTAAGGTCATCACACCTGAACCATCAGGTGACCTTGAACTGGTAAAAGAACCTGAGTTGGTAAAAGAAACTGAGGCTGCACCTGAACAAGTACAAGAAATTGATACTGAACAGGTTAAAGAATGTGAATCTGAAACTATAGAACATGAGCCAGTCACAACTAAGGTCATCACACCTGAACCATCAGGTGACCTTGAACTGGTAAAAGAACCTGAGTTGGTAAAAGAAACTGAGGCTGCATCTGAACAAGTAAAAGAAATTGATACTGAACAGGTTAAAGAATGTGAATCTGAAAATATAGAACATGAGCCAGTCACAACTAAGGTCATCACACCTGAACCATCAGGTGACCTTGAACTGGTAAAAGAACCTGAGTTGGAAAAAGAAACTGAGGCTGCATCTGAACAAGTAAAAGAAATTGATACTGAACAGGTTAAAGAATGTGAATCTGAAACTATAGAACATGAGCCAGTCACAACTAAGGTCATCACACCTGAACCATCAGGTGACCTTGAACTGGTAAAAGAACCTGAGTTGGTAAAAGAAACTGAGGCTGCACCTGAACAAGTAAAAGAAATTGATACTGAACAGGTTAAAGAATGTGAATCTGAAACTGTACAACATGAGCCAGTCACAGCTAAGGTCGTCACACCTGAACCATCAGGTGACCTTGAACTGTCCTCGGAGCCAGAATTGTTATCTGCTGACGCTGAAGCACAGCATTCAGCTGTTACATCCGAGATACTTCCTGAATCAGTGATCCATACGAAATCTGCTCAAAAAGAGCAAACCGAACCTGAACTTATTGCGCAAACACAATGTGCTAGTTCAGAGGACTTTGTTATTACAAAAGTTGAACAGTCAAAAGAATTAGTAGTGGAGGAGGTTACCACACCCTGCCCTTTGTTACCAACAGAGAGAGTATTAGCCGCTGAAAAGATACCCTCATCAGAGGCAGTGTTATCTGAAACTATGCCGATGGAAACAATACTGTCTGCCGATGATACCACGCAAAGTGATTCAACAGATCAATATGAGTCCGAAACAGTAAAGCCAGATGGTGATACCATACTAACGGAGGTTGAACCATCTGAACAAGTTACAGCAGAAGAAACAACTACACCATGTTCTTCTTTACCGACTGAAAGATTACTGGCACCTCAAACTGTCCCTGCACAGGAAACAGTTCTATCTGAGACGCTGCCAAAGGAAACAAAGTTACCAGCAGACGATCTTGTTATAAAAACCACAACTGAGAGTGAACTTGTTTTAAGTGAAGTAAAACCATCTGAAGAAATAGCTGTTGAAGAGTCGGTTTCTTCCTGTCCTTCAATGCCAGATCAGAGATTACTGGCAGCACAGAAAGTCTCTAAGACAGAGACAGTGTTGTCGGAGACAATGCCTGAAGAGGCTTCATTGTCTGTTGAGGGTTCCACTGTCTCTACATTGGTATCTGGAGAAACTGATGGTGCAAGTTCTATGCCTGTTGTAGAGGTTGAAGAACCAGCAGCTGTATACACATCTCTAGAACAGGCAACATCTTTTGAGGCATCAGAAGAATCTGCGGATTTTAAAGTAATGACTCAAGGAGAAATTTCAACAGAAGATAAAGTTTTACTCACTGACGAAGTCGAGGATAATCTTTCAGAATATGATGATCTACCAGGAAATATTCCAACAGATTATCTTATAGAGGAGACGACAGAAGACCTGGAAGAAGAAACTGAACAGTTAGCTAAATTTCCTATAGAGGAACTAGCAGATTTGGACATTGAACCAGTGGTAACAGAACCTAAAGAGGGAAAAGCAGTTGAAGCTACAACAGCAGCAGAACCAGTGGACCAATCTGAAGCAGGATTGGTGGAGGAAGCACATGGTAAGACAGAACTTCCCACCAGTGATGGCCAATTGGAGTCAGAAGACATGAAGACAGTTAAAACATCTGATGAATTGGCGACTAATAAGTCACTTCAGTTGGATCTGGTGTCAACTCCTCTGTTGCAAGAGATGGAGCAGATTGCATCTGACATGTCCTCCCTTGCAGAGGACATTTCAAAAAGTCCTGTTCTTGCGTCAGCAGAGATTCCTATGGAAATGAAAGATTCAACAACAGATGCTGTTGATCAGTCTACAACAGAGAAGGACTTCGCAGATGAGGCACCTTCGACTGTTACTTGTCATGCAACTGATGTTTCGATGGCAAGTGGCAGTTCACAGGAGATGTCAGTAGAGGATATAGAAGGTAGTCCTGTGGAGTCTTTGACTCCTACACCTGAGAATGAAGATGGTCTCGAGTTGGAAACACCTACAGTCACATTGGAAGTTTCTGCTGAAGAAACTGCTTTACAGCTTGTTGATCCCCAGGTTAAAGAAGAAACTGCCCTGGAATTCTCTTTAGCCACCAGGGAGAAACTGGCTTCTATCTCATCAGTTTCTGATATCATTCAAGACCTTCCTGCTCATTCTGCAGAAACTGAAGAGGAACCAGTGTTAGGAGCATCTGCTGTTTCTGTTGATGTGGTTGGTATGTCTGATCCCATATCAGAAGAAATGTCGGCTGTAGATGATCTGATGAAAGAAGTATCTGGATATTCTCCATCAGAGATTGAAGGGCAAGAAGTTATTATGACTGGGCAATTTGTTAGTGAGCCTGTCGATGTGTCTGAACTTGCAGCTGGAGCTTTCACAGTGGAAGACACAAGTTCTCAACCTGCAGAGGGTCTCAAATTAAATGTGTTTGTGACCACAGATCTGGAATCTTCCACACCTTCTTCTCCACTTACAAAATATGATGTTGTTGAAGACTTGTCAGCTACTATAGATGAACCATTGACTGATGAGAAATCAATCAAGATGGATGAAGAAGACACATCAGAGAAATCTGCAGAGCCTGATGTAGTCACACATGAAGAGATAACAGCTGTTGGGAGTTTTGATCTATCAGCAAATCTGACTCTGGAAGAAACACAACCTGATACTTCAATAACAACTGAAACACAGCCGGAAGCGGAGGTAACCTTGACTCTCCCTGCTGCAGATTCAGCAACATCAACAGAAGTGTCCATCCCCGCACCAGATGAAACCCCAGATGTTGACTCTCCTGTAACACGCGCAATGCTTCGGAGACAAAATTATTTGGCAGAGCAGGCTAAAAAAAAAGAACTTTTCGAGGCTTCTGGGCATATTAAGAATAATGAACCAGTCCATTCGCATGAAGCCCCTTTAGCAATTTTACCTATTGATAGTGAAGAAATTCAGGATGAGAGTTTACCAACAGGATCAAAATCAAAGGAAGTGAAGGTGGCTGCTGCTGTAACACATGTAGGTATCAAACCAAGCGAGCAAACTTTTGACAATAAGCCGAAAACAATTGTTGTTCAGGTTGAAAGTACAGAGATTACTGGTCCTCCAAAAGAAATGGTGTCTGATCTAATGTCAGGTCAGAAAAGAGCAAACTCCCCAGAAAGGTATGGTTCTCTAACACGTCCCTTGAGAGTATACAAGCAAGTCAGCAGTGACATAGAGGATGATAATACCAAGGCAAATCAGAAAAGGGTGGATGACTGGGTGACAGCGACTACAGATGATATGATGGTCACGAATCCAGAGTCGTTGACCGTCCAAACACCAGCTTCTCTCCCAGAGAGTTCCCCAAGCATTCAACCAACTGATGAGTCTGTGCATTCACCAGCGACCGATAGCGTTCAAATTACCCAGCAACCTTTGCCAGAAAATGTCCAAAGTGTTTACAAACCAGGTTTCGTCATTCGTTCACAACAAACTAACCCTCTACCCCAAACAGAAAATGTACAGGTCCAGCGTGCTGGTTTTGTCCTACGTCCACAAACTGTAGAAAATCTTCCCCAAAACCCACATCCTTTGCCTGAAAGTGCTGGAAATCCATACCAACCTGAATCCGCAGAAAACCCAAAATCTAATGTTGAGGATATCCAGCTTCCCCCAGAAACCCTTCCAGATACTGATGATGTCCCCGTGCCCGGTCGTGTGTATCGTCCCAAAACTGATTACAACACTCTCCCACGTCCCTCAAAATCCTCCAAAGATGTGAGTACTCCAAAACGGGCTGGCTCTCTGCCTCGGAGCTCCTCATCTGCTGAAAAGCAGCGTAAGGTAGGGCATTGCAGGTTAAAGGCATTATGGGATATGACGTTCACGTTTGTAAGGCCCATGGAGAGTACTCCTAGGGGTTCTTTAGATTGGGTTGAGGGATATATCGTCAGAATTTTATAAGAAATTATTTTTAAAAATCACAACTAACATAAAGCAATGTAGGAGAAATTGTATATTTTGTTTTGGTATTTGAGACGGCAAGCTGTGCCTAAAAGTCTAGTTTAAGCATTAGATTAAACCCCATGATTATTACTGGAATAGCTCAGTGGTATTTTCTTAGACTTCGGAATAGACAAGAACTCCTGGCAAATTGCCAACAATGTTGTATTTTAGTGATGTTATATATGGTGATAACAGCAGCTATTTTTATTTACAATGGTCCATTTCACACTTATTGAAATTTTGTTACGATTGCATTCCCCATAAATATCGCTGCCTTGCTGCTTTGCTAACTAACTAGACTTTCTAGGAGTACTCTCATCTACTGTCCAAACCCCTTTCTGATTTCCGAAACATGTCTTCTGTTGGACTGTGCTGATTTCTTCTGCTTTAAAAGCTTCTGTCTGACTTGGTACCACTGCCTTGTGTTCAAATTTCTTGTCTGGTTGGTTGTAATATCTGCTGAAATCTTCCTGTTGAGACCAGGTTGACCTGCTGTTTGAGATTTCTTTCTTCTTTCTTGCTGTTGAGAGAAAGATGGCCTGCTGTTTGAGATTTCTTTTTTTCCTTTTTGCTGTGAATGATGTTTGACTGTCCCAGATCCTTGATTTGATACCATTACTCCATGGAAACAAGCAAATGGATACATCCAACTTCACTTTTCCAGTCTTGTTCCTGTTGTCCACATTTTATCCAATGGTTTCCTGTGCTTTTTGATTTCTCAGTTCTCTCCATTTTAAACTCCTGTAGATGAAGTGTTCCTGTGTTTACAACTAGAAATATTTATGGTTTTGCTAGTGTATGAAAAACTGATTAAATTATTTCAAAATTCAGAATCTTTTTTTAAAGTAAACTAATTTTTAAGTTTGATTTTTTTCTGGAAAAAAATGTCTATCTAACTTTTTAGTAAGTTGAATGACATTCTGACAGGAAGTTTTAAATTAGTTGTGATTTTTTTTACTTTTTTGTTTTAATTTTTCTTAAAATAAATTTTTTATCTAAATTTCAAAATTAAATATTTTGTCAAACAGGAATTCTAACCTAAAGAGCACTGAATTCATTATAAATAACATTTCTTTAAGATATACTTAAATATCTATTTGATAAGATGTGATTAAGACAAATAAAACATATCTAAAGATAATTTGCTCAGGGTTGTGGGTTTATAGTTCACTAGACAAAGTTTTTATAATGTCTGGTGATCATGAACACATCATCATATCGCTAGCAAATGCTGGTGTATTTATGGAGTCCTTTTTCATCTCTAAAAATAAAATACGATATAAAATGATGATATAATATTTAATTTATGAGTCATTATGATTCCATGGCAATACACTTCGTCATAACTGTTCAGCTATTGCTGTTGACAAAAATTGGCAACACAAGCTTCTATTTCAATACCCTGTCATGAGATCTCCCCTAAATTTGAGTCTAAGGTTATGTGTTATACTTGTGGGCTTATTTTAGGAAAATTATAGTCAATTATTAAAATAAGTAATTTTTTGAAAAATTGTATTAATAATAAAATTTCAACAGAATACTAATAGATCTATAATATGCCTAGCTGTTGATAAATGTTGTCTCCCAAATAATTTGAATTTATTCCAAACATTTAAAACAAATAAGTTACATATTACAGAAGGTTTCTAGAATACATTCATAATATAGATTACACTTTTATTTTTTCAAATTTTTGCACATTTTTTAATACTATCTAACACAAGTATCATCAAATTGTCTTGAAATAGCACAATCACAAATTTTATATATTTTTTTTTTTAGCTTTTTAATATTTGTTAATAATCATTGCATAGTGATTTTTTCCTGGATTGTCCATTCTAGAATGATGTTCTGTTTGCCATGTTGGTATTCTATAATGTTTTATTGCATGCCAACAGGAACCTGTTAATAGAAAAATACCGACTATAAAGGTAACCAGGTGTTGTATACAACTGGATTCCATCAGTCACCTCTAGTTGTTAGATATTAAATACCGTATTTATCCTAAGAAAATACTTTATAAAATTTACAGGTAAATGTCGCAAGAGGTGACTGATGAAATTCTGTCTGTTTAATGGTAACAAGTGTTTGTATCTGGTTTTTTTTTTTTTACTTTTATTTATTATTTTTATTTATTTAGTTTTTTTTCTCCTTTCATCGCAAGTTCTCTCAATCATTGAATGTGTTAACTACATCAATATTTATTGTATGATAGTAGTTATTTTATTTTCTGAAAAAATTTCGAAAATTATTAGAATTTTTCTGTTTTGCACGTTTCATACATGTACATTTTGTATTTTCACTTTTTTTTTTTTAAAGATATGCATCTGAAATTTTAAAAAATATGCATTTAAATTTTTCTAGACTTCAATCATTTTGTTCTGGTATTTGTGTATTTCTGTCTCAGGAATATCAGTGTTATAACCTTATATAACCCATCAAACCTACAGTATAGAGATAGTATGTATATTGTAAATCATTGCATGTAATGTAATGTAATTTCTTTTTAAAAGTTTTAATTTTTACTCAAAATTTATTGCAATATATTTTTATCCAGTGGAAACCTTGGTAACGGTTTTAAATAATATGCATTTATTGAAGATTCTGATGTTTTTATCAAAATTATTTTAACATGATAAAATTATTTGGGAATTGACACGGTATCAAGGATTTGTTTTAAGTTTAGCTGTATTGATGTGAATTTGTGAGCTTAGTTACAATAGCATCACTTAAGAATCTAAAGACTTATCCTAATTATTCATCAACCAATAAGTCAAATGTATAGCTGTATGCCTTATTGACTATTTTCCTTTTTTTTTACCAACAGACAACACAGAGCTCTCCAACAGAGGAGGCAAATAGTGACATCCCTACTGTCAAGATGGACCCTCCTCCATCTGGCCAGGATGAAAAAGGTATGTCCCCCCTTAAGTTAAATTCTCATCCTCAGAATTATGATCAGTTAAGAAATTTGTTCTTGTGTAACTTTAGATTTACTTCTGTTGGCTGATCAATAATTTTCATGTTGACTTAGCTCTGGTGTCTGTGATATCAGAATGTAGGTATACACAGTTGTTTTAGGTCTGGTATCACTTATTAGCTCACTGCTGAATTTTAAATCAGTCGAAATGGTCGTAGCTGTCTGGGCTTATTGCCGAACAATAGAAAATGTTGTACAGCTAGGAGAGTACCCTCCAATCTTGTTTGTGTATCAGAGAAAATTAGCTGTGGTTGGATGTAAGTCAGATGGAGGTTGTGTTAAGATAGTTTCTCATATTACCATGGAAACCCCATCTCTTTCCATTATGACTTGACTGTCGACACGGTTTTTGCCCGTTTTAATTTGACGCAGCTCTGCTTACTGTGGTATATCTTAATTAACATTTTTAAAACTGTCAACAGTGAAGTTTTAATGTTGGCTGTTAGCAAAATAAAAAAAATGGTTCATATAGAGCAATGCTATATACTGCAGCTTTTGTGTCTTGTATCAGGCTGTAAATATCATATAATTTGATTTAGCACTGGCTTTTCATTTGCTTTTTGATATATTTATGAAGGCTGGTTTATTATGATCAGTTTGGTATTTTCAGTGATGTAGCAACCTCTGTACAGCTAGAACAAAAAAAAAAAAAAAATTATAAATAAATATGAAAGATAAAATTTTCTTATTTCTAGGAGAACATTCTTCTGTTTGATAACATGTTCTGTCATTAAGAGATTTTTTCAAATTTATGATAGAAATTTAGCATTGTAGTACAAGTTGTAATTAGTCAAAATTTTTGATATTTTGATCTGAAATGTTTAAGCTCTATAAGAAAATACTTTCTAGTACAAACGTAGAAGTACAGATAGAAAATCTCCTGTCATAAGCGGCTGTACAGGGATGTTTTTCAGAAAGTCACCTTCATTTGTGAACGTGTACATTATGAGAATTTTTCAACAATGAGTTGTATACTATGATGTGTGTGATCTAACATTACAGAGAAAAAGAAAGGCTCCTCCTTAGCCCGTACAATTAAGAAGAGATTTTCTCGTTCTAAAAAGCGATCTAAAAGTGCGGAGCGTAGCCGTGACGACTCGCACCTCCAGCCACCAGGCCAGTCCTATGGGCAGGCTCAGTCTAAAGGTTAATTTTAATCATGCTCGGGTATTAGTGGAGTTTCTGCCTGGTTGCCTCCCTTACTTAGTAAATCTGTCAGTATTATCAGTGAAATATATGTATAAACAATTTTTTTTCACTGTGTTCAAATTTTCACAAATAATTTTGTGAGAAAACATTGTCACAGTTAATAATTTTGAACTTGATAATAAATTTCAGTGTTTGTTTTAAAGTAGATCTTTCCATGTAATGTAGAAACACGGTCTACAATGAAGACAAAAATAGAAATTATCATTATTGAAATTAAATTTAGTTAAATAAACATTGTAAATATTAAATTAGAATATGAAATTGATTATTTGTAAATCCATGACAAAAATTTTGAAAGATATTTTGACTTTGATTTTTAAAGTTCTTTCGTATTGACATTAAAATATTATAACTATTCAAATTTCAAATGTAAATGGTAATAAGTTTATGAATGTTCAATGGTTAACGGCATTAAGCTTATGAATATTCATTGATAAATTTATGCTGATAAGCTTATGAATATTCATCATAAAATCTATGATAATAACCTCATGAATATTCAATGGTAAATGATAATACTGATGGAGATAATTGTTTACCCTGCATATGATGTAGTGGAAGCTTGTCCCCAAGTTTGGTATACCTTCTAGTGCCCTTGTTATTGTACCAACCATTTTATAGTTTCAGATCGTGCTTTCATTTATTTTTATCATTTTGCATTTGATAACCATCATCTGAATAATATAATCATTTTCATAATTTAGATAACTATTATATTATAATTTGTTGTTGTTGTTTTTTTTTCATCATTGTTTTTTTTTTTAGCTTGATTTTTTTTTTTTTTTTTTTTTTGCCATTAATTCAAAATAACTTTTCTCAAGGGAGGTAACTGTTACTAATACTGCTGAGTAGCTATTATCAATTTACATACCCAACTTCAGCCACAACTAAGTGCTGCTGCTTGTAGTGATAAGATATATTTCCAAATTTTTAGAAAGTTATTGAATGATTTTTCAGCTTTTTTTGTGTGTGTTAATTCCTAGTTCAAACTGAAGGTGTATTTTTTAAGGGGTTAAATATTGTTACCTACAAACTTAGAGCTGGTTTTAAGGTATTTTCCAGTTTACCGGACCTGCCTCATTTGTTGTTGGTAAATATCAATTAAAAATACATCAGAAGCAAAACTAGTACATTTGAATATTTACGAAACACCTGGTTTGATTTCCTGTGTTTCAATGGCTCTCTTTAAACCTGCCTTTATATTTTATATAATAATTTTTTTACCTATTTTATCTTTATTACATCAGTTTTTAGTCAGAATTTGGTTTCATCAACACATCAGTTCATGTATTTTCATATCTATTTTGCAATTGAATGAGTGTGCATAAATCTAAAGTTAAATTAAAAGTTTTCATGCATTATGCCATGATCTGAAATATATAAATTCATTCTGTACGGAGATTCTTTTTACAAACAGGACTGCTGAAATTGCATGAATTTTTTTTTAAATGTGAAAAAGTAGCCATGAAATCAATAGCTACAAATACTCTTGTTGTGATGGATGATCTTAATAGATTATAGTTTTTAGTTCATCGGATCTGAAGGACCAAGGCCATACTGTGGTATCCGTTGTCTTTAAAACACTTGTCTGGAACAGCTCAGCATATTTTGACCAAATTTGGTGTGGAGCATAAATAAGGGAAGGTAACTTAATTTTGTGTAAAAGACAGGTCTGACCCTCCCCCTGAGGCTTGACAGGCAGGTCCTAAAAGGGAAAAAAATTCACATTTTTTTTTTATAAATCTTTATTTTTGTTATTTGGAAAATGAGTTTTTATCCAGTATTGTCTGAAGATTCCTGGAACACAGGTTTTTGAATACTTGTGTACTTGTGCTGCTTCCTCATTAGGAAAGACTCCATAGATTCTGTGTGCACAGGGGATGGGTGGGGCAGAGAGACAGATCCCTCTGGGGAATTAGAAATAAGAGTTTAACAATGCGCATGCATCTCATGGGATTCCAGATCTACCACGCAGAAGTGAATGACAAAATCATTTTCTGTTTGATGAAGGTATTTTGTTGAAATTTAACTTGAAGTTTTGATATTTCTTTTAGAACAATGTAACAACAGAGTCATGAATAAAAAGTTTTAAAAGTTAAAGCTGAAATGTCAAGGTGAGCACTACAGGCCCAACAGGCCTCTTGTTTTGTAGGAATATTTAAAAACACTCAGAATCTATTACTGAAAATGTTCAGGATTTCACATTTGATGTCAAAATACTATAATGATGATAGCCATACCACCATTAAGTACTATAGTAACTATGGAGAAATGCCCTATTCTGTTATATCATGGCTTAATTTGTTTACAATCAGAGTTGTCTGCCCTTGACATTGTGACTTTGTTTACCTGGTATATAAATGTTGTCTTTTGTTGTTGTTAGTTATAATTGTTTATGTGTTGTAAAGTAGGAGGAAATTAGGTAAATAAATAAAAAAAAAAAATTATCTCTGTTGCCATGTCAACATTTGGCGTGTTTAAGAACTAGAGTGAAATATGTGTTGTAATGGAAAAAATAGTCGATCATTTTAAAATGTATACATATTTTTTTTATTGTGTATTTATTTATGAGATCAGAGACAGTAAACATCAGGTAGGTTGTATGTTGATAATTTTGGGTACAGCCTATTAAATTCAGAATCCTTATTATGATATATTTCATGTCCCTTGAAAACTGTCTTCATCTAATTATATTTTACATTTTAAGTCACCAAGACGGAGATGCTTTCTATAACCATGAAAACAACAGCAGCCTTTTTAGAAACAAAGTGTCTGTTAAGCCCCTCGGGCCTCTTGTCTATTTTATCTATAAACATTTTGGCTGATTTCCAGAAGTTGTCTACGGCTGCTATCATGCATTGTTGAAAGATACAAAAATGTAAACAAAAGGAGTGATCCCATCTGTAAGGCATTAATCAATAACTCCTATTATATCCTAGGTTTATTTCATGTAAGTTTGGATAATGACTATGCTAACATGTTAGTGTTTTCTTTGGTCCCAGTTTTCAAATTTAAAAAAAAGAGTAAAAGAAAAAAATGTACACAAATTCCCGATTTTCAGAGAAAAAATTTCATCCTTGGAAATTTGGTAGAAATAATCAAAATCATTTGAAATAATGGATGATGGAATTTATGCTTAATTGTATGACAAAAAAAATCCTTCTGCTCTTACATTGAGCAGAAAAAACCCATTAAAAATTGAAAAAGTTATGCTAAAATGTCCATTTCTTATATGTTAATTACAGAAATATGTGAGAAAATCAACACCAAAAATTATATTGGAAGTTGTAAAAGAAAAGTTATTTTTTAATATTTGAAGAATTATGAGGAAATAGATACGCTTGTTGACCTGTGTTGGTGATTGATCCCTACCCGAGTTAATGTTGGTGAACAATGCTTATACCCTGTTTTTGTCCTTGTTTTTCATGCACACCTCTAGAATCCTTACACAATCCAGGTACGCAGTAGTTTTAGCCATTTTTTTTCTACGCTGCTTCTTATAGTTATATACTATAGATTTTGTCTATCTTTCTTAGTGACCTATCATATATAAAGCAAATTGTGACAATATTCTTTAATCACTCTAAGTTACTCAGTAGATTTTGTCTATCTTTTTTAGTTACTCTTCCGCTACTCTGTAGATTTTGTCTGTCTTTTGTAGTTACTCATCAGCTACATGGTAGATTTTGTCTGTCTTTTGTAGTTACTCATCAGCTACATGGTAGATTTTGTCTATCTTTTGTAGTTACTCATCAGCTACTTGGTAGATTTTGTCTGTCTTTTGTAGTTACTCATCAGCTACATGGTAGATTTTGTCTATCTTTTGTAGTTACTCATCAGCTACATGGTAGATTTTGTCTGTCTTTTGTAGTTACTCATCAGCTACATGGTAGATTTTGTCTATCTTTTGTAGTTACTCATCAGCTACTTGGTAGATTTTGTCTGTCTTTTGTAGTTACTCATCAGCTACATGGTAGATTTTGTCTGTCTTTTGTAGTTACTCATCAGCTACATGGTAGATTTTGTCTGTCTTTTGTAGTTACTCATCAGCTACATGGTAGATTTTGTCTATCTTTTGTAGTTACTCATCAGCTACATGGTAGATTTTGTCTGTCTTTTGTAGTTACTCATCAGCTACATGGTAGATTTTGTCTATCTTTTGTAGTTACTCATCAGCTACTTGGTAGATTTTGTCTGTCTTTTGTAGTTACTCATCAGCTACATGGTAGATTTTGTCTATCTTTTGTAGTTCCTCATCAGCTACATGGTAGATTTTGTCTGTCTTTTGTAGTTACTCATCAGCTACATGGTAGATTTTGTCTATCTTTTGTAGTTACTCATCAGCTACTTGGTAGATTTTGTCTGTCTTTTGTAGTTACTCATCAGCTACATGGTAGATTTTGTCTATCTTTTGTAGTTACTCATCAGCTACATGGTAGATTTTGTCTGTCTTTTGTAGTTACTCATCAGCTACATGGTAGATTTTGTCTATCTTTTGTAGTTACTCATCAGCTACATGGTAGATTTTGTCTATCTTTTTTAGTTACTCTTCCGCTACTCTGTAGATTTTGTCTATCTTTTGTAGTTACTCATCAGCTACATGGTAGATTTTGTCTATCTTTTTTAGTTACTCTTCCGCTACTCTGTAGATTTTGTCTCTTTTGTCGTTACTCATCAGCTACATGGTAGAGTTTGTCTATCTTTTGTCGTTACTCATCAGATACATGGTAGATTTTGTCTATCCTTTGTAGTTACTCATCAGCTACATGGCAGATTTTGTCTCTTTTGTCGTTACTCATCAGCTACATGGCAGATTTTGTCTCTCTTTTGTAGTTACTCATCAGCTACATGGCAGATTTTGTCTGTTATAGATACTCTTCCTCCACTCAGTAAATGTTGTCTATCTTTTGTTTGTAGTTACTCATCAGCTACATGGTAGATTTTGTCTATCTGTTGTAGTTACTCATCAGCTACATGGCAGATTTTGTCTATCCGTTGTAGTTACTCATCAGCTACATGGTAGATTTTGTCTATCTTTTTTAGTTACTCATAAGCTACATGTTAGATTTTGTCTATCTTTTGTAGTTACTCATCAGCTACATGGCAGATTTTGTCTATCTGTTGTAGTTACTCATCAGCTACATGGCAGATTTTGTCTATCCGTTGTAGTTACTCATCAGCTACATGGTAGATTTTGTCTCTTTTGTCGTTACTCATCAGATACATGGTAGATTTTGTCTATCTTTTGTTGTTACTCATCAGCTGCATGGTAGATTTTGTCTATCTTTTGTCGTTACTCATCAGCTACTTGGTAGATTTTGTCTATCTGTTGAAGTTACTCATCAGCTACATGGTAGATTTTGTCTATCTTTTGTTGTTACTCATCAGCTACATGGTAGATTTTGTCTATCTTTTGTTGTTACTCATCAGCTACTTGGTAGATTTTGTCTCTCTTTTGTAGTTACTCATCAGCTACATGGTAGATTTTGTCTATCTGTTATAGATACTCTTCCTCCACTCAGTAGGTTTTGTCTATCTGTTGAAGTTACTCATCAGCTACTTGGTAGATTTTGTCTCTCTTTTGTTGTTACTCATCAGCTACTTGGTAGATTTTGTCTCTCTTTTGTAGTTACTCATCAGCTACATGGTAGATTTTGTCTCTTTTGTCGTTACTCATCAGCTACATGGTAGATTTTGTCTATCTTTTGTTGTTACTCATCAGCTACTTGGTAGATTTTGTCTCTCTTTTGTAGTTACTCATCAGCTACTTGGTAGATTTTGTCTATCTTTTGTAGTCACTCATCAGCTACATGGTAGATTTTGTCTATCTGTTGAAGTTACTCATCAGCTACATTGTAGATTTTCTCTGTCTTTTGTAGTTACTCTTCTTCTACTCAGTAAATTTCATCTATCTTTTGTAGTTTTTCTTCCCGTACACGGTAGATTTTGCGAGTCCTTCTTTCTTACTCATTAGAAAAACGAAAGATTTTGTCCATCATTCTTACTACCGTTTCAAGTATGCAATAGATTTATACATTCTGTCTTTATATCCAGACTTAAACAACCACTTAAAGTTAAAATACATTATATATTGGATTGTGAAATTGACCATGAACTCTTCATGAAGGTAATTTGTTAAAATAAATACCACTCTATCGATCACGAATGCTGTAGACATTGCTGAATTGCCACTGTGTATTAACTTATTCCTCATAACCTAGAAATAGCCATCAGCTCCAGTCGTTGGTATCGCACTTAAGCCAAACTTATTAAAATGTGACAGAATCACTCAGCATGTCGTAGACTAATGGCAAATTTTTAGAGGAAACAGTCTTATACAATTTACCCTGAAACAAATATCCTTAGAGGATAATCAGAGGATAAGTTTCTTCCCTGTATCTAATACACCTGTACACAGTGTCCTCAGCCTTAGAAATTATATTTATTAATGATTTTTAGTAGTTTTGACGTCGTTTGATATGTTAGCTGTACCTATAATCACAGTTTCACATAGTTATCTCTTTTACCTAGCTTCACAACAAACTGACCAAGTTTTGATTTTATGTGATATCTGAGTTACTGGTGTTGCTTGACACAGTAGAGTAGTCGCTGGATGTCTTGTGTGATTTTCCTGAACCATATTTAATTGCAATTGTTGATGCCTAGAAACTGCACATAATAATTACATATATTTTATCCTCACAAAATGATCTTTCTTTAGAATATATATTGTATTATCAAACATATGAAAAAAAATTATTATATTATGGAACTGGTGCAACTCCCGAGCTAGATATTGACTTTTCTTTTCTCAGTCGCCTCCTAGGCTTCAACTTTTAGGCCCTTAGCATCACTGTCGAGTCCTCGAAGAACGAAACAGCTGTATGATGCAGTTTAATTCATTGTTTGGCTCTATTGTATTTAACTCTAAATTTGAATTATTATTTTGAATTAAAAGGTGCTGTTCACTTTTGTGTCTTTTGTGCAATCTTGTTATTTTAAGAAAACTTTTTATTCTTTGTTACAGATGATATAGAACTAGTGCGAGCCCAGCAAGACACGCCAAGCCTGAAGAAGTCTCGATCCTTGGGAGGAAGTTTAAAGAAGCTGTTCAGGAGAGGAAGGAAGAGGTCTAGGGATCGTGGTGAAACATCCCGAGAAAGCTCTTACTCAAGATCATCAACTCGAAATGCTTCCCAAGGTCCATCTAGGGAGGGATCGATCGGCCGTGGGAGTGGTCAGAGTTCCTCCTTGACCAGGAGTGGTCAGCTTCCTGAACAGAAGGAGATTGGGCGAAGTCACTGGAGCAAGTCTACGCCACAGTCTACCTCGAATGAGTATATGGAAAGAGGGATAGATGTATCACCACGTCATGAACCAGGAGAGACAAGTTATCCTGTACTTCAACAGGAACCTGCAGTCCTACAACCACGGGGCATGTCGTCACAGGATCAAGACATCAGCAAAGGGCACTGGAGTAGACCAAAATCTGGAGAACAATTAGACGAAGTCAGACAGAGCTATGACACATACAGTGCTCCTCCCGAAGATGTACGCAAGGGTCACTGGAGCAAGTCAAAGTCGCCACCACGAGCTGGTGCTGTTATAATCACAACCCCGAAAAAGGAACCGTTAGATGTTGTGAGTCCAAGCTATGATACCATGGCGGCACCACCAACCTCAGATGACAGACTTGAGGTTCGGCGAGGTCACTGGAGTAAGAGTAGATCTCCAGCTCGATCTGTAGGGCCGGTGATTATAACAACACCTAAACAAGAAGTCCCAGATGTAGTCCCCAGTTCCACTACAAAAGCTGTGACACCAGAACCTGAAGAGAAGAAAGAAGTCAGTAAGAAACCAGAACCTAAAGAGGTCAAAGAGGTTATTGTAAAAACAAAGTCTTTAGAGAAAATAGAACCTATTCAGCCTACTGAAGACAGTGTGCCTGAACCTGCAGAAGAAGTTCGTAAAGCACACTGGAGTAAGTCCAAGTCGCCAGTTCGATCAGGGCCAGTCATCGTAAAAAAGAAAGAGTCAGTGGAGACGGAGGAAAGTGAAAAACCTGAACCTGAAGTGGGTAGTGTACAGGTCGATGTACGTAGGGGACACTGGAGCAAATCTAAATCACCTAGTCGCGAACGTGAACGTATTGGACAGATTGTAGTATCCAAAGAACCTACGGTTGCTGCACCAACTGCAGAGGTTGATATACGCAAGGGTCATTGGACAAAAAGCAAATCCAAGTCTCCAAAGCGAGATTCACATCCCACTGGTGGTGTAGTGGTATCCGTACCCGATAGCCAAACACCCAGTCCCGCACAGGTTGAACCTGCCTCTGAAGTCAAACCATCTCCAACTACGACAGAATCGTCTGATGTTAAAGCCAAACCAAAGCCAACGAAAGCCGAACCTGTCAAATCGAAAACAGTTAAAGTTGTTCCAGTCAAAGCCAAACCTGCCAAAGTTGAACCGGCAGTTGTAGAACCAGTTAAAACAGTTCCTGAAGAGCCATTCGTCCCTCCACCACCAAGTGCGAAAAAGGGACACTGGAGTAAGTCGTCAATGGACACAAAACAGCCCACAGGCGGAGGGGTTGTCGTGGTCACAACAGAAGCTGCTGAGGTTCCCGTTACTCCTGTTGAGACAGTGGATGTCCGCCGGGGTCATTGGACAAAGCCCAAGACAAAGGCGTCATGATTATAGTCATAGAATTTGAGACAAAAAATAATATATATCTGTTGGATAAATGATAGAAAATGTGCAATGGGATCCCAGAATTATGAGAAAGAATAACATGTGTTTGGAGTGGCAGTGCATAAGCTTGACTCGGACAACTTTCTGATTACAGAATACCATGGTGTTACCAGACTGAAGGGACAGCGAGTGTTGTAAGGAAGCACTATATCTCTCCATGTCTAAAATATCTGGTTTTATTATTAATGCAAGTTTGTTATAACAAAATCGATGTCTCACTTTTTTTCTAATATCGATATTCCCTTTTTAGGTATCAGCTTAACGTAAATGACAAATATTATATATACGTCAGAACTGTTTGCTCAAATGGTAACAACTCGTACGTTCAGCCATTCACTAACTATAAGAATGTTCTTTCCGTTACGTATTTCGCCTTTCGTATCTTGAGAAATACTTGCCACCTACCTAATCCACACTGACGGCAATAGCTTTCTGTGCTGTGATGCTAACCATATAAATATGTCTATCATTATTTGACTATTTACGCAAATTCCTCCACTGGAAACCATCCTGTCAGACAATCAGTTAATTGCATGGATAATGTAGCATTATGTGAACACTTTTATTACAAACACAAGTCCCATTGCAGTTTCCCAAACTCATCCCGTCCATCCATTACCTTTATTATTTAAGACTGGTTTTAAAATAAATATTGATATATGACATTGAGAAATATGATGAGATAATATAAGTTGATTTTAGTCGTTACATATAAAAAATTATTATTCTTTTGTTATTTGAAATAGCTGCAGTTTATTTATAAGTCTGATTACAGCCAATCACATAGAAATCCATTTTACTTCACGATATACAATGTTTGATAATTTTGAAATATGCATTGTATTATAAATATAACACATCCTATCGTTATTTGTTGTTGAAGATCCATTCTGTTATTATACAATGAGATGAATTGTATTATCTGGGTAATGTTTAAAAGATGTCGTATGATTATGCAACATCATCCTAGGAATGTTGCATATCTACACTTTAAACATCGTAAGAGATTTCTCTTTGTTAAATACTCATTATTAAATATATTCCTTTTTAGTCCCTGTTTGTTATTTCTGTTGAAACAGAAATAATTAATCATATCGTTTCGTTTATATTTTGTTAACATATCCTTACATTATATTACCACATCCTAGCTTACTTCCTAGTCTCGTTTGTTCATCCAATAGATGTCTGTTGATTGGTTGGATCCTCTCAGGCCTTAAGTTTGATAATTTGTGTACATGTGTGTGATTTTTCAGTAATGGTAAGTTTGAAAGTAATTATGTTGTTAATGCTTTGTATTCATAGAAACAATAGTGGTTTTAATGTCTATTTATTCTATATACAAATATGCTGTAAAATCGTATATTTTCGTTGGGCTCAAATTTCGTGATTTTTGCTAAAACGTGCATTTCCGCTGGCACTTGATTTCGTGGATAAATCTTGCTCACAAAATCCACCAGAACTAAAATCCGTGTGAATTTTTATCAGTTTATCTCTTAAGGACATATAAATTTGTAGATTAAGAGTAACCGCGAATTCAACGAAAATAAAATAATCACGAACATTACTGATTTCGCAGTATATGAAAAAAGTGAAAAAATACTTTGTATATAAGAGAGAAATGTATTTAGAAGATAGTGGCATGCTTTTATTGCAGTTCAAGAAGTTGATTAAAACTAGTTAGAAGAAGTGAAAGCTTTGTAATTATAGGAAAGAATATTCATACTATAGTTAGAACGGGTGAATTAGTTATCTTGACGTAAGCATAGTGAAACAATTCCGGAAAATGTAAGTTATTGAAAGACATTGAGGAAAGATGGAAGATGAATTTTCAAGGCCGTCATGACCTGAAGGGGAGAGCTTGATATGATCTTTAATAAAAATGTATATTTGAAAACATGAATATTTGTGCTGAGGAAATTTAAGGAATAGTATAAACATTTTTTCACGTCTACTAAAGTTTAGATAAATTTCAGTTACCCGCGTGATTATATCAATATGTCAACATGCATTTTCATTCGAGTCATATTACATTATTTTATTAGAACGATCAACACAATCAAATTCATTTAAACATTTTTTTTCATAATTAAATCTTAGAGTTGAAAATCTAGTGCCATATATTCATCTGTTTATATCAAGAATTTCTTTTGAGTTTTACTCGTTGATGTAATTTGGATACATGCAAGGAAGTTTAACTTCTTGTTTTTGTCGCAAAAACACCGAACCATCTTACATGTCTCTGATTTTAAATCGCGTACATCATTTTAAAAAAACAAGTCTGTATTTCTCTTTACTTGGATCAGAATCCACTCAAAAGTTGAATTAAACGTCAGTTATTAAGTCGTAATGATATATTTGATAAACCAAGTCTTTTGGACCCTGTCTCATCTCCTTATACCGTGTGACAGTTGCAACCTCATTCAACAGCTCCCTCATAAGGTCTTGGATTCACAAAGTGATCTGTCTTCCACCATGATTTTCGCCCATACTTCAGGATTGTGCAATATTTTCGCCAGCATAATTTATGTTAGATTCGTAGAGATTTGTAAAATCTATATAAAAGGTAATAGGTTTTGTTATTTAGTTACGTACTTTTATTATCGTTTCAGAGATCTATATGCCATTGAGAAGATATTTTTGGTAAAGAGAAAAAAAAGTGAAAAATCCCCAAATCTGTCTTTCATAAATGTGAAATTTTTTACAGTCTTATACCGTTCTTCCGATTTTGATTAAATCGTAAAATTAACGATAACTCGATTTTTTTAATCTAGTCTGTTCCTTTTTAAATTTTCATCAATATTAAAGATTAATTTGAAAAGAAAACATGTGCAAAACAAATGCAAAGCCATTAGTTAGGGAAAAGCATTAACATATCGTTGATTATTGACGTAAAGTCGTTACTTAGTAGTGATGAGTTTAGTACATTGATAATTAAGTAAAAGAGTAAATGATTGTTTATATGTGACATTGGATGGTGTAACAATGTGCCCAATATATACAGTTCAAACAACGAACAAGGGAGATAAATCAGATAGATATTTTATACTAAATGTATGCGTGCAGTTGTAAAATTAAAATAAAATTTCTGTTTAATTCTTTGTAATATTTGTATAATTTTCAAATTACTTTGGATTCTCCAAATTGTTTAAATGACGCAATTAATAACAAGCTTGTTGTTTAAATAGTAAACTTATCTTTTAATGATATTAATCATATGTTTTTCAATCTAAAGTTTAATTTTAGCAGTAGATGGTATGGACACAACCAGACGTCTGTCAACACGCACTCACCGGAAGAAACTGATTAAATCAATTAATGTATATCTATATATCTATCAGTATGTTAATTTCATTTAAAAATATAGATTATGTAATTATTCGATATTTATGTACAATAGAAGATCTGTATCTATTTGAGAATTTTTTATTGACATTTACATATACATATCTGAGCAGGAATCTTATTTTAGCACTATTTTGCTCTGATGCTATCTCGCTGAAATATGATTGCGCTAATTAAGTTCTGGATATTGTCTATATAGCCGTTCTTGTCGATGGACAAATTCGATGAACAAATTCGTTATCGCGCTAATTCGCCAAAGAGTTATAATGCGCTAAAATTTGATTACGCCAGTAAAAGAAAGGGACACATATCTGAATGTTTCCTCCTGGTGGGGTTGTTTTTGGTGATAATGTGTGATATCACATCTGCTGTTATGGTAAGATTCTCTCAAATAATTATATTTTCTCACTTTTATACTTCCATGTGTCAATGATCTAAACAATCCACTTGCTGATTTTTTTTTATTCGAGCTTGAATTTAGAATATTTTATTTCTGAAAGTTGGTTGGTAGTACTTCATATTGTTTTTCTTCCCAGCTTCTGTAAGGGTGAAACACTTAAAAAAAGTGATTGCTATCATATCAACATCTATATGTCTTTTATTAATCCAAAATGACGATTTTTACGTCTGTAAAAGATGTTTTGTTAACCTCTTTGGGAAGTTTTTGATGTGATATAACTTTTTTTTAAAATTTTTGTTTAGGAATAGAAAATTTAGACATTTTGTATGCAAAATTAATTTTTAAAGGTGGTTAAAAACTTTAAAGAAAACGCTTTCATTATCAAAATGCTTTTCGTTTGCAATCGTGTTAAAGTAGATGAAGCAAGTTGAAATGTTGAATTCTTGGTGAAAATGCACATTTGTTTGTAGTATAGAATAAAATTTGTGGCTTTATTTTACATGAAATAATTTTCATGTTTGTGTAAACGTGATCTAAAATTGTAATTCTTTCTCCTAGATATTTATACAATTTACTGTGTATATTTACGTCAAATTGTTACTAAGGAGTGTGAATACATTGATTGTATAAATAATGTAACATCATTAGTGTCTTCTCAGTGACAATGTAGAGATGTAGAAACGTCATTAATAAAACTAGTCTTAACTTCTTGAGAACTTTGTACTTTTTTTCTTTTCTTATTTAAATCTCAAAGTAGACAATTTCTCAAATTGTGCCACGTTACCATTTCTGGAACAAAGAAGAAATAAATGGAGTGTTCTATCAGGCTTCACCTGCGATCAGCTTCGCCTGTACAAGAGAAAGAGAAAGCACATGTCACCAAGTGTTCAATTATACTGTTAAATATTTGTCGAACTTTATATCAAAAATGAAAAATTATTCATATATGCTAATACTCTGTTAGCTGTCCTCCCGTAATTCACGAAACTAGTTCTATATTTAATATGTATTCTTAACATGAGCTCGGGGGCGTCAAACAACCATCGCTGGGGATCAGTGATGATGACCAACATCTGAATATCTCGGAGATGAGTGAGAAAAATCCGAATTGGCCAATACAGAGAATCAGATATAGCTTAAGTAGGTGTACTAAAGTCAATGTTTAGTTAAATATCCTATCTTTGAGTAATAGACCATTTACGGAAGTCGAGTTTGCACAGAGGGGAGTGAATGAATATTAAAATTACATCAGTAATATCTTACATCAAATCATGTCTGTCGAAGAAAATATTCCTTGCAATACAAGAATATCTCTCCCATTTCCTAGACGGCTTCACAAGTCCTTGTCTTCCATGTTTGCTTGCGGCATATTCTGCTTTCCTTCGTAAGTATGACATACCGGGACAAATGATTACTAGGAGTTGAAGCAATATTTAAAATGATAAGCCAAGAACTTTTTTTATGAAGAGAAGGCCCCAAACTATCACGAAACTCCATTTTGGATTAAATTGATTAGGTTTATCAATTGTAAAAGAATAAGTCGCTGAAAATCAAAGAAACACAAAAATTTATTTCTTGATCATGATGTTACAACCAGACTTCACGATTTGAAAAATAAGTATATGATTTTCCCTTTAAATCTGATTACAAATGTTCTTACATTACCTGTTTGTAAAATAAACATGGCTTACCTGATAAAGAAAGGACCTATACAAAATGTACAGTCTTGCTCCCAAGCTCAGTTACCGTTTCTGATCCGTCTTCATGCGTCGTCTGTCGCCATCTCCACATTTCTGCATTCTTGAAAACCATACCAGTATTTTATATAAAAATGGCAAATGACAGGTAAAATTGTAAATGATATTCAAATACATCCGGGGCTTTGAGTGTGGGATAGGAATAGGAAAATGCTTTGTTTTTTTTTTTTTTTTTAGAAAATATCCAGATGGAGATAATCCTGGGTAAGTTGAATAACTAGAATTAATGAAAATGTCCCAGGGTGCTTTGTGATATGTAATTTCACAATTCCCCGTGCCCAGTTTCACTGGGTAAAATTTACTGCTGTGCATCCAGGAAAATAACGTTTTGGGGTATTTTTGTTAATTTGCAATGAGGAATACATTGTAATTTAATCTTGGCTAAAATTAGAGACTACCATCAGATAGCAAGTTGATAGTATGCTAAACAAAAAGACGCGAACCCCATCACAGAGGCAGGAATTGCAGGTTTGAAAGGAGTTTAATCTTATATTTTAAAATAATCCCTTTCTCCAGAATACTTCCGTGTATATCGAGATCATTTTTCTAGCATTATATTAGGGCTCGCACGACTGTTAATTAAAATTCAAATATTTCTTGTGATGCTGTTTACTCGAGGAGTTGATGGTATGAGAATAAAAACTCTAAATAGCTTTTGATCAGTCTTGAAACCATCTCCCGCAGAAAAAAAATATTCCAGTAGAACGTTTGATTGTTCCATTCAGTACTCTCTACCACCACCAATTCCAAACTAAGGAGGGTCTTTATTCCTTGCTTACAAAGAACTTTCTCTTCAAAGAAATGGCAATACAAATGATGGTGAGCTCTCTTGGGAACATTTCATGAAAAGTCTAAACCGGAGATGGAGATACTGAAATCGCCGTGAAAAAGATCGATTTCTGTCGTCGAGTTAGGGAATAAGATCTTCAAACTGACTTTTGGCAAACCTATGTGAACAAACTGTGTTTTTGTTTGCCCACGCGGTTAAATTTATCAAAGAACTTATCAAAACAGAACATGATGACCACGCCGATATATCGATAAATTTCCTGGATATGGCCTTCGATTATACCTACCAGAAATGAACATCTGCATCAGCCCGTTAAGTCGATGATTTTTCTGCAATGAAATCAACATGAACAGTTTTCTACCAAGCTATTTGATCAGTGGAATCGTTGCTATTTCTCTATTACGGATTTCTCTCTTCAACCTTAAAGAAAAAGTAACACACTGATTTCCATACACATGATCTTTACGTGTCACAGTTAATTCTATATTCCAAAATGGTCCAAATATCACGATTACCTTGCAAGATGTTGACAGCTGACCATAACTGATTACCGGGTTTCGAAAGATACCGGTTGATGAAGATTATGGAGAAATTCCCCGATTGCCACAATGATCTAGCATGGAAATATATCTCCTTTTGTACGATGTGAAGTTTGAAGTGTTTGATGTTTTCTTATGCTTCCGCTGTTGTAAACTTGTTCTCATTAGGGAACGAGAGGCACCATCACGGGGACCACACAGGGTAACGAGAGGCACCATCACGGGGACCGCATGGGAACGAGAGGCATCGTGACGGGTACCAAACAGGTAACGAGAGACACCATGGAGGGGACCACACAGGGTAACGAGAGAATCACCATGGCGGTGACCACACGGTAACGAGAGGCACCATCACGGGGGCCACACAGGGTAACGAGAGGCACCTTGACGGGGACCACACGGTAACGAGAGGCACTATAGCGGGGACCACACAGGGTAACTAGAGGCATAATGGCGGGGACCACACACGGTAACGAGAGGCACCATGGCGGGGACCACACAGGGTAACGAGAGGCACCATGGCGGCCACCACACAGAGTAACGAGAGGTACCGTGGCGGGGACCACACGGTAACGAGAGGCACCATAGCGGGGACCACACAGGGTGACGAGGGGTATCATGACGAGGACCGCACGTGGAGCCGGGAGGAATCATGACGGAGACCACATATGGGAACGAGAGGTATTATGACGAGGACCGCATTGGAATGGGGACATCATGACAGGGAACATATTTGGAGACAGGAGTCATTAACAGGGATCACATGTGGAGACAGCAAGGTCCATGACGGGGACATATGTGGTGACCAAATGTAGTGACTGGAGGTATACTGATGGGGAATACATAGGCTAACGGGAGGCATGGTTAATTGATTAACAGGGTTTCCGTCTCCCTGTCTCCTCCCGCTGCCGGGTATCGTCTCACCGACGAACGGGAGACGATGACCTTATATGGTGACGTAGACCACGTGGTGTGAGGAAATACTTCGTAATAAGTACATTATTAAGGTGGGCCTTGATTCATTGAAAAAAAAATAGATGATATCTAAAACTGGAAATATAAGATAAAAATCTCCTCCAGTGTATATAAAACACTTTAAATCTATACGACACGTCATGGCTGTGTATGTATATATACGTAACTACACACAATAGATTTAGGAACAAACACTTGGTGTAGGGCCGATCAGTTATTAGGTTAACACTAGGTATATCCCTTCTGTTGTAATTACTTATCTCGCTGACTAGTCGACCGTGACGCCACGCCATATTGTCGAGTACGGTTGTCAATAGACAGACCAAGGATTCGATCTGTTCACAAGGTATGTGTATGTAATGCTACACCACGTCAGACTGGGGTAGGTATTGCCGGGGTATATATCTACTGATATCAGTTTGGATTAGTCCGCACGGCTGTCTGTCACGGTAGGTGTTATGTTGATATCTTCTATATATTGTAAAAGTCTATTTCTATAAATGTATGTGTTGTATTGGTGTTGTCATGTAGGTTATAATCTAGCTCTGTAATATTGATGAACATATATCTGTTTATTTGATTTTTAAAAAAATAGCTAGAGCTACTATTTGTCTATAGTAAATGGATTCTATAATTAGCATCTGTTCATAAGAACAACCCGTCTATAACAACCACCCCTGACTAACATCTGTCAATAACAACCACCCCTCACTAACATCTGTCTATAACAACCACCCCTCACTAACATCTGTCTATAACAACCACCCCTCACTAACATCTGTCTATAACAACCACCCCTCACTAACATGTCTGTCTATAACAACCACCCCTCACTAACATCTGTCTATAACAACCACCCCTCACTAACATCTGTCTATAACAACCACCCCTCACTAACATCTGTTTATAACTACCACCTGTCTATAACGACCATCCTTCTATCTTTAACTTCCACCTGCCTATAACTACCATCCTTTTATCTTTAACTACCACCTGTCTATAACGACCATCCTTTTATCTTTACCACCAGCCTATAACGACCTCCCGTAGTAAGATGAAGTCTATATTTACTACCTCTATAAACAATGACCTGACTATTAAAATGACTTGATATTATTTTGAAATAAATCTAAAAAGAAAAAAAATCACGTGCAGCAACAAACATCGTTTTCAAATATATCTTTATTTTGAAATATTTGTCAATATCATGACACTGCAAAGGGGAAGTAAGACTGATAAGGGAACAGATTGTTTGTTAAAATCAGTTGTGAAGGGTTTCGTTTATAAATACAAGAATCCATATTCTCGGATTAAAATGGAGTGTCCTTCCTAAAGGCTGATCAATATGCTATACAGAACGCTAATGTGTCTGTGTACAACCTTTGTGACAGGAAACATGGTTAACACTGATTCTAACGTAGTCGGCCATTTAAATTAAAAACTCCTTATCTCTAACATAAAATCGATACTTGTGGTGATAAACACGTTCATAACTGAACACACACATAAGATCTGTAATGATTAAAGACCAAACTATGGAGATGAAAATCGAGGGGGAAATTGTGAAATAGAAAACAATTTGAATCAACAATTACAGCAGTTAAATCAGTGATTTTTTTTTTAAATTCGTTTTATTTTTTTATTGTAAATAGATATGATACTGAAATACATATCAACAAAACATAGATGTTTGTTAGAATTAAACTTTATTTATTTTTAAATATTTTCGAAACAAATTTCACCAACTTCTTTTAAACGTTCTCGTTCGATTGGAAAGAAACATGCGAGGCCGGGTGTTACTGTGAGAGGAAATCTATATATATGCTAAACATGAGTTTGCGTACATGAAAACTCAATTTACTTATACAAACATTCCTCTTTACATTGCGACGGTTTGAAATTTATCTTATTGGCGTCTTAGTTTTTCTGGTTTAATATTGAATTATATAGATAAAAAAACACAGACATGGTTAAACAGCCATCTGTCAACATTGTAAACGTTTTTTCTAATATGTTCTTATTTGACTTAGTCAGAATAAATGATTCCTTCCTGGACGACGCCTGTAGGGTCGACGAACCCCAATCTAAATGACATAACACTGTAGACAGGTATTATATATACAGCACTACCAAGGTTTATTGAAATATAGGTTTTTAATACACTTCAGGGTGGGATAATCGGAAATCTAGTGCAGGGGTAACATTCCCCGAGATTTAAAATCACACATTCTGCTCACTATCAGCACACAGGTAACCTGTTCACGCCTTTTTATATATGTACATATACAATGAATTTGAATATGATATGGTGAGTTGTAAACTACATTTTAGAAGCATTTCGTCCGTTTGATTATATCTGCTAGTAAAACTGTAGGTAGTCGTGATATTTTAAGTACAGGAAACTCACCATATATAACTTATAGACCATATTTACGTGTACTTATTGGAATGCTTTATTTACTGAATAACGACATGTCTTTTATTCATTCATTCATTCATTCATTCATTTTATTTCATTTTATATAATGTTTGCTCGATTTTGTTATGATTTATCTTTTTATTTTCATTTATTTAATCAGTAATTGCTTGTCTGCGCCCTCTCTCTCTGTCTCTCTCTCTGCTCCTCTCTCTGCTCCTCTCTCTGTCTCTCTCTCTAACTCTCTGCTCCTCTCTGTCTCTGCTCCTCTCTCTGTCTCTCTCTCTCTCTGCTCCTCTCTGTCTCTGCTCCTCTCTCTGTCTCTCTCTCTCTGTCTCTCTCTCTGCTCCTCTCTCTGTCTCTCTAACTCTCTGCTCCTCTCTGTCTGTCTCTGCTCCTCTCTCTGTCTCTCTGTCTCTCTCTGTCTCTCTGTCTCTGCTCCTCTCTCTGTCTCTCTCTCTCTGTCTCTCTCTCTCTGTCTCTGTCTCTCTCTGTCTCTCTGTCTCTGCTCCTCTCTCTGTCTCTCTCTCTGCTCCTCTCTGTCTCACTGTCTGTCTGTCTGTCTGTCTGTCTGTCTCTCTGTCTGTCTGTCTGTCTCTCTGTCTCTCTGTCTGTCTGTCTGTCTGTCTCTCTCTCTCTCTCTCTCTCTCTCTCTCTCTCTCTCTCTCTCTCTCTCTCTCTCTCTCTCTCTCTCTGTCTCTCTCTCTCTCTCTCTCTCTCTCTCTCTCTCTCTCTCTCTCTCTCTCTGTCTCTGTCTCTGTCTCTGTCTCTCTCTCTCTCTCTCTCTGTCTCTCTCTCTCTCTCTCTCTCTCTCTCTCTCTCTCTCTCTCTCTCTCTCTCTCTCTCTCTCTCTCTCTCTCTCTCTCTCTCATCATTACATACGTTGACGCAAATCTGATAAGGCTGAATGTGCATGCAGACCGTACAGGGCAGTATATATAACTAATATATTTTGTGCTGTCTTGAAACTCTAAAGTTATATCAGATCTAACTGTCAACCGTAGACTATATCTAGCCTTATTTACACAATGCCAACACAGCTGTATGATGCAGCTCATTTCCACAATTTATATTTGAAATTGCAGTTCACTTGTATGTCTTATGTACAACATACGTAATAAAAACATAAACACACACAGACCTATCACTAATACAATATCTAATATTACTAGGTGATCTGTGTTCACAAAGGAATGTTTAGGCTTAGAAAGTCACGTGTTGATACAAATCCTTTCACATTAAATAATACTTTGAGTCTGTACGTATTATAATGGTATAATACTGTATTTACACAGTCGGATATTCAACAGATGTTTCGTTTGATTGACATGCTTTCAGCTTTTGATGTCGATTTCTTTATATCATGATTAGACATTTCGTAAATCGAGGTTCATGATACGTTATTTTGAGCACAAGGGATCTTTTCACATTTTAACTCTGTAGAATTAACGATATTTTGAAACAATACCTAATGCATAAGATTTTAGCTATCAATGATAAAAATGTATTTTTTTTTGATATCTTGAACCGATATTTTGAAGTAATAACATAAAGTATGATTTTTTAACTTTCTATAAAAGATAAAATTGTAAAAATATTTCTTATCATGATGTGATGTTTTAATTTTTTAAGCTAAACTTCTATATAAAATAAAAAATTGACATTTTAGCTATTTTTTTTTATTTCGTTTAAAAACTGCACTTATCAGGACGAAAAATTGTTTAAGATTTTCAAAATATATATATCAGCTTGCATTGACTGTGAATAATCAAACTTCAGGAAAGTTCAGTAAAACAGGAGTACACAGGATGATTTGTAACATATGGTAACCACACAATTATATAGTACAGGTAATATCTCGTTAAATATTGATAATCTCTACAGGTTGTATGCATGGTAATAACCAGGCCATACGATACTAATTGCAACAGATCAGTGTGATACCGTCATTACAGAGGTATTAGGTTCCGTACATCGATACACGAATCATTCTCGAAATGATGGAAACTTTCTTTTGAAGACAAGAAACAAAAAGACTGGCAACACGTGAATGACATGTAAAACGTTTGTTAGATATTAGACTTGGCATTATCTTTCTTGACTGCGAATATAGTGATTTTTGTCCAGTGATTTGATATGATAGTGTAGGGTGGTCGGGTGGTGCAGTGGTAACACTCTCGACTTTCACCGTCCGGGGTTCGATTCCCGGAATGGATGTGAAATGGTATGGGGTCACCTGCCCGACCACGTGGGTTTTCCTCGGTTACTCCGGTTTCCTCCCACACTAAGACCCCTCACGTGCCTCCGTCCGAGCCAGCAAGAGTGATTAATATAAGTTGGAAAAACTTGCTTGTAAAATAAATAAAGATTATCTATAATATGATAGTATTTCTTTTAATCTGTTATACTTTACCTTTTGAAAATTAAAATAATAAATTCTATTGAAAAAAAACTATTTTTCATTTTTTTTAAATTTTTCTGGATCTGTTTTCAAGATTTTCACACCGTAAGCCCTAATCATCGCTGATACTACATGTAATATATACACAACTCCCCTCTCCCCTCCCTTTCTTAAAAAAATATCTGGTAGTATTTATAAAGAAACTAAGCATTAGCAAATATTGAACATTTAGATATTTGTAAATATTGACTGGTATATCAGTAAGACGTTGATATTTCCTTCGGTTCCAATATAACGTGTAATTAACACAATATGATTTTCCCCAACGTAAAATCTTATCATACATAGGTATTTTATGTAACACTAGGTTAGTCTGTCTGTCTGTCTGTCTGATTCCACTATACCAGCCATGCTAATTGTGGTGCTAAGGTTATGTATGTTGGTATCGTGTAAAACCCATTGTCTCACACAGTGTATTGAATTACAATATTATTTGACAGTTAAGATATGTAGTAGTGTGATAAAGCATTGTCACCTTAACGTCCAATGAAAATAGTGTATATAATAATTTTCAGTTTGACGACATATAAATATTTTGTTATCTTTTAAAATGAAATATGAAACACACAAACAGAACCGTAAAATAACCTAAGCATTCGTGTTTACTGCATTGTATTTTTTTTATTCTTGTCACACATAAACAAAAACAAAACTGCACAATTCTTTTCAATTCTTATTAAATTCTATGTAAATTTATTTTTCATCAATAGATGCCAGTTAATACCAAACAAGTGACGATTATATGTCTGGCATTTAAGTACATGAAAACAATTTAATGTCATCAGGATTTGTCAATTTTTTAAAAAGTTGAAAAAGTTAAGCTGACATGTCTTGATTTGACAACACGCGGACAAAAAAAAGCCATACTATTGCAAGCTTGTTTGTCCAGCAATTCAACGCACTGATAAGATATTGGGTTTCTACAATGTTTGACAATTGATATATCCGTGTATGAAATGCATTAACACATTTAGCTAATTACAAATTATGGATTTCGTGCTTTAGAAATAACTTCAATAATTCAGTAGACATTTTGAACACATGTAAGATAGATTCAATATGTAAATATAGCACTGTAGATTTGTTTGCGACAGTTGTCTAGTTTGACAGGATCGTTGTTAATATACCGGTATACAGATGTTATGAATTAACTTGTTTGATTTCTTTCTAACATGGAACATTTGAACACCAAGTTTAAGCAATACGTTTCCATTACATACTCAGCTGAGGAGCAAACTTCGATAGTTCTAGTAACAATGCATGTAAACGCAATTGTAAAATTTATTAAAAGGGAGGTAAAATTTACATAAAGCAAATAACTACGCGAAGAGCCAGAAAAGGGGAACGTTATAATGAACGTTTCAGAAGGGTAAGCGTCTTTTGCTTCATCGACTCCTTTACACTTTTATAGATTCTCACCTTATAACAATTGATATCAACATTTCAAGGATAAAATATGATGATATCCTTTTCTATTTTTATTTTCTACAGATCTCAACGAATTTTTCTGATGGCGATGTAACAAATAACTACACAGAATGGCGGAGACAACATTCGCAGGGTTACCCGTGTATCCCGTGGCAAGAATTGGTAGGTATTGTTTTAAATCATTAAAAAAGTCTACGGTTTTTAATATGAATTATCAGCATCTATAGTTGGAGGTGTATTCAGACCACAGCACTGATTATGATAAAAGTTTGTTAACAGAGGTAGTATACAAGAAGAATATCTATTAGAAAAAAGGTAATTTGCAGCATGTTTTGTCCTATTTAAAACACGAGTATTTATCTATAATGTAGATTTGGAATTCCTTGCAATTTTCTACCATTAGATCTGTGTCATATTTTACAGTTGATTGTCGGGGCTCGGTACTCATACTACAAACTTTTGTATAATTTGTTACGGTAGCTTGGTACAAAACCTGAAGGGTATTCGATCTTTCCTTTCGTTTATTTCTGTTATTCAGTCCGATCTGGATTTTTCATTCTTTCGAACTCCGATGTTTTTTTTCCAATTGTTTTTACCCTAGAATCGTGTACAAGTCTTTTATGGATGAAGCAGCTAGGTGAAGCAGTTTACCAAATTATTTTACATATAATTTCTTGTACAATATCAATGCGAAATTCGTCTTTAGATACATTTCTCCTGTCTTGCTATCCTTTATATAAGTGATATAACTTATGGTGTATATTGGTATCTTAACAGATCAGTTCCGAGCCATGGAGCCAGCTGTGTTCCATGAGAAAGAGCTTGTACTGGACACCGCTAGGTGTCGCCAGCTTGTTCATCAGCTCAAGCGCGAGCTCATGCTGGGGATCTCTGGTGAAGGAATACATATGGGCGGGGACGGGCCGCTTACGTTATTCCAAATAGGAACTTTTCACGGAAAAGTCTATATCTTTGATACTCTTGTAAACTTGGAGTTATTTGATAAAGGTGGTTTGCGATTTCTCCTGGAATCTGAGGATATATTGAAGGTAATATATAGCACTTGATAAAGTTAACATTTTTCCTATATCTACATACGATTACAAAGAATGTAAAAAAGACATGCAAGTGAGTAGCGCCTTTTAATAATTTAGAGTGAAATACAGTAGATCCAAACAATGAATTAAGCTGCAGCATACAGTTGTCCTTCTAGGACTCGTCATTGATACTAAGGGCCTAAAATTTGAAACCTACAAGGCGACTAAGGAAAGTCCAAGTCAAATCTGGACGAGGAGGTGCAACAGCCCAATAATTAGATTTCGTAATTTTCATACAAATAATTTGAAAAACTGATTTTGGTTTGTTTGATTTGTTTATAAAATTAGGAATGTATTCCGCAAAGCATTTTTTCTTAATTCTTGCCGCCAACGACGTACATATTGCAGTCATGGGGCACATTCAATAATACCTTTTAAATAATGTCATCATATGTAATATATGGATCTATTCATGTAGAAATGTAGAAATAGGTCATATCCCATTAACAACCAACACAAAAATACTTAAAATTATAAAATGTGACCACCGATTTTCACAACTATGACAAATACAGGCTGTTACTCGAAGTCTAGTTGTCTACGGTTTGTCTGAAGTGAAACAGGCTGGCGGTGTCTAAGTGGCTAGTTTTATCAAACATCTTTTAAACACAGACATGTTAGGTATAGTCATGGTCGACGATAAATAGACGATAAATAAATTAAAATGTTTCTGGGCTTGGAAAACATTTATTTAGCATGTTTGAATATATATTGTGGATAAGTAACATAACAGGGGATTTCTTGATATTATCTAATGATACACTCTCCTATTCATAAATACATTATACCTGGCTTGATAATAACGTTGTCTATTCATGGCTTTTAAGGTATTGAGAGCAACACAACAAAAAGTTAAATGAAAGAGTGATGTTATAGCGAATTTTATTGAAAAGGTGATTTTTTTTCTCATACAAACACCATACAACGACAATTACATATCATAGATTGTTGTAAACAATAAAACCCATACCTCGAGTATAGGTAAACAGAAAGGGTATTGTTTTGTATAACAATGGCACTGAACTTTATAGAATTCAAAGTCAGGCTCTCTATATAGAGAGTTAGAATATATGTACTTTTATCCGTCACGCTGTTCAAATTACCACAAAATAAAAACTACCGAGGTTTAAATATGTTATTGAATATTTTAACGATGTCGTTGGGAAAGCAGTATTGAAGAGAAATAAAATCCAAAAATCAATATCGGGATACTGGATAAATGGATTGATTGGGGTTTTAATTTGTTATAAACTATTAAACGACGAAATCCAAACTGATTAATTGATTCATTATATTATCAAATAATCAAAGGAAAATAAAATTTCTTTAAGTGGTTTTCAATCAATATCGACAAAATTGATTTCGTGATATGTATCTCTAATTTAATAAGGTTTGATTTCAAATTTGAAGAACTTTCCATAAATTTTTAATGTTAACAATGCTTTGAAGTTGAACGGGGATTTCTTGATATTATCTAATGATACACTCTCCTATTCATAAATACATTATACCTGTACCATTTGATTTGCTTCAAAAATAAAACGGAACTATCGATATATTGTGGATAAGTAACATATTTTCACCACTGCACGTATCGATCTCTGCAAATAAAAAAAAAAAAACAGCATTCCATTTCATGTCGGGATAATATTTATGATATTTTTTATTGGAAACAAACAGAATATGCGTCATATCAACAAGACCTTAATCCAAACTAAATCTCGATAAGAATATAAGAATATGAAAACTGATAATAACTTAACAGTCTACATAAAAATGTCAGGTTCACAAAACTAGAACCAAGTTGTGAGCTTTCTAACGCCCGATAACTGACATCTGATGTTCTGGTATTTCGGTGATAATGGCGGGTCTTGTGAGCTTTCTAACGCCCGATAACTGACTTCTGATGTTCCGGTATTTCGGTGATAATGGCGGGTCTTGTGAGTTCTCTAACGCCCGATAACTGACATCTGATGTTCCGGTATTTCGGTGATAATGGCGGGTGTTGTGAGCTTTCTAACGCCCGATAACTGACATCTGATGTTCCGGTATTTCGGTGATATGGCGGGTGTTGTGAGCTTTCTAACGCCCGATAACTGACATCTGTTGTTCCGGTATTTCGGTGATAATGGCGGGTCTTGTGAGCTTTCTAACGCCCGATAACTGACATCTGATGTTCTGGTATTTCGGTGATAATGGCGGGTGTTGTGAGCTTTCTAACGCCCGATAACTGACATCTGTTGTTCTGGTATTTCGGTGATAATGGCGGGTCTTGTGAGCTTTCTAACGCCCGATAACTGACATCTGATGTTCTGGTATTTCGGTGATAATGGCGGGTGTTGTGAGCTTTCTAACGCCCGATAACTGACATCTGTTGTTCTGGTATTTCGGTGATAATGGCGGGTCTTGTGAGCTTTCTAACGCCCGATAACTGACATCTGATGTTCTGGTATTTCGGTGATAATGGCGGGTGTTGTGAGCTTTCTAACGCCCGATAACTGACATCTGATGTTTTGGTATTTCGGTGATAATGGCGGGTGTTGTGAGCTTTCTAACGCCCGATAACTGACATCTGATGTTCTGGTATTTCGGTGATAATGGCGGGTCTTGTGAGCTTTCTAACGCCCGATAACTGACATCTGTTGTTCCGGTATTTCGGTGATAATGGCGGGTCTTGTGAGCTTTCTAACGCCCGATAACTGACATCTGATGTTCTGGTATTTCGGTGATAATGGCGGGTGTTGTGAGCTTTCTAACGCCCGATAACTGACATCTGATGTTCAGGTATTGCGTGAAGTACTTTAAGACCATGAAGAATTTTAAATAATATATAACGAATTATTTTAAAATTGTAAACGGATCAAGGAATTCTGATATCATTGTCAATTATGAGTATCAAAAAGTTAAATCTTGTATGGGACTGTGTGATATCTATCATCCTGTAGAAGTGTAATTGAATGTTATATGTCATTCGAATCCATTGTCTTTCTGCTTTTGCCATTGTCTCATTACTTATATAATTATCTGTCTCCCTGTCCGTGCGTTCTTGATTTTGTACATCTGTCATTGCGTGTAAACCTTTCTGCAAAAGTTGTGTTAATCCGAGGTTACGTTGGCTTTTTCAAACCGACAATGAAAAACACAAACACTATATAAAGTTATCAGTCTTAAACACAGACTAAATCAAATCGTAATGTTCCAAATATATCGGGTGTACATGTGAACAACAAAACTTCTTGACACTTAATTATTGTAATATATTAATGTTACCAGTATTTTGAGTTTCCAGGTGGCGCACTCGTCCTGTCATCTGAGTGCTGCCCTCTTCTACCAGTTCGCAGTGAGACTGAGAAATGTCTTTGATACTCAGGTACGTAATTGTAAACTCCATTAGGACACCCAAAGAACTGTGCAATTTAAGACGCAATCTTTCATTTCAAAGTTATAATTAGACCTAGTATAGTCAAAATATTAATTGCACCATACAGCTGTTTCGTCCCTATACGATTCGTAAATGAGTTAAGACCCGAATATGTTGAAAATGTTTCAAAGACAAAGGTGAACATCACATTTCGCTACAAATGTAATGCAAATCAGACGAATATAGGTTACGCGGTTCAGTGATACATCAACGTCATTTTAGTACACTATATATTTGATCGGTTTATGATTTCTTAATCAAGCGAACCGTTTTCATTTTTTCTCGTCTGCGACGAAAAGTCCCGAAAACGAGATGTTGGTGTTGTTTTCTGTGTTGACAAAAGCGGCGATAAAATGCATGTTTTGCGTTAGAGATATGTTGCTAAAAAACTTTAACCAAACGTGGTATGTAATTCGCTGACAAACCTGTGCAGGGAGTCTCTTAACCCAATCGTCATTTATAACACAGATCATGCGGGCTATCTACCCTGAAAATTAGGGACTTTAGTAGATGAACTTTAGTAGAATGTAGAAAACCTGGACTTCAAACGTTTTGCTTTTAGTTCAGTTTCTCATTAATCCGCTGGCACTTTTTTAATAAAACTTTGATACAATATGTTAATAGTTGTTGAGATGAGATCAGATGTTTTTATCTTTTGTTGGTTTAGATTGGACATCTACTGATAGAAGAGGATCATGGTCGCCGTCTTCCTACCAGGATGAATATATCCGAGGTGTGTCAGTGCTATTCCGATAGCATGCATCCATACGACTGGCGAGCAGACGTCAAGGTATACACAATTTGATTGGTTGAAAAATGTGGATGTTCCAATACCATCGAACTGATTAGAATTACACAGCCAAGAGACTCAAAATTACTTACAATTCACATATTTTCTCACCACTAGATAATTAGCCATTTAACGGTGGTCGGATTGCATTTATTGCTGATATGAATGCAATCTGGTTATATAAATCAAATGACGTTCGTAGCATTTTATCACTATTATCTGGAGCCAAGATTGCATTCATATTGACAATAAATACAATTTGACGACCTTCCAATGATCACTTAAGCAAGGGAAGTTCTTTTATTGATAAAAAAGATTCATTTGTTTCAAATCATACTCGTCTGAATGATTTACGTAAAGCTATAATTAATGTTGTCTGAAGCGACATGCAAAAGAGTTGACGCAGCGTGAGTCAACATGGCGCCAAAATGACGTCATAGTATTGTCTTATTTATCTATACTCCTGTGAAACTATCTAGAGAAACAGAAGTAAAGGGAGGCGATAGTGCAAAATGTCAATATTATCCTGCACACTTCTTGGAAACGTCACGTACTTTCGATAAAGACACAATTATTTCTTATGAAATAGAATTATTAACAAACCGGATACAAATGACACAGCTCTATCGGATAGCAGTCACTCGATGGATGAACAACAATTCATATTTTGATTCTTAATGTTAATTCTACATTAGCAAATTATTTATATGTATTACAGGAAATGTGGATGTCGCGTATAGGGGGCTACTGGTCACAGCGCCCTCTTACAGATGAAATGGTAGAATACGCAGCAGGGGACGTAATGGCAATTATACCTGACGTTTATAGGAACCAGATGGAGTAAGTCACGGCGATTTCATTTGATAAATTTTATGAAAGGGCTTTGTTAGAATTATTGATCAATCTGGTATCCAATGGGCTAAACAGTCATGCAGTGTCTTTGTTTTTTAAGCTTTATTCATCAAATTAAGGATTTTTCAAATTGGTACTTTCAACTTCCGAGTAAATTCTACTTTTACAATCAAGCAGGAACTACAAAAAGGGGATGTTTTTTCTGCGTGAAGCTGTTTTGTAATTTGAATGTAAGATGAGAAATCCTAAATTCCAAAACAGTGAAACATCGAAAAGCAAAATATCCTTACCGGGAGAAAAATGTTGCAAAGCACGCGCACACTGCGGAGTTCAATAACTATGAGGAAAGTATATGGGACTTCATTTTTATTTATTTATTTATTTATTTATTTATTTATTATATCGAACACGTGAATGAAATTACATGCGTTATATTGCATATTACATCTTATTCAGCAAAGGATTTGTATTACAAGGTAGTTCTACATCACTTTGAATATACATGTCTCATCACTGTCGGATAAGTATTATAACTAAAGCATTTCACCAATTTCCTGTTCTTTCAGATATATTGAAAAGCACAGCTTGATGAAAAAGTTCAAAGTGCTTGTCGAGGAAGAGATCCTCAGTGAAATTAATGAGGTTGTGAAGCAGCTAAGAGGAGAAAGGATCGAGAAACAGGCACATCAGGTCCTTAAGGAGATCAGTGAGAAATACGAGGAAGATTGCGATATTTTTAATCTCTTCACGGAGGATGAATTTCATGCATTGATGCTTATCCCATACTCCGACGCTGATTCAATCTCATCCAAAATTGTCAAATTCAAGACAAGAATAGTGGAACGAGAATTAGAGGAAATTGAGAATGATTTAAGACTCAAACAAGATTTGGTACGGGCAAGGCCTCTATTAGACCTGGATCTGCAATCGTACGAGGTCCATCCCGACGCCAAAGTTCGCGTGAAAGCCAAGGACATTCGGAAGGAACTGCATCAGACGATTCTTACGTCAATCGGAAGGAGGTATTCCGGGTTAGCTTCTCCTCATATCATGACCGAGACTGAACGTCAAGCTCTTCGTTCACTCCGTCCGAAATCAGAATTTGACAACTCGATAGATGGTATCGTGCTTGCCCTGCACTGGCTTGTCATAGACTTTGACCTGGAACAGGCGCTGTTTAACATCAAATATGGGAACCCCGAATACAAGATTACCGAGGAGTTTGTCCAGAGAGTTGAGGATTACGTGCTAATAGATTCTAAAGTATCAGATGGGCTCAAACAAAAGTCTAAAATGTTCCTGAAATTATTGGAGAAAAATGTTGACAAAATAATAGCAAAGGAAAATCCAAACAGGAAGGTTACATTTAATGAAAATACTGGATTTTAATTGGTGGAATTGACTGTTGTCGCTTATGTCTCTCAGAAAATCTTGAAATTCCTCTCCCTCACAAAAAGCAGGGAAACTTGTTACAAATATTTTGTCAGGATTTTTTTTAATGTTTTTTACATTTGTACGCAATCAATTACAAAGTATTCCGTCCGGATACGATTTGTTTTGTACGTTAAGTAGCAGCACGGTAGTCTTCTCTCAGGCAAAACGTGTGATTTTCTAAACTTCATCCTGAAAACGGCAATTTCCAAGTCGTGTACAGGAAGCAGTCACGTGACAATGCCATGGAATTGTTAATTGTTTTCACAACTAGAAAGACTGTTAGCAAATCATACACGAGACCAACAGAACGGATTCAATCAAAGGAATATGCTAATTCAATAAAAACATCCCTATGTAAGTTTTCCGCTGACAATTACTTTCTCCTGAAATTCTTCATTTTCGATAATTCATGAAATTTTCGGCTGATTTTTAGAAAGGTTTTTGAAATATTTCTTGGGGTTGATATTCTGTCATATATTAAAGCATGGACAAGTGAAAATTCAACATATCACATATATACCTTCTTGGAGAGTGTTTTGGTGCTGGGGAGGTTTAGTTTTCTCTCGGGTTGTGTGAGACTTGTAATCGAGTGTGAAGGCATAGAAGAATATTGTGATAAAATAAACAGTAGGTCTCGCCATTCTAATTAGGAAAAATAAATTTATATCTTTATATAAATTACGTTACTGCGAACATCAAGAAAACGTATTCACTTTAAATTTAATTGATATTCTATAAATCTCCGTTATTTGAAATAAATCTGTGGCCATTTTCGTAACATTCTTTTACATTTTAAAGAATATTTTAGTTTAAATGCTCAAATGCTCAAGTGGATGCCGTCCTGCACATTAAAAAAAGGTTTTGTTGTTAAACTGATCGTTATTAAAATTATATTCGGATATCCTCGGACTTCTCCGGTAAGTGTATTTACCATGATTGACGTAAAGTTCTAAAGTTGTCCGGTTAATGTTTTACCTTTTTAGTTATATAAATTATCGACAATTTAATGTCCTTCCATAACACTGTTCTGTTTTGGAATCCTTTAGTATTGTCAATTTTTCATTTGTCTCACTTTATATATTATAATTCCATTGCTATCTTCACATATTAGTAATATTTCATAAGTGTACAGAAATGGTGCGAATTAAATTTTTGTTTAAATAAGCAGTTTGTCTTGTTTGCTGGGCTTCTTCCCAAAATAGGTCTTGAACAAGAAACTGTTGTTCATTGCCGCTGTAACCTGAAATATATCAATATTCCAACGATACGTCAAAGGAATCATATTTCGAACGGCTTCATTTTACCGGGGAGCAAATTCTGAAAATGAAAGATATCTACTGACACAATTGAAAAGGTACATATGCCTATCAATTCACCGGCAACATATGTAATGAAAGTAAAGATCAATCTAATTTATGTCGCGTTCTCCAAATGAGAACCGTGTCAATAACGACTTGACAAACAGGAGGTAAAATTACTTATTATATTTTAATGTTGTCATGGTTTCATCAATTCGATCACTTAAAAAGCGTGGCTATGAAAAAGATAGACTTCGCACGCAAATGTGTTTTCTGTATCAGTCATAAACAAGCAAACGAATGATATGAATGAATATGGTCACCGTATGGTGACTTTTAATACATTTGCAAACTTGTTTATAAATAGACATTATGATGACACACATGAAATACGGCATGGCATTCTTCGTGTAAAAAGCGGGGAAAACAAATACAGGATTTGATAGAAATATGTAAAAGTAGCATTTTCACTGATGAAAAGCATACTCCACCATGCATTCAACAGGTAGGTCATTTAATGTAACTTACATGTTGTCTTTAAAGGCATAATTTACAGAAAGTAATACATGGTTTCCCTTTTCATAAATCATACACTTTCAAATTTATATACGTCAAATCAGATCAAAACAGAATGAAATGGGGAAAAAATCAAACTTACAAGAAAAAGATGATTTTTAAAAAGTTTTGTTGTTACAAGTGATTGCCAGCATAATCGAGTACTTTCCAAAGGTAAACGCTAGACAGTCTGTATCGTCTTTCTAGGGCTCTCAATGATGCAAGGGGCCCAAATGTTGGAACCTAAAAGGCAACTTCGGAAAAACAAATCAGCCGATACATGTGTAAACACATAAAATTCTACAATTAACTACATCCTGTAATTTTTATATGGATTGATTGAACCCACAGAATTAATATATAAGTTCCATTTCTATAGTGTAAACCTAACATTTTTTTTTGTTACAAGAGTCAGTGATTTTGTGTTCGAAAATAACCCCGAAAACAACCTAAAGACAACACTGTTATTCGATAAGCCACATAAACCTAAAACATTAAGATATTAAGGTATGAAATCATGATCATTATTTTTGTAGCAAAGTGAACATATCACAGATACTTTGAGAACAATATATGTATATTTTATATTGGAATGTTTTTAAACATGTACTGTCTATTTACTACATATTAATGACACATCTTTTTTGATACGACATTCACAGACATATATTTATCCCTTCAAAAGCTTTAAAGTAAATGCAACACAAGTATAGCTTGATGCTATAGTGACCATTTGTACCAATGCATTTTAAATATAAACATACAAAAGAATCTTGCAGGATAAATGATTTTAAAATATAATTAAATGTCATGTGAATGAAATAAATTCCATTTTGAACATATACATCAATTACAAATATCTTAATTATATTTGAAATTAAATATCTTACAAATATATATTTCAAATTGTATTAAAATATTTGAAATTCAAAACTATATCGACAGATTTCAAATGATCATTGTACAATGTGTGTAAATGTGAATTTAAGTCTAAATGCCTCTCATATAAAAAAATCATCTTTCCTTCATGTTGTCTCAAATTTTCTCTTATAAATGAATGATATTTTCTCACTTCTATACAGATGAAAACCTACACTCTGTCACAACAAATCTTTGTATAGAATTTAATATGACTCTCCTCCAGTCCCAAGACTCTTGAAATACAATTTGGATCTCCCTTGCATTATTAAACTTTTATTTATTTTACAACAATTGCGAAACAAGTCTTTCCAACTTATATGAATCATTCTTGTTGGCCCGGATGGAAGCGTGCGAGGGGTCTTACTGTGGGAGGAAACCGGAGTACCCGAGGAAAACCGACGTGGTTGGGCAGGTGACCCCATACATTTTCATATTCATTTCGGGAATCGAACCCCGGACGGCTAGGTGAAATGTCAGTGCATTACCATGGTGCTACCCGACCACCCGGGCCGGAAAAAAACCCATTTTTATTGGTGTTGCTTTTCAGAAAAAAAAATCCATGCAATTTAATTACCAGTAAAGATCTTAAGAATTATGTATTGAGCTTACTGCACAATATATATTTTTCTAGCTGATCATGGCACCTTAAAACATTACAATACATGGAACTACTGTCAATTTTCCTTGAGATTATTTTCCTTCACTTTGTGTGTATACTTAAACCAGTAATTAGCAAACTGTTACAAAACTGGATTCAACTTGCTGTAAAAGGCGATTTACTTGATGTAATATTATTATAATGTGCTAAGCGACACTTGATTGTCAATGATGTAAGCGACTCAATAAAGGCGTCTAGTTAACACGAGCACATGGTATCCACGTTGTTTGTTACACTTGATATTAATTATTCATAAAATCAAATGCATGAGTAAGTTATCTTTTTCGGGTCATCGACAACCACGAAAATTTGTACCCCCTGATATATAATTCTGATGTTACAGCAAGCTGATATTATCCTCTCTTTTTGGAATTGTTGTCCACAGATTTTTATTTTTTTTTGAAAACCATGAAAATTTATACCCCCTGAAAAACAATTATGTTACAGCATGCTTTATTATTCTCTCTTGTTTTGGCTTTTATTGCCAATGGTTATTTTTAAACAACGGAATTTGTATCCCTAGGAAAATCCCAGCACAATTCTTCTCTCTCTCTTATCGGAGCTAATTAGGTAAAACAATCATGCCACTAGAAAACACAGAAATAAACGCATTTATGCAAGTATATGTTTGGTGCAGAAACAAAACGTATTATGCCTGATCCCAGATTCCGTAAACATCTGATTCTTCTGTTTGGCAAAAATTCACGTAATATCAGAATGAAATAAGGGGACAATTTCATTGATATCCTCGCTTGGTAAACATTATATGATGAAATATGAGGTAACATTGTGGAGTCACTTACCCATAGCCATCTAATATCTGGTAGCCCTTTGAGGTCAAGGGTGACAGGTGAATAAAAGTTCACCAAGGAAAATTATCATAAAATCAATTATATTGTATAATTATCACATCTCAGATGTCTGTATATATATTTTGATGATGTTCTTTCACAAGTTTAGAACGTCATAATATCATGGCCAATAAAAAGGTTCATCTGACAAAATCCGGCGAGTTGGCACCACTGTATTGTATTGTTATTAAGTTAATAGAATTGTGAATAGTGACATTGTATCTTCGGAGGCATAAACATTATAGCTGGTATTTTCATATATCAAAATCTTTGTGATTTTGAAATTAAATGGTCAAATTATATTTAACAAATAATAAAAATTGTGATCTGGATGAAAATGAACATCAAATAAACGTGTCTCATTATTTTAGAGACTGAATTTTCACGGTAACATTAATGTACCACGAAATAGTGAAAATATCATTCCCATGAAAATAATTGGCAATATGGTAGTAAATGTGTACATTTAATACAAAATGTACGCCAAATTCAGCATCTTAAACACGTCTACTATGTCATCCTCTGCTGCATTACTAACAAATTTTTAGAATTTTTTGGTGGGGTTTTATTTTCATGGAATTTGTAGTTACTCTTCATCAAATGTCCACAAAACAATAGATAAAAGTGACATATAAATGCATATATATTATGCCTATTGTAAAATAACATTTTAATATGGTTCAAATTTCTTAGTTTTTCCTCAGAAATACTATATCATTGAAATCTGTTTGAATAGATCTGTATACTACTCATAATTTCAAATTTGTGTACATTAGAATTTGTTGATTAAAAATACCCTTGAAATCAACAAAAATCATATACAAGGAATTTTTTACCGTATTTACAATTACAACACTATTATTGGTTCGATATGAGAATTATGGAGTACAAAAAGAAGTATCCATCGAGACCTGGGCACGTATTCATTACAATTACAAAATTCATGCTCGAGCATGAGAACGGTTTCATGAATACGGGCCCAGATTCTCACATTGAACCAATAATATTGCAGTAATTGTTTTATAATATTTCATTTAAATTTTTTTTACCATCCATCTCATATTTAACAAATACTTTTTACCAAATACGGCAATGCTTCCTTATTATTATAAATGAAGGGTGCTGAAGAAATACTTTTTTTTTGATTGGTTTAAGAAGATGTGCGATGTAAATAGAAATTCCCTTTGATCAAAAATAGTACAAAACAGAGAAATATGAGAAATGATCCGGTTCACATAGCAATATCTATGAAATTTGAAGAACTTGTGATTGTGTCTCGACAAATGAGAGTGCAGAATGAAAACAAAAATGTAATTAATAGATGTATGGCATATCAAGTTATTTCACTTCTTGAAAAATTGATATCACACCGACATGAATCCTCCATATGTAAATGATGATTGGTGATCTTGTTATTTTGGCTAGTATGGATTTCGAATTGACATAGCAGTTATGTCCCCAGCTCCAACCAAAGTTTGGGTAGAGTTTTTTTTTCGTAATCCATGCTATATTTTAGCACCTTTTTAAAGAAATGACATATTAAATCCAACATGAAGCTGTTTCATCCTTCTAGGAATTTTCAGTGAAGCCAAGGGCCTAAATTGTTAAAACCTGGAAGGTGATTGGAGGAATAAGAAAACTGGTTGAATTATATATCAGATATCGGATGGGAAAGTTCATTAATCCCAAAATTCAATATTGTGCTATTTTCATCATCAAATTATTTCAAGAGATCAAAGAGTATGAGTATATACATTCAGAATTGTGAAATTTTTGGTGAAACATAAAATACTGTTCAAATAAAAAAAAAAAAAAAAATCTATTTCAATGTGTTTAATGTAAATTATACTATTGTAACTTTTATATTGGAGATGGCTTAATATAAGATTTATAATCTTGTTGCCAGATCCATTTTCAATTTTATAATTTGTGTATGTGTATGTTGTAAATGAAAATCTGAAAATAAAATATTGTTTAAACCAAATGACATGGAATACTTGTAGCACTTAGTGGTAGATGACATCCTCTGTCCTTGTCTCTGTCATATCATCAAAACACCGTGATTCTGTCTCGGCGTGTAGAAAAGAGGTCGTCATCCAAGGTCAACAAGACCTACAATAGATTTGGTGTAAATTTAAACCTACAGTCAACAAGACATACAACAGATTTGGTGTAAGTTTAAACCTACAGTCAACAAGATCTACAACAAATTTGGTGTAAATTTAAACCTACAGTCAACAAGACATACAACAGATTTGGTGCACATTTAAACCTACAGTCAACAAGACATACAACAGATTTGGTGTACATTTAAACCTACAGTCAACAAGATCTACAACAAATTTGGTGTAAATTTAAACCTACAGTCAACAAGACATACAACAGATTTGGTGTACATTTAAACCTACAGTCAACAAGACATACAACAGATTTGGTGTAAGTTTAAACCTACAGTCAACAAGATCTACAACAAATTTGGTGTAAATTTAAACCTACAGTCAACAAGACATACAACAGATTTGGTGTAAATTTAAACCTACAGTCAACAAGACATACAACAAATTTGGTGTACATTTAAACCTACAGACAACAAGACATACAACAGATTTGGTGTACATTTAAACCTACAGACAACAAGACATACAACAGACTTGGTGTACATTTAAACCTACAGTCAACAAGACATACAACAGATTTGGTGTAAGTTTAAACCTACAGTCAACAAGATTTACAACAGATTTGGTGTACATTTAAACCTACAGATAACAAGACCTACAACAGATTTGGTGTACATTTAAACCTACAGTCAACAAGACATACAACAGATTTGGTGTACATTTAAACCTACAGTCAAGTTTAAACCTACAGTCAACAAGATCTACAACAAATTTGGTGTACATTTAAACCTACAGTCAACAAGACATACAACAGATTTGGTGTACATTTAAACCTACAGACAACAAGACATACAACAGACTTGGTGTACATTTAAACCTACAGTCAACAAGACATACAACAGATTTGGTGTACATTTAAACCTACAGTCAACAAGACATACAACAGATTTGGTGTAAGTTTAAACCTACAGTCAACAAGACATACAACATACTTGGTGTACATTTAAACCTACAGTCAACAAGACATACAACAGATTTGGTGTAAGTTTAAACCTACAGTCAACAAGATCTACAACAAATTTGGTGTACATTTAAACCTACAGTCAACAAGACATACAACAGATTTGATGTACATTTAAACCTACAGTCAACAAGACATACAACAGATTTGGTGTACATTTAAACCAACAGATAACAAGATCTACTGTAATGATCACTATTAAATCTGTCAAATGCCAACTCTGGTAAAGAAGAATTCTCACGGCAATGATAATAGCTAAATCCTTAGTGTATCTATCCACAAACAAGCCTCTGTTGACAACAAGCCTCTGTTGACAACAAGCCTCTGTTGACAAACAAGCCTCTGTTGACAAACTGTTGACAACAAGCCTCTGTTGACAAACTGTTGACAAACAAGCCTCTGTTGACAAGCCTCTGTTGACAACAAGCCTCTGTTGACAAACTGTTGACAACAAGCCTCTGTTGACAAACTGTTGACAACAAGCCTCTGTTGACAAACTGTTGACAACAAGCCTCTGTTGACAAACAAGCCTCTGTTGACAACAAGCCTCTGTTGACAACAAGCCTCTGTTGACAAACAAGCCTCTGTTGACAAACAAGCCTCTGTTGACAACAAGCCTCTGTTGACAACAAGCCTCTGTTGACAACAAGCCTCTGTTGACAAACAAGCCTCTGTTGACAAACAAGCCTCTGTTGACAAACAAGCCTCTGTTGACAAACTGTTGACAACAAGCCTCTGTTGACAACAAGCCTCTGTTGACAACAAGCCTCTGTTGACAACAAGCCTCTGTTGACAAGCCTGTTGACAAACAAGCCTCTGTTGACAACAAGCCTCTGTTGACAAGCCTCTGTTGACAAACAAGCCTCTGTTGACAAGCCTCTGTTGACAACAAGCCTCTGTTGACAAGCCTCTGTTGACAAATAAGCCTCTGTTGACAAACAAGCCTCTGTTGACAAACAAGCCTCTGTTGACAAACAAGCCTCTGTTGACAAGCCTCTGTTGACAACAAGCCTCTGTTGACAAGCCTCTGTTGACAAACAAGCCTCTGTTGACAAACAAGCCTCTGTTGACAACAAGCCTCTGTTGACAAGCCTCTGTTGACAAACAAGCCTCTGTTGACAACAAGCCTCTGTTGACAACAAGCCTCTGTTGACAACAAGCCTCTGTTGACAACAAGCCTCTGTTGACAAGCCTCTGTTGACAACAAGCCTCTGTTGACAAGCCTCTGTTGACAAACAAGCCTCTGTTGACAAATAATTCACCTTCTTCATTATCACAGAATAATCAATTTCAAAATAGCAAGCTAAAAGTAGTTCTTAAATAAGCCATTCTCAAACTGAAATACAGATCTTTCACACTTGGGGACAGGGTTTATTTGAGGATAACTACGACATTTGTAAAACTTTACTTTGAGTTAAAAGTGGCAATAAGCGACCATTTTTATCCTAATATAAGTTCCATCCTTGATCAGAAAGCCAGGAGGGTCATCTGTCAGGAGGTCAATATGTTCCCGGCTATATATGTCAACCAAATAGACAATGTTAATTCATATATGGGATCAGGAGATAAAATTGTTACTCACCAGAAAAGACAAAAACATAGCAATGGCTGACAAAAAATGCCAGACATCATGGGCATCATAAAAATCCAGCACTATGCAATTCTTGTTGCCTTCTCTCGACTGAGACGGAGTCAGCTACAAGAACACAAGCCACAATATATTATCTATATTTAGTAACAAAATTTGTGAGAACAATTTAATCTATGATAAATAATTCTTTCTGAAAAATTTTACAATATATAAAAATCAACCAATAAAAAAATTGATCCTTTTATGCTTTCTTCGCAATATTTTCTGCCTTCCATGCCATCATGTTTCCATCTAAAGTCAAAAAGTTTTCATTCTGAAACACCAGCTCCTGACTACTTTCACAAACAGAAGATCAAATGACAACAGCTTACGTCCATCAACACTTACCTGCCAAGATGTTAAATGAGCAAAGAAGAAATAGAGAGCCAGGATCCAGACAATTGTGGCTGTGAGGATACACAACACAGCTATAGGGTGTATCTTTTCTTTATACCGCAACTAAAAACAAATACTGGAGTTATCAAAATAGTCATCTACAATACATAAGTACAAGATATCTTCTTTGTGCAACAATACCAGGCCTAAATCACACGAAAACTGAATCTTTTTCACAACAACAATATTCTGAAACATCGATAGTCCTTCCTGTAGTTCCAAAATCTGCAATTTTCTCCTGAATATTTCCTCCAAAATTCATCATTTTTATTACAAAGCGAAAAAAAAGGTTTCATTCATAAACAGTGAAAAAAAAGCAACTTCTGAAGTCTATATCAGACTGTGACTTATAATTGCAGGACTTACCTTCATGATGATGTAAAACAAGCAATACAGAAGTAAGTTAACAATGAGTATTCCCAGTAAAAAGCTGGCAAAATCTGATGGCCATGTAACAGCTCCATAGATGGCGCTGCAAAGGTGAGGTCAAAGTTTAAAGTTATTTCAAATACTTTCAGGAGCTTATGTATAAACAAGGGAAACCCAATGTAACCAAATTTCTGGGTTTTAATGTAAATAACCTTTTTATAGCTAAACTGTATTATTTCATCCAATAGTTACCATGACTACCAAGAATAATAGTAGCCATGACTACCAGTCACTTCAGCCAATCAGCATGATGGTAGTCATGACTACCAATTACCTCAGCCAATCACAGAGATGGTAGGCATGATTACCAATTACTTCAGCCAATCACAGTTATGCATGTCAAACCTGACATCAGTTTGGTAACCACAATTACTGCATATATTTGATGTTCATTGTAATGTCATCAACTCATATATAATTTGTTTACATGAAAAATTCCCAATATGGAAATTAAGTGATTAAGTATTGACCTTCTATATTTCACCTAAGAATTCAATAATTCTTTTAAAATGAATTATAAAGATAAAATAAAAAATTCAAAATACTTACAAACTCCAATTTATTACATTTCCAATGAAGAGGATAGCAAGTCTGTCCTGAATGAAGAAAGAATTCACTCAAGAGGAACATAATAATCAAACAAGTATATAAATCACTACTACATTTTTTAAAAATAATTATAACAAGGTAAATTTTATTATAAGAAAAGATAACTATGAAGGACCAATATATGTCCCTCCCATGCCAAAGAAACGACCAAATATGGAAGTGGTAGGAATGAATCAAATGTCAAGAGGATAAGGAGAAAATGAAAGAAAATTCTGAACAAGATAAAACGATTAAAAGAACAAATGAAAATAATTTTTTGAAATGTTTTTGAATCAGAATCTTATTCATAAGGACACAGTCTCATGTTATGGTTTTTGAGCCTATCAAGTTTCAAAGAAATTGGCTGAAAAATGAGGAGAAATCTGGACAATATAAAAAAATTGAAAAAAGGGCAATAACTCTTTCTAATATTGTAACATCACAATGCCTGTAAGGAAAACACAATATGTTATGGCAAATGAGCCTAACAAGTTTATAAGAAATCAGATGAAAACAGACAAGATGAACATTATGAAAATAATAAGGGGCAGTAACTCTTTCAAATACAGTTGAATTAATCTGCCATTAAAAAAAAAACTTCTTCATATTATTAAACCCATAAAAGTTTGAAAAAGGTTGGTTGAAAACTGTGAGATCTCCAAACAAATGAAAATTAACAATAGACAGACAAACAATACAATATCATATTATAAGATTTTTTGTACGTATGTATCTGTGTGTTTGTATGTGATCCCTGTACTACAGCAACATCTTTAATTTGTTTAACCAAAGCATTTTGTGACTTTTCTCTTGGTTATTTCATAGTTACTAATGAAAATTAAAATTAAAAATTAAACAAGAGCCCGACATGAAATACAAGATTTCAAATTTTGAACTTGAGAAAATGTGTTTTCAAGATGGCTGCCATGGCAGCCATGTTGTATTTTAGACCAACCCAAAAACTTTGGTCAGGATCATGTCACAATCATTTCAGGTAAGTTTCAGCTCAATGAGACATGCAGAACTTAAGCAGAAGTTGAAAATGTTTACGACGGACGCCGAACGACACAGGACAAGAGGTGATCACAATAGGTCATCAGACCCTTCTGGTCAGATGACCTAGATAAGTAAATGCTGAATAAATCAATTATATTCTAAAAATTTATTTTTTTAACTTAATTTGTTGTCCCTAACCATTTCATACTCAACAAACATTTCATTTTAAACCACAAAATTTGAGCCCCATGAAAAATAATGATCTCACATATACATTCTAGGGATGTATTTTTAATCAGACTAACAACATGTTACTGACCTTATACATAGGCTTGGTGCAATGTCCACACTCGTAACGTATAGACAGATACATCTTGGTTACGATTCCTGTGTCTGGAAAACATGAAAAACATCATTCACCAATGTTGTACAAAATTAAGCAATTTTACGCGTGGAAAATTTCTTGACTGATAAGTTTAATAACTAAACCATAAAGCATTTACACAGTGTACATCAATCAATCCACTTACTTATAAAAAAATACTTCTCATTCAGAAACAACTCTCTCTATTCTACAACAATCGCGAATCAAGTTCTAACAGCTCATATTGATCATTCGAGATGGAAGATGGACGTACACGAAGGGCATTTTTTTGTTTTATACCTTAAAATCTTTGTGTAGATCAATTTTTATGTTTATAAAAAAATAATACTAGATTTCATGGAAATATATAGCACCAGAAATCTTACATAAATTTGTGGATTCATAGTACCCACAAATCAATGAAAATAAATCATCCCTGTAAATTAATGATTTCACAGTATAAAATGTCCTCTGGCGTTACTGCCTTGGAATTGGTATACAAGCCTGTTTTACCCCCTGATATTATCCCGTGGACAGATGGAACCAATCTTTGGTTCCTTTTAGTGGCACCACCAGGGAAACTGACCCTCAATCTTTGGTGGCACAACCAGGGAAACTGACAGATGGAACCAATCTTTGGTTCCCTCTAGTGGCTCCACCAGGGAAACTGACAATTAGAGCACATTCCTGTAGTACCTTCTGGTGCTCAGCCACTTAAAAATATGAGTGCAAGGTTAATGGTCCCTGCAGTGGAAATAAAGAACTTATTTATGGAATATAGGCAAATGCTTAAGGTTCAGCCTACTTGTTGTAAGGAACTGGCATATGAATTCAAGGGTCTCTGGTGCCCTCTGGTGGTTCTGGCAGGAACCAACACACTGGAAAAAAAAGTCCCACCCTCAGGATAAGATAATAGAAGCTAAATCAGCTGATCTTCAGGAAAACCACAAAATACTTACTCATCTTAAAACGGCCCATGTAGTAGATATAAACACTCAGAATTAGAGAGGCAAGCATGTCAACGAGAGCAAACAGGATCCAGAAAATGTTTGTTCCATATACCTGCAAGTATAGAACATTTAATTACATCAAAGTCAAGAAAATGTTTGTTCCAAACACCTGAACATAGTACATTTAATTACAACAAGGTCATATGTCTGGAAATATGAATTATTTTATCACGACACCTTGCGAGGTCAAAGAAAATGGTTCATAACCCTGAATATTTAACATTTCATCACAAAAACTAACAAGATCTAGAAAATATTTGCTTTATCATTATAATATATAAAAAACTGTCAGGGAAAAAATTCTAAAACAATATTGATGATCTATAAAAAATTACTACTGCTGAGTTTAACAACTACAATCAATTCTACTTGTATGTATTTCTACTGTTTATGCAGTAATAATATCATTTTTGGAATAAGAAATCTGAACTGATCTTTTTCTTCAAGCATCAAATGTCAAACCATTCAGCATAATATTAATTTTTTTAGTAAGTCCCAAAAAGCCTCCAACTCAAAGTCACAGGGCACTTTTCATGCTGAAAGTATTGTGCTAAAATATTATTTCACTAACAGACACAAAACTAATTTTGGTTTGTATGTCAATATGGGCTTATTACCAAGCATGGACTTACACCTAAATAAACTGCTGAACTAAAGTACTAGTGTTTCCAAAAAAGAAATTTTAGCATAATGTTTTGGCACAAGTTTCAGCTCCTACCCGGGTACTTATTTCAGTGGGTATCTTACTTTAGCACATTTTGTGCTGAAAGTATTGTGCTAAAATATTATTTCACTAAATGCAGTTATTGTATGTTGTTTAATTTATAATTATTGTGATTTCACAAAATCAGCACTGCTCTAAAGCGATAATATGTTAATTTTATTTTACTGTGCTAAATTAAGTATGTTTGAAGTATTTTTCCGCAAATTATTGCAATGATAAATTCATGCATCTACGATAATTGCTATAAAATAGTATATATAGAAACTGCAATCAGCATTATCATATTCTAGCATAATGCCTTTAGTATGTAAAGTGTTAAAATCAGATTAAAGCTAAAATAAGTCCATTTTAACCCTTTTGGCGCTGTAGGCAACTAAAGTCGACATGCAGACAGGCCGCCGTAGGCGACTTTGGTCGACAATTTTTATATCTTTATCATTATTCAAGATATGCTTGTTTCAGTAATGCTGCCATTGTTTTCGGATATTTTCCGGAAAATATTTGGCGCTGAGCTGTACAATGTAAGAGATATTTGGCGCTGAGCGGTACATTGTAAGAGATATTTGGCGCTAAGCTGTACATTGTAAGAGATATTTGGCGCTGAGATGTACATTGTAAGAGATATTTGGCGCTGAGATGTACATTGTAAGAGATAATTGGTGCTGAGATGTACATTGTAAGAGATATCTGGCGCTAAGCTGTACATTGTAAGAGATAATTGGTGCTGAGCTGTACATTGTAAGAGATAATTTGTGCTGAGCAGTACATTGTAAGAGATAATTGGTGCTGAGCTGTACATTGTAAGAGATAATTGGCACTGAGCTGTACATTGTAAGAGATAATTGGTGCTGAGCTGTACATTGTAAGAGATATTTGGCACTGAGCTGTACATTGTAAGAGATAATTGGCGCTGAGCTGTACATTGTAAGAGATAATTGGCGCTGAGCTGTACATTGTAAGAGATATTTGGTGCTGAGCGGTACATTGTAAGATATAATTGGTGCTGAGCTGTACATTGTAAAAGATATTTGGTGCTGAGCGGTACATTGTAAGAGATATCTGGCGCTGAGCTGTACATTGTAAGAGATATTTGGCGCTGAGCTGTACATTGTAAGAGATAATTGGCGCTGAGCTGTACATTGTAAGAGATAATTGGTGCTGAGCTGTACATTGTAAGAGATATTTGGCGCTGAGCTGTACATTGTAAGAGATAATTGGCGCTGAGCTGTACATTGTAAGAGATAATTGGTGCTGAGCTGTACATTGTAAGAGATAATTGGTGCTGAGCTGTACATTGTAAGAGATAATTTGTGCTGAGCAGTACATTGTAAGAGATAATTGGTGCTGAGCTGTACATTGTAAGAGATAATTGGCGCTGAGCTGTACATTGTAAGAGATAATTGGTGCTGAGCTGTACATTGTAAGAGATAATTTGTGCTGAGCAGTACATTGTAAGAGATAATTGGTGCTGAGCTGTACATTGTAAGAGATAATTGGCGCTGAGCTGTACATTGTAAGAGATATCTGGCGCTAAGCTGTACATTGTAAGAGATATTTGGCGCTGAGCTGTACATTGTAAGAGATAATTGGCGCTGAGCTGTACATTGTAAGAGATATCTGGCGCTAAGCTGTACATTTTAAGAGATATTTGGCGCTGAGCGGTACATTGTAAGAGATATTTGGCGCTGAGCGGTACATTGTAAGAGATATTTGGTGCTGAGCTGTACATTGTAAGAGATATTTACAGCTAAGCGGTACATTGTAAGAGATATTTCGTGCTGAGCTGTACATTGTAAGAGATATTTGGCACAGAGCTGTACATTGTAAGAGATAATTGGTGCTGAGCTGTACATTGTAAGAGATAACTGGCACTGAGCGGTACATTGTAAGAGATATTTGGTGCTGAGCTGTACATTGTAAGAGATAATTGGCACTGAGCTGTACATTGTAAGAGATAATTGGTGCTGAGCTGTACATTGTAAGAGATAATTTGTGCTGAGCAGTACATTGTAAGAGATAATTGGTGCTGAGCTGTACATTGTAAGAGATAATTGGCGCTGAGCTGTACATTGTAAGAGATATCTGGCGCTAAGCTGTACATTGTAAGAGATAATTGGTGCTGAGCGGTACATTGTAAGAGATATTTCACGCTAAGCTGTACATTTTAAGAGATATTTGGCGCTGAGCGGTACATTGTAAGAGATATTTGGCGCTGAGCTGTACATTGTAAGAGATATTTACAGCTAAGCGGTACATTGTAAGAGATATTTCGTGCTGAGCTGTACATTGTAAGAGATATTTGGCGCTGAGCTGTACATTGTAAGAGATAATTGGCGCTGAGCTGTACATTGTAAGAGATAATTGGCACTGAGCGGTACATTGTAAGAGATATTTGGTGCTGAGCTGTACATTGTAAGAGATAATTGGCACTGAGCGGTACATTGTAAGAGATAATTGGCGCTGAGCTGTACATTGTAAGAGATAATTGGCACTGAGCTGTACATTGTAAGAGATAATTGGCGCTGAGCTGTACATTGTAAGAGATAATTGGCGCTGAGCTGTACATTGTAAGAGATAATTGGCGCTGAGCTGTACATTGTAAGAGATAATTGGCGCTGAGCTGTACATTGTAAGAGATAATTGGCGCTGAGCTTTACATTGTAAGAATAATTGGCGCTGAGCTGTACATTGTAAGAGATAATTGGCGCTGAGCAGTACATTGTAAGAGATAATTGGCGCCGAAAGGGTTAAGTAAATAAGTCAACACATATTACCCCTTACTGAAATGTTAAATAAGTAATGAACTTATTCCACAGTCAATGAATAAGCATTCATCGAGTGGACAGCAACATCTGTGGGCTTATTAACGTGAACATAGTGATACTTACAACACCAACAACGGCTATGAAGATAATGAAGGCCATGACAAGGTAGGAGGTGTGAGCTTTGGCGCTGATGTCAGGATGTCTGTTCTGATAAACCCTCAACATACACAGACAGGCGATGATGTACATGAAGGATGTGTCTACAAAAGTACAGCATACTTAACAAGGTGATGATGTATAAAAATAATTTGTTTATAAAAAGTCAAATCTTGGAAAGTTTTTTTTTGTTTTTTTGCTATCTAAATAAGAAGTTGAAATGTTTGATTTAAAGATTATTGATTTTGAGATGTTGTGTCTTTGGTAAATTTGTATTAATGGGTAAAAATCGTGAAAACTGGAAATTGAAATAATAGTGGTGACAAGAGGCCCAAGGGGCCTTAATGGTCACCTGAGGAATATATGTCAAAAATCTGGGGATTTTAAAATGTTGCAAAAATGTAAAAACACTGTGTGTAAAACATCTGTACCAAGTTTGAACATGATCCACCAGTTTCTTGAGAGGAAGTCCAAAATGTCTTAGCCAAACAGAGGCCAGGATGGACATCTTGGATTTTGAATCGCCCCAAAAAGTTAAAACACTTGCGAGGACCTTGTGTAGAACATTCGTATCAAGTTTCCCCTTTTCCCCCCATCTGGGGCCCCTATTGGGGCCATGCCCTTTTTTTTTGCAAACTTGAAGCGGCTTCCCATGGGGATGCTTTGTGCCAAATTTGATCAAAATCCATTCAGTGGTTCTTGAGAAGAAATCGAATATGTGAAAAGTTAATGACGCACGACGCACAACGGCAGACAAATCATGATGGCAATAGGTCACCATGAGCCTTCGACCTAAAAAGAATGAAGCCAATGAGCCTGTATCTTAGGTTATCAGAAGAGTTTATTTTCATGTTTTTCCCAAACATCATATAAATTTTTAACAATACAGTATATACTGTGTAATATATATCAAAATAAAGAAACACAACAGCATGAGTTGGCAATAATCCCAGCATGCTACAGGCCCAAATTCATGACCCTGGGCCTCTTGGTTATTAAGAAGAAGACTTTTAATACATTTGACCCCTATGCCATTGAAAGTCGATCAAGATCAATCATATCAACAAACTACGTCATATTGGCCTGCTGCGGGCCTTAACTCATGACCCTGATCATGTGGTTACAGAGAAAAAGTTGTTTCAAGGGAAATTCGATCCCAGTCTTCATTGACAGATATTTTTTATAGACAGGAGATCTTTGTAAAGAGGTATTTTTAGGTAGAGGTGGTTATAGGCAGGTATTTGTTATTTACAAGTGGCCTTTAAGACAAGTATTATCTGAATAGATATGGCATATATACACAGATATCTGTAAAATACAGGAGGGCTATTTAGACAGGTATTATTCATAGACAGATTTTTGTAGACAGGTATTTTTACGTACATGTGACATTTATAGACATTATAAATAGATCTGGTGTTTGTTATATACAGATGACCTTTATATACATATATCTTATATACCAATGTCCTTTGTAGACAGGTTTTCGTTATATACAGATAACCTTCATATACATATATGTTATATACCAATGTCCTTTATAGACAGGTTTTTGTCATATATAAAGGTTTCTTTACAACAACCGCGAAACAAATTATTTCAACTTATATTAATCACTCTTGTTGGCCCAAATGTAAGCGCGCGAGACGTCTCATTGTTGAAGGAAACCAGAGTACTCTAGGAAAACCCAAGTGGTTGGGCAGGTGACCCTTATCTTTTCACTTCCATTCCAGGAGTGGAACCCCGGACAGCTAGGTGACAGGCGAGTGCGTTACCACTGCACCACCTGACCACCATGTTATTTTTACACATATCTAGCCTTTATTGACAGGTAATTTTATATACCTCTGACCTTTCTAGACAGGTCTTTGCTATATACAGATGGTATTAAATTTAGACTAAGAACTATTAACTTTCCAGAGAAAAAAGGCAGACTCACCGAACTGAAAATTGGAATAGTTTGGACAAACATGATAGCAGGCACTCATTAAACCCTCCATGCACAAAGCCAGTCCCATCGCATACAGTAACCCATTGTGTTGGGGAAGGCCATATTTCTGTAGGAGAGAAACACCTCATATTATCTTATCTATCTTGCAGGAAGTCAAAATATAACCTCTGACTCAAAGTCACGAGATGGGCTTATTAGAGGATAATTAATTGTTAGCTAAATATAAGTTCTTATAACACAACCAGTAGAAGATTGAAGTGTAAATTTACTATTGGTTGTGTTTTCGGAACTTCTCTTTCACTGGAATTTCGATCTTGAAGAAAATGTTCGAAAATAGTAATGTCAGCATTTCTACTGTTATTTCAGTACATGAAGATGGGCCTATTACCAGACATGGGCTTATTGTTGAATAAATATGTAGGTAAACTGCTGCACTTGACACTGTAAACCAGCTTTTGTGTCTAATTTAAGTTGCGAATTTCCAAACATAATCAAAATAAATTTGTTATGAAAACTAGCATTTATATAGACTGAAATTATTAACTGATGTGAAATCTGTTTCACGAATGTCAACCATCGGAAACTTGTGATGTCGAATTTGTCAACGCCACAAGGAGAGTTATTTTACAGTTAATACCTGGTACTCAATGGTTAAAATACTTACTGTTTCCACCATAGGATTTCTCTCTACAGCTTTTTTATACACAAGGTCTCTGAAATCAAGACAAAATATTTGTATCAGTATTTCATGTCAAATAGTTTTCTTCGTCTGCTAAAATTTCATAACTTTTTTAGTTCAAAATTCATACATTTTTAGCTAAGTTTTCTATGTCTGCTAAAATTTCATAACTTTTTCAGTTCAAAATTCATACATTTTTAGCTAAGTTTTCTACGTCTGCTAAAGTTTCATAACTTTTTCAGTTCAAAATTCATACATTTTCATTTAAGTTTTCTATGTCTGCTAAAATTTCATAACTTTTTCAGTTCAAAATTCATACATTTTTATCTAAATTTTCTATGTTTGCTAAAATTTCATGACTTTTTCAGTTCAAAATTCAGACATTTTTAGCTAAGTTTTCTATGTCTGCTAAAATTTCATAACTTTTTCAGTTCAAATTTCATACATTTTTAGCTAAGTTTTCTATGCCTGCTAAAATTTCATAACTTTTTCAGTTCAAAATTCGTACATTTTTAGCTAAGTTTTCTATGTCTGCTAAAATTTCATGACTTTTTCAGTTCAAAATTCATACATTTTTAGCTAAACACAGAAAGAAATAGATACAAACGTCTGTATCAATCAGCATTTCATGAAAAATACTTTTCTGTGTCTGCTAAAATTTCCTGACTATTTCAATTTTGCATCTATATTTCAAGTAAAATTGTATTGTATTTCAAGTAAAATTTCCCGAATTTTTCAATTAAAAATTTGTATCTTTTCAGGTAAACACAGAAAAAAATTATAACATACAATAGTTTCCAATGGACTTCAGGATCCTAAGGAACGACATGTTGTACTTACCTTCTCCACACCAGTAGCAGGAACAGCGACCCTAACATGACATAACCAATATTACTGAAGACATTGTTGAAGGCACTGAGCACACCCAGAGGTCGTGAACAGTCAAAATTATAATAACAGATATCCTGGTCTCCTGTCACATGTAAAACCTGAAACGTCAAGTAGATCATTTCAACCAAGGTAATTAAATGTGTTTGGGTCTCGCTCATTGTGGTTTCTCAATTATCACTGGATCAAACCACATCAACTGTGTCATTGTGATAACCAGTAATTAATTAATCTTTCTGTAGAAAATCTGTTTTTCTTTTTTTTTTAATCTGACCCCAAAAAAGTACCTGCGCATTATACCCGAGTGCGCATTATACCCGCAAATTTACGGTAATTCAACCTAACATATTTATAAGTCCATGTTTCACCCTGTATGAGAAAAAGCCTAGCTCATCTCCTTTCATAAAATTTGGGTCACAATATCAAGCACTGAGATTTATAAATTCAATTAAGGATTCATTTGTTCCTGTAAACCATAAAAAATGGCAATAGCCATAAGATTTCGTATATCTTTTTAAAAGAATTCTATAAAAAGATCTTTTTATTCTATAAAAAGAGAAAACCTTGTATCAAAAGACAGGACAGGTCCAAAATTAGCCATAAGATTTCTGTAATCAATAATCAAAAGAGAGAGTCAAAATTAGTCCATAAGATTTCTGTAATCGATAATCAATAGAGAGAGTCAAAATTAGTCCATAAGATTTCTGTAATCGATAATCAATAGAGAGAGTCAAAATTAGTCCATAAGATTTCTGTAATCGATAATCAAAAGACAGAGTCAAAATTAGTCCATAAGATTTCTGTAATCGATAATCAAAAGAGAGAGTCAAAATTAGTCCATAAGATTTCTGTAATCAATAATCAAAAGAGAGAGTCAAAATTAGTCCATAAGATTTCTGTAATCAACAATCAAAAGAGAGAGTCAAAATTAGTCCATAAGATTTCTGTAATCAACAATCAAAAGAGAGAGACAAAATTAGTCCATAAGATTTCTGTAATCAATAATCAAAAGACAGAGTCAAAATTAGTCCATAAGATTTCTGTAATCGATAATCAAAAGACAGAGTCAAAATCAGTCAAATAACGTTATCTAAAAGTTTCTATATTAAGAAGTTCTTATCACATAAACAGGAAAAATTTTCACAGGAGAAAAAAAAGCCTCATTTTTCTTAATTTTTTTATCAGTATTGCAATTTATTCTGTTGATAACCAAAAGCATAATAAGCGTCACATGTTATAGAACAGATCATTTATAGTCAATATCAACATTGTATTTTTATTTTCAGTTCATTCTGTAGAAAATACAGCTGTTTACCTGCAAAATAGCCTGTAGTTTTTCTCTTGTCGTTTCTTTGGTTTCCTTGCCAAGTCACAAACAAACAGTGCAGTCTGAGAAAATGAACATAATACAATTGTTTGTTTGTTTGCTAAATTGTTTGCTCGGTAAATCACACCATGATATTTTTTTGCTTTAAGAAGGACATTCAGACAATTCTTACTTTCAAATGAAGGAGATTCAGGTAATTTTATTTTTGTATGATATTTAGATAATCCTTACTTTTGCACGAAGGAGATTCAGATAATTATATTTTTGTATGATATTCAGAAAATGCTTACTTTTGTACGAAGGACATTCTTTTCACTTGACGCATCGTCTAGGAAATCTACATCATCCTCAGATGGAGTTCTGGCGAGTTGTGGTGGGGGAACCCTGTACATCTCCTTATCTCTCTGGGCATCGTTACCTTCTGTACGATGCATGAGACAAATTGCGATCAGAGGGAAAACAGAGATGAACATGTTTTTCATAATTCCATAAACAATCTATCTGTGAGATTTACAAGACATTATGAAGGTTTCGTAGTTGAATAATTGCACATACTTTTTGTAATTGAAAGAAAATGTAGTACCTTATAGATGGTCAAACTTTTCCCATTAAAATCATATTTCAACAAGAGTGCCGTGGACACAATATACGCCACCACAAAATATAAAGATCACTATAAAATGGCATAAATCTTACAAAAATCAAAGAACCGAAAAATCACCCCTTCATGCACATCTACCCATTGTAGTAGTGACATTGAGCAAGTTTCATGAAAATCTGATGATTACTTTAGGAGGAGTTGCTTTTACAAGAAATGGATGTACGGACAGACGGATGGATGGACGGACAGATGGAGAAGATGACACCAATATACGACCGCCTCCGGCGGCGTTTAACAAATTAAAATTTTGTGATCTGGATGTAAAAGGACGTCTAAACTATCATTCAACAATATGTTAATATACCATTATGTAAACCATTGTCTAATTTTTTATTGCTAAATGTCACACAAAAAAATAAAAAAATAAATCAAATGCACTTTGTGTTATGATTATGGTGAAGCCATTTTGTTTATCTTTCTTTATTAGATAAATCAATAAAATGGAAATAGGTTTACCTGAAACATCGTCCACATTAACACTCCCATATCCATGACGATTACCCTGAACACTTATTGCAAGAGGGTCTGTCTCTTCTGTATCTAAAAGTTTAAGGTCAAGGTCACAGGTGGTCATATGACGAAGTCCAACAAGAATTTTTTAAATCACAATTATGATTACAATTTTTGTCCCGTGGCAAATTGTGTTTTTAGCAAAGAAGATGAAAAATATCTACAAATATCTATAAAGGTATTCCTAACAAAATTATGGATTCAAATTCTTTATTTTTTTTTGTATTTCTTTTAATTTTCATTCATCATCATCATCATCATCATCATCATCATCATCATCATCATCATCATCATCATTAATACACACTTTAAATCATCAAATTCTATATCATTGTCATGATCATCCTCATCGCAATTATCATCAACAACCTATCATCTTCAGTATCATCTGCTTATAAGCATCGATTCCAATCATCAATCAATCAAATGCCCCCTCCCCCCAAAGCCGCCAAAAATGAAGTGTTTTATCCATACTTTACATCTGTTGTGAACTTTTGAAACACAGAGAAACCTGGAATGATTCTAAATAAACAAAGGACCTCATTTACTAATACACTGTCCAACATTGGATTCTTCACAAAATTTAGTAAACCCGTTTACAATCTCACAACCACACACCATCTTTCATTCCACCCTTACTCCATCCTTCTACAGTCTCACATCCCCACAGCATCCTCCACTCCACCCATCTACAGTCTCACATCCCCACAGCATCCTCCACTCCACCCATCTATAGCCTCACATCCCCACACCATCCTCCACTCCACCCATCTACAGCCTCACATCCCAACACCATCCTCCATTCCACCCTTTCCCCATCCTTCTACAGCCTCACATCCCCACACCATCCTCCACTCCACCCTTTCCCCATCCTTCTACAGCCACACATCCCCACACCATCCTCCACTCCACCCTTTCCCCATCCTTCTACAGCCTCACATCCCAACACCATCCTCCACTCCACCCTTTCCCCATCCTTCTACAGCCTCACATCCCCACACCATCCTCTACTACACCCTTTCTCCACCCCTCTACAGTCTCACCTCCCCACACCATCCTTTTTCCACACTTAACCCACCCCTTCCCCACCCCTCTACAGCCTCATATCTAATCAAATTCCTCTAAACCATCCTCTCCCCACCCCTCTACAGCTTCACATCCTCACACATTCCTCCACACCATCCTCTCCCCACCCCTCTACAATATCACATCACCACACCATCCTCTACTACACTCTTTCTCCATCCCTCTACAGCTTCACATCCCAACACCATCCTCTACTCCAACCTTTCCCCACCCTTTACCTTCCCCTCTACAGCCTCACATCCCATCACATTCCTCCACTCCCTCCCTTTCCCCACCCCTCTGTAGCCTCACATCCCCACACCATCCTTCACTCCACCCTTACTCCATCCCTCTACAGCCTCACATCCCCACACCATCCTCCGCTCCACCCTTACTCCACCCCTCTACAGCCTCACACCCCACACAATCCTCCACTCCACCCTTACTCCACCCTTCTACAGCCTCACATCCCCCACACCATCCTCCACTCCACCCTTACTCCACCCCTCTATAGCCTCACATCCCCACACCATCCTCCACTCCACCCTTCCTCCACCCCTCTATAGCCTCACATCCCCACACCATCCTCCACTCCACCCTTACTCCACCCCTCTATAGCCTCACATCCCCACACAATCCTCCACTTAACCTATGCCTCTTCAGCCTCATTTTCCCCTCTCCATTGGTAGTTTCACAGAATGGAAATCTTGTTTCTTTAACTTACTAGTAGACAGCTTTACAAAAAGTCTTTGTGTTGTTGAGATTCCTTTTGTTTTATTATATTAAACTTACTAGAAAATAATGAAATCAGATTTAATATATTCTCTTTACCATGAGATGCCTATATCAACTTTAACATCACAGTCTACTGACAAGTTACAAAAAAAATTCCTTACCTTCCTCTAGTACAAATTCCCAAACACCCCAATTTTTTCGACTGAAACAAACCAAAATAAGAAAATAAATAAAATCATAATTATGTTATTCTACAAATAATTTCAGAAAGAAAATTTCAAAATTATTTCATCACTAAAGAAACACTGACAAATTCAAGGATATTTATCAGAAGTAAACAAAACATTTCATTCACATCATTGTGGTAATTTATTTCAGAATATTTACATTACTTTAATCAGTAAGTGAGAATAAATATTAACTCATTTGTCTCGATTGCTATGATTAAATTAAATGTAAATCTTTTGAAAAACTTGACACTATCGAATATCAAAGAAGAGCAATTACTATGAATTTAAGATAATTTTCCACTTAAGATATATTTTTTAGTCTTAAAAGAAAATCAGCATATTGAACAAGACTTCGTAAAGATCTCATGAATTTTGATATTGATGCTTGAATTGAATTTGGATACATTATGGAGTCACAAAATATCAATTTTAGATTGAATCATTCTTACCAGCCATGATATAAAATTCCTACGATGAACGCTACGATGTAAAATCCTACAAACACACCGACTGCTGCTATTATAGCTGCATAGTACTTCTTAGCTGTAACACAACACAAGTTACACATCAGTATTTTAAAAAAAATATTTTATCCTCCCTCCACGCAACAAGAAAAAAATTGTTTGCTGTAACACAAAGGCCATTTCAATATCAGTATTTCAAAAATATTCTCTCCTTCCTTCCCACAACAAAAAATACTTGTTGGCTGTATGGATGGCTAGTTAGAAATCAAATATATCTATCAAATGTGCCGACGACAAGAAAGTACTAATCAGCTGTAAGACATGGCAACTTATATATAGACTTCAGTATCTTAAGAATATTTCATCTTCTATCTTGGTAAGAAAAAGTAGCTGTAACACAAGTTAACTTCAGAATTAACATTTCATAATTATCTTATCCTCCAATATTGAGAGAAAAAAATTGTGACAAAAAAACCATGAAGCTATAAAAGTTTTTATATACTTGACCAAAATAATTTCATTTTTACTATCAGAGTGACTAGAAAATGTCTATAAGTCATGCATGTCTCCATTTTTACTACCACAGTGACTAGAAAATGTCTATAAGTCATGCATGCCTCCATCCCTGAGGTAAACAATTTGATCAAGTGTAGAATGTGATGTTGTGATACAACATGAACAAGGGAAAATACGAACCAAATCTGAAGAGAAGATCTCAAGTTACGAAATTAATTCGGGACAGGACATAAGGCCACAGGACACAATGAATAGGATGGACATGTATAACACTTTATATCGTTAAACAAATTTTATTACATTTATGTCAGAGAAAATATCAGAAACATCAAATTATTAACGAGAGGTAAATGGCCTAAAGGTTTACCAGACTTATCCCAACAAATCTTAAATATGGCTACATACCAAGTTTTATAAAAACCGGTTCATATCGTATTTACTTAAATTCTCATGTTCACAAGGTCCATGGAAGTAATATTGCAAACCGCAACTTTGTAATTTTTTATCAAATCGATACCATTGTTAAAATCATCTACGATATTATTGATATAAGACTGCAGACCATGTGTGTTTAAAATTTCTTCATTTTTACCCAAGTTATCTTGTTCACAAAGTCAAATAGAGATAAAACAGCAAAGCGCCATAACTCAATCAAAATACAAACAAAATAGTGGTATTGGTGAAGACTTCCCAGATCTTATTAAGGCTGCAGTCCAAGTTTCATCAAAATCAGTTCATGTTTACTCAAATTATCTTATTCACAAGGTCCATGAAAACAAAATTTCAAAGGGCCATAACTCTGTAAATTACAGTTAAATTAGTCCATTATTTCAGTCATCTGAGATCTTATTGACATACAACTGCACACTATGTTTCATCAAAATCTGTTTAGATTCACTCATTTTATCCTGTTAAGTTATCAAGTTAATACATGATGTATGACGACTGATGAACAACGACAGCTATAGGTTATAATGACCTATGGTTTTATGGTGACCAAAAATCCTACATCATCAATGGTGGTATGAGAAATCGTATCACTGACAGTCATAGATACTTTACTTACCACTGATGGTGCCATGAACCTGCAGTGTCAGCTGTTTCCTGCGAGTGTAGCCGGGAGCTTGTATAGTATCAATACCGTTACAGTCATAGTCTGAGGGCTTCAACACCATGACAATGTAGAACGATTTCTGATCATAATTAGCTTTCTGTAGGGTAGAAATACATCCAGTATTCTTAAACTGAATCATGATTTTTGTGAGAAAGCAAGAAGGTTTCTACATTCTCCTTTCAAGGATAAAATATATTTGCCAAAAAATAGAAACATTCATAAATCAAAATAAACATAGGTTTTGCTGGTTAATCACCCTGTGAACACCCATCATCATTATAAGGTGGTGTTTCCTTGTAATAGCTGGTGACCTCACTGAACAACATGTGGAAGGCCCATTACATGCCATGCAGAGGATTAAGTACACAAAACATCAGCACAGACTGAGCTATTTCTCAGTTTTCTGAGAAGCAAAAACTGAAATAGGTAGGGAGCTTTGAACCATACATCTCAAATTTTCAACTAAGGCTGTTTAGCCAACTCCTGACCAACTGCATTATTGTAAACATTTTAATCAATAATCTATCTCATCATTTCTATGGAAAACAAATTTTTTTGTGTAAGACTTTGGGAAAAACAGGGAAAGAAAATAAATTGTTACAGAACATATGTGATTAACTATGAAAACTTTATACCTGACAAGGTCTTAAAATACACATACCTCAGCAGTAATGGCTGCCTGCTTGGTCATTGTCTGGTGTACACCAGCAAATTCAACATCTCGGTCAAGATCAAAAACTGGACACTATATAAATGATAAGGGTAAGGTTAAATATAGAACACTAGAAAAACAGCAAAAGTCAAGGTCAAATACATGGCAAAGGATACTTAAGAAACAGGAAAGTCTGGATCTAAATTACACAAAGAACAATTTCAATATACGACAATGTTTACATCTGATTTCAGACTTACAAAAACCAGTTACCTAACTTTCTGTTTTTTGTAAAGCCCAACTTCAGAGTTATCTACCTTTCTGTTTATATAAGACTTGACCACAGAGTTATCTACCTTTCTGTTTATATAAGACTTGACTATAGAGTTACTTAACTCGCTGTTTTTGAAAACTTAACCACAAAGTTATCTACCTTTCTGTTTTTGTAAGACTTAACAACAGAGTTATCTACCTTTCTGTTTTTGTAAGACTTAACAACAGAGTTACTTACCTTTCTGTTTTTGTAAGACTTAACAACAGAGTTATCTACCTTTCTGTCTTTGAAAACTTAACAACAGAGTTATCTACCTTTTTGTTTTTGTACGGTTTACAACAGAGTTACCTACCTTTCTGTATTTGAAAACTTACCACAGAGTGTTCTACCTTTCTGTTTTTGAAAACTTAACAACAGAGTTATCTACCTTTCTGTCTTTGAAAACTTAACAACAGAGTTATCTACCTTTCTGCTCTTGAAAACTCAACAACAGAGTTATCTACCTTTCTGCTCTTGAAAACTCAACAACAGAGTTATCTATCTTATGATTTGTAAGACTTACTAACAGGGTGACCTACCTTTACATCCTGAACTGAGAGTATCATACAGAGGTCGCTGTCGGACATTGCCTGTACGAATACTGAGTCCACATTGTCTGGAAATGTGTACATAAAATACTGTGGCTCTGACGGCGTGACATTTACATTCCTCACCTCGTTGGTACTACATCAGATACAAATGGTGACAAAATATTAAACAACATATCAAACAATGATTATCATAAAACAAGGAAATGACGTACTGGTCACACAATAACACAATACATTAAAAAGATATATCGCCTTACATTAGTGTCAATCTTAAAGGAAATTTATTAAATGAGTTTAGGACTTTGGACAAGATACATATCACATTCTACCAAAATGGCCCATGTTATTCATCTCCCAGGGCATTGGATAAGCAATGCAACTGTTGAATAACATTTTGTTTTTACCACATGCGGTATAAAATGTTTGGCGGGAAAGCCACTTCACTTGTGGTAAAGAACATTTTATACATACACCTATTTATAATGAGCATTACTAAACCTAATATTTTTGTTATTATTGTAATAAACTATATTAGTTGAATACATTTTTGTGACTTATTATTTATGCATATTAATTAGCAACACTCACTGCCGGTCATATTCTTGCGCATCAAGTGAAAACGTAAACAAAACAACCATAAGAAAATATGTCAATTGGATCGCCCCGGCCAATGTTTTGTATTGCTGTAGAAACAGGTCACACACACTCGTTGTGTCACCTCTATATATTTAACATAACATGGACATGACTATAATATTTTATTTATCCCTGAAAAATAGGTCAAAAACTTTCCAAATTTCTCAAAAAGATAGACTAGCTTTAATTCAACTTTGACTGTATTTTTTTTACTACGGAGACAATCATGTGACGTCATGACATGACATATATATGGCGTAACAACAGTGTTGTTATGTGTGTGTCATATAAAATACATGACATTAGTGACATGATCAATAGGAAAGTTAAGAATATCATGAACATCCAGCAGAGCTGTAATTGTCTGATGATGTTGACAGTACAACACACAATTAAACACATAAAAAATATGCTTTGTATACTACATTGTGTTTGTAAATCAATGAATCTAGACATATCAAATAATTTTGATCACTAGAAAATAAAAAGCAGGTTACAGTGACCTACATTTTATACATCTGTGTAATTCCAATATCCTGGGGGTATAAAATCCATTTACTTTTTTTTATATATATATTTTTTTTTCATATTTTTTTTTTTTTGAGAAACTATTCAATTTGACTACCTACCTCAGGTTAAAATCTTTTACAAAATCCGCAGAGATTGTAAACGTGAGGTTTTGTTTTGAGAAAGTAGATACATCCACAAACACAGTCTGGTTTTTTTCCGTGGAGTTCCTGTGGACGGCATCAACTGGACAAAGGTTACGGCTGACCATGTTGTACGTGTAGCTGCAAGAAAAGATATTTCTTATAAAAGTACAACATCAAGTCATGAAATGTATGAATAACAAGACCCACTTATTCAATTAACCTGAGGTCATAAGCTCAAATCTATTCTAAATATTACTGTATGACAAAATAAAAAAGGGCAATGATTGATCCAGTTCGTTAAATGTACCCAAAGTGCTTCTTATAATAAGAGGCCTAATGGACCTGTAATTTCTAAACATTTCAAAACAGACAATGTTGTTGCAAGAGTTAATTTCTATATTTAAAAAACATTCACCACAGCATGCTACTGGCCAAATATGACCATTGGCCTTTTCTTTTTAAAGAAGAAGCTTACTTCATTTGAAAAGAAAAGAAGTTGACATCTAATTATGTAGATAAAAAGATGGACAGACAGACAGACAGGCAATGCAGTAGTGGTATAAATTTACAACTCACACATATTCCAAGTACATAGGCACTCGCCATGACAGAATGCCCTGTTGTTGACGTACGACGAACAGGACAGGGTTGTTGGTGTCAACTTCCTTGATTTTGGGAAGTGACACTGTCACTCTAACAGCTGTTGTCTGTAATGATAAGGTCTGGTATTATTGTATGTATTAATAAGAACTTGTATTATTTTCTTTTTATCATGAAAACATAAGCATATTCTACTTTATCAAATTAATTACCTCCTATTTTAAAGAGTTCTACACAAAGAATAATGAACTTTAATTGAGACTTGATTCTAGACATAATGGATGATACATTTTAATGGTGTTACATTAACACTATTCCAAAACAGAGCTGGCTAAAAGGGAAAAGTTAATTTTTTCTATCTTATCTGGAATCATGTTATTGTTGTATGGACTGGTAAAATTTATCTATTACACTGTAGGTAGGATGTAATTTAACCTCACTGAAGCATTTTAAGGGAGGTAACCCCCTCTTTATAGTTTTAACTGTTTTTGAAAGGCAATTTTAAAACCTGTAATAAGATGTTGAAATGTTTGTTCACAACAATTTTAAAAAGTGTATATAAACTAAGCAGTGTGTGCAGCTATATATAGCAATACTAACCATTCATGGGTGACAAGTATCAATATGCGAGAGTTCCAGGAAAGGATCAGACTTCGTAAACTTTCCTACTTCCACAATTAAAATATTAAGCTAAAATAACATATATTGATTTTAATATTTTTCAATTTAAAAAACATTATCTTTGAATCAATATTTCATTTTTGTAAGTTGTTCTTCATCTGAATTAAAAAAAAAGTTATTAGATTTCTTTGGTATAATTTTTTCAATTTAGAATATTTTGTACATAGAAGTACAGACAAATATATTTCTTTGTTCAGATCAGATACTGAATTCATATAGGAAAGTGTATATGAAAATAGTGGATGCAAGTCTTGGATTTCCTCAATTTGGGAAGGGGGAATATCTGTTAGTAAAAAGATGATGGTTTTATCTACTTGTAGGTGAGGACTTAGTGGCTTTTAGCTGGCTCAATAATATTGTGCGGGTATATACAAAATCTTTACAAACATTCTGTACATGTATACAGTCAATTAGTGATACATATCACTTGATTACAACATTACAACCCTCACATTATACTTTTAATGAAAATATTCAAGATTCAAATACCAATTTGTTAACAGAACGCAAAAATAAGAAAAAACTCACAGCATCAATATACATATAGATATTCTCAAGAGTTTAAAAGCAAAATCTTAGTAGACCCAAAAATATAAGTTCTTTATTCCTGATGGTAGAAATTTATGTTATTTTCATGGATATGAGGACTTGAGAACACAGCACATAACATTTGTACTTACATGGTAAATCTCCTGTGAAAACACAACCAAAACAAAGACATGCAAACTAAAATTGAAACAGAAAGTAGAATATAACAAAGGAGGAAAAGTTGTGTAGGGGTTTAAGGGGCTATTGAATTCCACCTTTATGCACCTAGAGAACAGCCACAGGGCTTAAATTGGTGCCTTTAATTTTGTAGCTATGATATAACTGTAATATTGTAAAAACCTGTATAAATATGTATGTATATTGTGTATACTTTTATGTATTATATTTAATTTCTGCGAATCTTGGAAATAAGTTGAGTGAAATTAATGAAATATTGTTAAAATGTTGTTAACTAACTCACTGACTGACAAATTTACTATTCACTATTTTAAATAATTGACTCCCATGTATAAGATAAGATAAGTTTATTTCCGGTTCAGGACGTGCTTGAGTCCTCTATACCAGACCAAATGAAGTATCATATTTAGTCTTAAGCTTGTGGCTAAAACTTAATGTTTTCAATTCCAATGGCAATTCTCCTATGTCATTAGCTTTATTCAGCACAGAAATTTAGGAATGCTTAAGGAAATAACAAATTTGACAAAACCAATATTTTTTTTCTACCAGCATTTTACAGCAACGAGGGCTTAAAATATTAATTCAAGTGAAACGTGTGTTAAAAGATAAGAAGCTAAGGTGTAGACAGATACCAGATTTACATGACATATGTTTACTTTGTTGATTCTATTTTTACAAAAAAATGTCAACTACAGATCTTAAGTATTCCCAGTGTGGTCCAAATAATTTACTTGTCAACATGCATGTTTCAACTTGGGAGCAAAGGGTTGAATTGACGTGTAGCGTATTTGTTATGAGTAATTCTACTGGTGTTTGAGATTCTGAGTGTAAACTTTGAAACACTTAAATATATCATATGAAAATAATCGTTAAGTAATAACATAAATGATTATATGACATACATATTTCCAGATTTCGAACATCTGAGATTGTTTTAAAATATAACTCAAATTAACATAATTTTCTTCCGTGATCGACATGCACTTACGATTAACAGTGTATCTTTGTTAGCGGAACATTTTCTGATTACCTTATTAATGTTCTCTTGGTAGGAATATTTAAATATCACTTCTCTATCCACATTTGTGATGTCGCGGTAAGTGGTGTTGAAGTTGGCTGGAATCACTTCGGTCTTCTCGTCAAAAAGTTTATTCTCCAAGTCTCTGTCATCATTTCTTATTGGATGAGATTGTTTATAATTATTAACTGTTCCATATACTTGGTATATAGATGCGTACATCATAAATAAAAAATAAATATCAGTACAGAATCTCATATTTGACGTCGTCGGTGAACCTTCTAAAGACGGATTATTTTGGCATCAACTTTCGCTTTCGAAGTCACGTGGATTTCTTTCGGAATATTTTTATATTGATAAGAGATATTCCGAAAAAAGTCCGCCCAACCGGAAGTTAATTACTTATATCTGAGTCTCATTTGGGTTTGTTTCGGAAATAATACATCATTACGTTCGTCATTTCTGTTAAATAAAGGAAATCAATATACACGTAACTTTAAGGATGATATCGATACTAATTAAGTCACATACTGATCACACTTATAGAGTGCTGTGTGCAAATACCTTTACCATTTAGCGCTCTGTGTTTTTACGAATTTGAGCGTCTGAAAGACGCTGATGTTATTTACAAGAAAAGCGACAATGGCTTCCGCTGCTGTTAGTGCTTTCTAAATTAGTGTGCATGTGTTAACCACAAACATCTTAACATATTTATGGTAAGTGCAAATAGGTAACTAATTCAAAGAAGTAAAAATGTTCCATTTTTAATGCATTTAATAGAAACCGGCGAGGCTATGTACAGGTAAAGTGCTGCTGTCAAAAATTGTAACATTTTCTCAGCGGACGAAGTTTGTGTACTAATAAGGTTTATTAGACAGCGTTACTACCACAGCGCATGAAAAGTGTAATCCCTGCCCCCATTTCACATTTAACGGGGTAATTGACAGACGAGTTGAGTTGTTTCTCTTAATTAATTAAGGTTCAACTTCAAAAACAGTAGTCGTTAGACCTGGCAAATGTGGCTCTAAGGGAGTAACTTTAGCAATAGACAAATGTGACAATTATACATATATAGGATCCAAGGGCAGGTGTGAATATTTTAATTATATCTTGTACTGATTATCATGTGGATGTCGAAAATTGAACGACGAATCCAGTGAGTTGAAACGTGGTTTTGCGTTGAATTTCATTATACAGAATTTTTATTAGGATGAGACAATCTTATTTGTACATCAATATTAAATAGTGCAAAGTAGTATGCGATAAATTGATGTGCTCCTTGCAACCCTTTATCCTAATGATCCAATAGTGAGACAGGATATTTCCTTTTCCCATTATGTGTGGATTGAGACTTAATATGACTGTGGATTAATGTTAGTGTTTTTAAAATATAAACCTTAGATATTTTACAACAAAGATGTTATTTCAGCTTATATTAATCACTTTTGTTGGCCCGGATGGAAGTGTGCGAGAGGTCTTACTTTGGGAGGCAACCAGAGTACTTTTTCATGTGTGTTCCAGGAATCAAACCCCTGATGGCTAGGTGAAAGGCAAATGTGTTATCACTCTGCCACCTGACCACCATAATGTTTGTTAAAATTCTATGAATCTTACAATTACCGAGATAGTCTTGATGTGATTATCTTATCAAAATGTGGAATAATGTTCTTCTTTGACAAAACACATGCTAACAACATCCTGTGGTTGATACATATATGTAACATGTAGGGGGTAGCTCATCCTATCAGTTGTTCCTGGTGTATTTGAAAGATCCGAGATTTCACCTAATTTGCAATGGTATCAATAAAATTTACAATGATTATGTTATTTAACGAAAGGCTTCTTGTCTTAGCGCAACATATAACAAGCAATTACTACTGGCTACATGCCACAGCGTGACACACATACATAAGTACATGTATTACACACTTGCTACCTGTAAGTGTGCCATACACATATAATAAATACAATGCACTGGTGTGACAGCCACCTCCCATACTGCTGCAGTTGCACTACATATATTCTACATTTGTGCAGCGGATCTAACCACCTCTTTATGTAACCGAATAAGCAAATGGAAATCTTATACAAACTTCCCCTAACCCTCATTCATGGTTAGACTCTACTATAATGTCTTTAGAAGCGTCCTCTTCCATGGTCTTAAAGCAATTCTCATACCTGGTTGTTTGTTGTTGTTTGACAGTTTTCCATTTCCGCGACCCTTGTCCAGGTATCATCTCACCGATGATCATCAGTGTTCTGGCAACATGATGGGGTGACATGCATTCCCTTCACTGGGGTGGAACCATCTGTAGCAATGATCGTTCAGTTATACTGGTTTTGGTAGACAGCTCCAGGGCCTTATATTGCCTTATCCTAATTCTAGCAGTTTAAACATGTCCAGATGCTGAAAGGAAGAGTTGGCTGGCCTATCTAGATTTGGTTTATGTTAGGGTAATTTTCATGTCCATATAATGCCTTAAAAAATTGTATAGTCTGACACTATCCCTAGACCCCTGGACCAGCGTTATCGCACCCCCTCTTTTATGAAAAGTTACAGATGGATCTTTCGGCATGCGAGAGTGGAAAATCCTCACACAGGCCACTGTTATTGTCCCATCCAGAGGACTATGGTTAGTGGTCTCTGACTGCTCAGCCTTATATGTGTGTTTGTAACAAATTGTATCGCCCATACTTACAACCAAATAGAACAACATAAACAAATAATAATTTTTATAAATCTAAAAAAATTAATGTGCGTATATACTTACAGACGATTTCTGTTCCCATTATTTGCTTGAAATACAGAGCTGTGGACTCAAGTTGTGTCAGCTGGCAGGCACACAATGTTACAGCAAGATGTAAAAAAAGTCACACCACATCAATGCTATTTTCAGTGACGTGTTTGTAAAATTTAACGCCATCCAGACTATAAATAGCCAAATCTGCCTACGTCTAGCCTGATTTAATTTGCCAATGTTCCAGTACCTGGTTGTTTGTGGTCATGATTAACAGTATATTTTAAGTCATGAAGAAATGGTTACTTTGGGTAGGATTTCATCTTTTACATGTTCTAACGACTCTCTAATAATGATAACTTTTTCACATGTTTTAGATTCAAATTCCTACATCCTGAACTATTGATATGGAACAGAACCATGACCATACTCCTATAAGTCCAGGACATATCAACATGGACCAGAGTGTGGTCACCTCAAGCCTGCCGGAGACCACACACATACATATTGAGCAGGCACAGTCCGGTGCATCGCAGCAACTCGGCCAAATGACGCCACAAATGCAAAATGTAGTGATTCACATGAGTGAAGCAGGAGAGGGTCTCTTTTCACCTGATGGAAATGTTGTCTTTTCAACTCAACAACATCTAGAATCAACAAGCCCAAGTGGTCAATCACCACCTCCAATTTATGTTTCATCGCTGAAACCAATGAATGACAATATAATACAGATTGAGACTGTGACAGATGTTGATAGGTCAGACTCCACGACCAAACAGACTGGAATGATGAGCTGTCTGGTGTGTAGTGATAAGGGGTCTGGCTATCATTATTCTGTTTTCTCCTGTGAAGGGTGTAAGGGATTTTTCAAAAGAACTGTTCAGAAAAACTTATCGTATTCCTGTAAAGATGTTGGCAATTGTAATATTAACAAATTCACACGGAATAACTGCCAGTATTGTAGATTCATGAAGTGTCAGCAAATGGGCATGAAGAGAGAAGGTAAGACATCACAGGTATCATACTGTACATATAACAAGATAGGAACACTCTCAGAATATCATGATTGTGTCAACTTTTAATAAGAAGCATTTCATCCTGTACAACACAAAATATTTTGTAGATAATTTTTCTTTCATGGTTTAAAAGTAACACAATATTTCAAGATATGTGCATGTGGATTATCAAAAATAATTGAAAATTAATGGATTTAGAACATGAAGCTAAATTTGCAAAGATGGTTCATCAGTATAATTTTTTTAATTACTTCATTACAGAATCAGATTCATTGTAATTCTGCAAGAAAGTTCTTAATTAAGGGGTCACAACTATAGGCTTTTAATCAGTGTTTTTCACTAAGTATAAGATAAAATTGTAACAGATTCAAACTTCTAAAAACATAATTTCAAACTTGCTAAAATTTTTAATGCCAGAGAGATTCATGTCCAACAATTTTGCAGTGGACACATGGAACTGATTATCATCATTGATTAAACAGTTATCAGAGCTGTTTCTTATCAGTTATTTAACCTATATAATTTTTACACAGTTCTGAGCTCTCAATATTTATATTTTATTTTCTCGGTTTGTCTTGAACATTAAAGAGAACAAATTTTTGCATGCTATAGAATATTCATTAAATGATGGATATAATACCACAATGTACCACTTAGTTGGCTAGAGAAATCCTCTCATACGATTGGGTGTGACTGGAAGTCTAGCACCTAAGCCAGAGGTCCCAGGGTCAATGTATTTATTGGAGGCTTTGAAAAAGATAATGACCCTGGTTTCTGTCCCACAAAATTTTTAACTTCTTGCATGCACACTACACTGCAGCATAGTTTCATATCATAAATTTTAATGGGTACATAATCTGATTGCAACCCATTTTTAGAACAGTATATAACAGACATGTTATTTTATCTTTCATTGTGGCATCTTTTGATTCAAAAGAAAATATGAAAATCTGGTGTGTGTTAAAACATACTTTCTGTTAAATATTGCCTTGATAGCTGTGCGTGAGGACCGTTCACCAGGAGGAAAACATCGTCACAAACGTCCACGACTTGAGGACATGCAGTCTATTTTTGGTCCAGACGGAGGGCTTAGTATAGTGTCCGACACTGACCGACGCTCGGAGATCTATGAGCAGACTATAGAGGGCCTAATACAGGCTAAGGCTGACTTGATGCCTCACTTTGACGGTAAGAGTCATTTGTGTATATATCAAGCATGATGAAGTATTGCAAATGTAGGGATATTGTTGTCTTAATTTACTGCTAAAAACGGTCTTTCCCCTACTAAGTATTGAATAAAATCGCTGAATATTAGCAAAAGCTTCAGTTCAAGTGAGGATCAAGCATGATGAAGTATTGGTGGTTGCTGATATTTAAACATTCGTAAAATCAGTGCAAAATCAGTGCCTAATTTCTGTTTACTTGAAACCAGTGTTAATAGTGTTATACAGAGTTTTCCATAAGAACCGGTCGCTGGCTAATTTGACCGGCTACTTTGATCATTTGGCCACCTACACCAATCCAGTTCCGTAATAATGTTCCGTACACGACTGCACATACACGGCAGGCCAGCCTCCTACTTTCACTACAAAGCCTACTACTAACAAAATTATGGAAAACCCTGGTTACAGATATGTCTGTTTATGTTGTCTTTTCTTTTGTAGGTGCTACTGGTCTGCAGAGTATGGGAATTAATGAGATGATGCAGTTTGGCTATGCTGAACTTAAGTTTATCATTGATTGGGCAAAGAAAGTACCAGGTATGTAGGAAAGTTTACATATGTGTATTGAAATGTAGAAAAAACTTTCCATGATTACGACGTAATTTAAGAAATATACAAAACAGGTCTTTTTACAATTTCTTTCTTAACATTTGCATGGCATTTCCTACGAACCTTCAACAAGATGGATATGTATTTTACATTGTATTTGCCATAAATCATGTGACCATACATTATGACATCATAATTCTGGAATCACTGTGGAGCATGATTTTCAATTCTTCCTTTCTTTTTCGAAAATCCCACTGAAACTCTCAGAGTGTGCTATATTACTTAATATTTACACTTACTGTTGTAATTATCTTAATAACCTTTGTAATTCCCAATTTTATTATTCATGGATATTGATAGTCTCTCTGGTATACATAGTTATGTGATGTTCTATCACACTATGGGTTTGAATATTGCATGGTTTTAAATGCCTCTGCAAAAAGAAATGCATTTGAAATTTGGTCCATATGCAATTCTTTGCCATACTCTTGAGGATTTCTCTCAGGAAATCTCAGTTAACCAAATGTTAGAATAGTAAGTGACATATGAATATATATGAATTATCAAAAGTTTATTGTTTGTTCTGTTGCTGTCGTATCAGAAAGACGTGAAAAAGTTAGTGATGGTAGTTTTTAGGCCAGTCAACTGATTTTTTGGGGTTATTTTGTCAGTAAATTTTGGAATTGATAGAAACATAATTGTATTTCAATGAAGAAAAACTGTAAATATAAGGATTAAATTTCTACATCCACTTTCTTTCTTCATGGAATTCCTCCTTAACATTTACAACCAAGTCCGAAGAGTACAGTAATAGTAGAATGATTGAAATGACTATTCCATACAGCGTTTTCCTATTCATTTGGGAATGGACCTTTTTGTCACATTGGGGGTGGGGATGTTCATTTGAGGAGGACATTTGTTATGGAGTAAACGGCATGTATTTCGAAAATCAGAAAGAAAAATAGGATGAGGAAATAAAACATTTTAAAATATAAGGTCTTGATATGGCATTTACAATCGCTATGAATGACACACTTTTGTAAATATCTTATTTGAATGCATATGTAATATGATGTTTGCCTGCAAAGTTATGTCATTTATAGTAACTATAAATGCCAAATCAGAAAAGCTCTTCATTGTATGTTCTTTCTATTCTATAACTAGGATTTCAAGATTTTTGCATTGAGGACCAAATGGCTCTCCTCAAATCATCGTTCATGGAGCTTAACATCCTTCGACTTTCCTTCAGGTAGGTATCATACAAATAATGATGTCAAGGGACATAACTCTTGTTGACTTATGAATTTGTATTAAAAGTGTATCTTTGGTGACATCCAAATTATTATTGCCATACCACACATCCTATATCAGAGCAATACAAGAATACAATATTTTCAAGACCTGTTAGGATAAGGGTTTCTTTGCCCGGATGAATCATTGCTAACACAGGAAACAGAAACACTAGAGGTAGGCAGTTTCAAGGTTGTGTGTCGTTTATTTCAGGTCTATCGATTACGATGAGTCTATCAAGTTCGCGGATGGATTCATACTGCCTGCTGAAGTTGCCAAAGGGATGGGATTTGGTAAGGAACTTGTGACAGCCATCAGTGAATTCAGCAGACGACTTAAGGAGATGGAGATGGACATTGTGGAGTTTAACATCATGAATGCTATTGTTCTCACTTACCCAGGTACTAAAACTATGTTTTAATTTCCAAACCAAAAATGTTTTATTCGATCGGTAGTTTCAAGTATTGACCTATTGCAGTTAACATACTTTATGTGTAGGTCTTAGGTGAACAACTGTGGTGAATGACTCAGTGTTCTCTACCTCGCAGGTTTGTGTTTCTCAGAAAGCTGAGGAACAAATCAAGTGTTCCCTACCTCGCAGGTTTGTGTTTCTCAGAAAGCTGTGTAACAAACCAGTCTGTGCTAAAATTGTTGTGTCCTCAAGCATGACACTCTATCGATGGCATGTAATGGACCTCCTGTATGTTGTTCAGTGAGGTAGTCCTAGACTACTACAAGGTGACCTAGCCTCAAAATGACCCTGGGCAAGAGGATAAACCCAGTAATTCATCATGTAATTCGTACAATCATGTTTTAATCACATCAACAAAGAATTTAGATTTTTTGGTAAGGGGAGTGTACTTACTAGAGTTTACACAAAATCAGGATCATCTATCAGCATTTTTATTGCCATTGTACAGAATTTCTCACAGAATAATTTACTTTTATGCCCTTCTATTTATTTCTTTATTGAGATCCTCTTTTTTCTGGTGTCGTGGGTCGTAAACTCTTAACATTTTCAATTTCTTTGGGAAAAGTACAGAACCAGTTTCAATCAAATTTTATAAAAATCTTCCATAGCTTAAGGTGCACCATAATTGGGGCCTGAGGGATGGGACTAATAAAGGTCAAATTGATTGAAAGTTTAAAAATTGTTTTCTCAAATCCCAGGTATGTTAGAATCAAGTACTCTTCATGGATGGAAAGGCCTTCAGATGCTTTTCCAAAATTGTAAATATCATGACCCCAGAGTGACACATTTCCCCTGGGGAGGGGAAAATCTACTATAGTTTGAAGATTATTTATTTTCTACTGGAAAAAGTTCAAACCTTGATATATTTAAGATGACATTTCAATGAGATGCACATATTTTACCTTGACTGACCACCAGGGGATGATGGGCGGGGCCAGTAGTGGGTCAAAATTACTGAAATTTCAAAAATGTGCATCTGGTCCTTGATGGAAGATTTTATATAAGATAATTCAATTCTTGAGTGAAATTTTTTTTAATTCAAACTTGGTAAGAAGCCAAAACACGGGGCAGCAGTTAATGTAAACACAATTTATATTTGCATTATCTGTACAATATAATTAAAGTTATATTACTTTTTTTAACAATATCATTTCTTTGGCATGTTACAAGAACAATTGTGACTCAGGTGACCATTAAAGCCCTTGAGCTGCTTGTTTTGGGATTTTAGGGGAGGGGATGTATAGTAATACCAAATTGTCTATCCATTCCATTCTTGATTAATGTCATAATTCAAGAACCTCACAACAGATTTAGTTAACATTTTTCTCTGTATCATAATGTCATAAAGGTCATATTTGGAAACTTAAGCAAATTTATCAAACAGTGATACTTATATGCTTGACAGTAGGGGTGGTCCTCTCTGACAAACATTTTATACTTAAATGTATAATTTTGTAGAATTTTAAATCAGTATTTTCATTCCAGACCCAGATGGTCTGAAAGGGTTTGACATCAGTATTTGTATTTCAGACGCTGCTGGCCTGAAAGAAAAGACTAGTATCACTGTGTATCAGACGAAGATGCTGGACGTCTTAAGACACTACATGACGCAAAGTCATCCGGATGATCCAAGGCGATACGGAAAGATGTTGCTACGGTTACCATCACTAAGGACAGTCAGTGCAAAAGCTGCAGAAAGATTCCTATCTCTTACTCTAGATGGCTCAATTCAGCTCAATGACCTTGTTTTGGAAATGATTAATTAACCTAAAAGAAACGCTTTGTTTTAAAATCTATTTTTCACAAAGATGAGCAAAAATAATCATAGCTTTCTATGACTTGAGAAAATCTCTCCTGAGTATGACTGTAGGGCTCTGATAGTGAATGGAAAAAAGTCCTATTAATAACTGATTATCAGATTTTCCAAGTTTTAAGTCACACTTGTTTATAAGCCACAAAGCCAATTTTTCTGTCATTTTTTCCCCATTTGATCCACATATTAACCGGTTATAAACAAATAGGATTCATCTGGAATTAATAGATTGTGTGTCAATTAATTAATAGCAAATTCATTACCAATTACCTTGGTATTTTACATTATGTAATTCTGACTCAAATGCCTGTCTTATCCAGAAAGGCATGTGAAAAATTTTAATATGTTGTCAGTTAATAACTTATAATCCTCGGTATGAAATTTGTTTTCTTTCAAACGCAGGAAAATATTGTAAGGATACAGGCGACTGATTGTGAAATGTTAGGATTGATTGTCAAATATGTACTGATAAGTAAATACTATATTAGTTTGATGTCTGGTGTTTCAGGAGGATTGTGATTTTTGTAGAGTTTGAGTTGTATGATTGATGATTCCTCAATCAGTGTGAGAATGTTCTCCCAAAATACGAAATCATTGATGATTATAACAAAGTTAATCAGTCAACTGGTATTATAAACATGTAAAAATATTTTCCAGAATAAAACATCACTGATGGATCACACAAAAATCAAGCTAGTATTTTATATAATAAATGATTTTAATGTTAAAAGATAAGAATAGACTCGATCAGGTTGATGTTCTTTTCATAATTATAAGCTCAAATTTATATTATCACAGAAGTGGGGTATTTTTTTATAGGAAATTGTTGATTTATATGTTATCACATGTTTGTCTTGTTTCGTGAATGTTACTGATTTTTCAAATGAGTAAAATGGACCTGGCAAATGGATTTGCACTGCCTCTATATAACATAAAACTGAAAGAAATATTATTGTTTTCTTTAACTGTCATTGAGTTACGCTTTGTTGTTGTCTTTTACTGCATTAGTAAGAAATTTTACGTCAGATGAGATTCGGAAGATATTAATATTATAACGGCAGTTTGATTTGGTACATACGTTTAAGGACCTGAAACAGGTTTCTATTTCACAAAAGGTTTATGAAACAGATTTTTAAACAAGTTACGTTTCTGAGGTGACAAGTACTTAGGAAAACATAAAATAACTCTTTTGTTTTGTTTTATTCTTGACATATCAAATTATAAAGCTATGTCCGTCACTTTTTCTCTCTAAATGAAAATTTGAAATAGATATCAATTCACATAATTTCACAGGGTAATTTCATGGTTGTTAGGAACTGGATAATTCTGTCTCACACAGAGTAGAGAAAGACAGTAAGATAGTTTCATCAGTTCATGTGGTGTAACCATGTCGCAAATTGATAATGTCTATTTTATGCCCTTTGTCTGAGACATTAATGATGGTGCAACGATTAAGTTTCACAAAAAAATTACAATTTTGTCTGAGACATTAATGATGGTGCAACGATTAAGTTTCACAAAAAAATTACAATTTATGACTTTTTTTCATTTTTTTGAATATGTGTTAGGTATAACCCTATATGGGTCTTTTTCTTGTATGTTCTTGCTGAAGGAACAGACCCATGTAAGATTCTATTTCTCATTCTGCTAGGACTGATAATCGTTTTTGTTATGAATTATAGAATCATCCCAATTCTAACAGTAATGAGTTGAGCTGCAAATAAGCCCACTGTCCTGGGTATCTTTCTGACTGAATGCAGTGAAATGCTATGATCTCTTTAAAGTTAGTGTTGTGATATTTTGAAGCATTACTCACAGAAAAATCGAAATGCAGCTGTCGCTTAAATGTTGAAACAATCCTGATTCCTGGGTATACATTCAGATAGGAAGCAGTGATTTTCCTGTCTTTTTTATATAGCTGTGATTTTTCTGTCGTTTTCTAAATATAGCTGTTGGAGAATGTTTTAAGTACAAGCTTTATCATATTGCATTTATGCTTTCGAATTTATTGATGTATAAATATTCTATTAAGGCAAAAACTTTCTTTCTAACTAAAGATTGATAATAGTTTAAATTGCACCATTAGAATAAGCGTGAAAGAATCAAAGAACAGAATAGACAAAAAACATCCAAAGTCCCCCAGACATTATGGCATTAACAAGTTTGTGGTTCAGATAAAACATACCCCAAAATATAGCTTATAATCAATAGTCTAAACAGGTAGATAATGGAGAAAGGTTTTAACAGTCCTGAAATTTGCTGAAAATGTGCATAATAATATTGTAATAGCTTTTATTCTATAGACTTATAACAGAAATATGCTGAATAAATATTTAGAAAGATACTAGTGTTTCATATTCTACAGGCAAAAAGGACAGGACCACGGAAAAAACTTAAGAGTTGTCCGAGAAACAGATTTATGCGACTTTGACTGTTTGGTCTGAAGTTTGACTAGGACTGCGAGAATACTTCAAATTAAAGTGTATCTTGAAGTTATATGAATGTGAGATAAGGAGGTTTGATTGTACCTAAAATTGTTGAAACTCTTAAGGTGGAAAATCCTTTGGCGTATGTAGCCACATTTAGTTGTCTTTGAGAAGGAGGGTTCTTATAGAAATTCTCTTTAGTTTTGATTAGTAGGGCATCATGTTATTAAAACTGAGGTGGTGTAAGTAGCTTTCTTCTTTTACAACACTATATTTTATCTTCTCTCGTCTTTTTTTTTTTTTTTTTTGTGAGAAATGAAACTTCTAAAACAAGTAAAACTTTGTCTGGATAAAGATTGATAAATAAGATTTATCTCACAGTATGTGTCACCATTTTGTTTGTGATTACAATGATATGTGTTGGTAGCAGAGACGATGCAGATATTTTGATTAAGAATCAGGTCATCATCTGAAAAGAAATTGTTTTTATGATATCAAACAAAGTTGGACACTTTTGTTTGGAATTTAACTGTAAATAAAAAAAAAACATAAAGCAGGTATTTTGTTTCTCTTCATACTTACCAGTATATGTCAGTTGAAATTTTTTTTTTTAATAAAATAAAAAAAAATTTCTCAGAAAGGAATTATAAGATATTCTACTCTGAGGAAAAAATTATAATGCTGTTATTAATTATTTTGTACAGTGATTAAAGTGTTCTTTCTTCGATGGTTCAGAAAAAAGGCCATAATGGTGAAAATGATGTCTCATTATCAAATAAAATTAATTTGAAATAACCTGATACTGCTAATCTTGTATGAATACTTTCCTATAGTACAGTACATGCTGGGGTCAATATGATCGTGTTAGGTCATTTTGATAAAATTAATGCGTTCACTATTTATATTTTAGACTTGAAAACTTCAAAAGTAAAACAAGACGTAAAGAGATTATAATTTACAGTCAAAAATAAGCAAAAAATATTTGAGAATTTTAAGATATCGTTTGTGAAATGCGTTCTGTGAATTTAAATAATTTGTGAAAGTTTCATAAGGGCTTAAAAATGGAACTTGATATTTTATCATCTATTTCTCATCTGATGTCTAATGGTCCCATCTCCAGATGAAATTATCTTTGTAATATATTTCAACACAATGCTATCCTATCCTATCATAATTTTCTGAAAGTCCTCTGTGATTTATTTGGCAGTTGTGAAAAAGGTACTTTTTTTTCAGATGGATGTACAAATGGCATTTCATCTGTTGTCTATTTCTTGAAAAGCAGATGTAGACTTTGGTTGGTCCCTAGAATTAATATTAAACATATAAACAGATTGGTGAAAAAATTTAAAGTTTGTTATCAATATTTCTTGAAATGTAGTGGATGGAATATAATCAAACTTGACATTTCATCTCATAGTGCCTGATTGTGAATGTTTAATCCTTGGACATATCAGGGAATAAAATGTCCAACAGATGGCCATATTGGATTTTTTAAAATGAGGTTTTCTATTTTTTGAAAAGTAGTGTATGAACATTTCTCAAATTTCATATGTAGACTTCCTTCAATCTGGTTGTGCATGCTCAATTTTTTTTAGATTGGACGAAAAACCAATAATGTGGACAGGTGGCCCTATTGGATTTTGGAAGTTGAAGAAGTTGTTATGGCTATATTTGAGAAGTACTGAGTCGATATTTCTCTAATTTCATAGTTAGATCCCCTTTAATCCTTATTTGTGCATGTTCATTTATGGGACTGATTGACAAAAAATGGTAGAGAGGAGGCCATATTGGAATAGGACAGTTAAAGTCGTTTAGCCAGTATCTTGAGAACTTCTGGTTGGATCATTGTGAGATTTGATACACCGGTTCCTACAGGTTCCTAGTTGGGCATATTTTATTTTTGGAAGGGCAAGAAAACGGAGAAAAGAAGAGGAAACTGATAAATAATCGATAAGCATGCGCAATGGTGGATGTAACAACTGACACTGAAAAATAAAAAAAGGATTTTGACAAATGTCATTTCACCTTCAACCCACCAGGCAGCTGCTACTCCACAACAATTTTAACTTAACAGTGTGAAAGGAAAAGACTACATTGTGTTATACATACAAAGAATCACAGACAGTATAGAAGAGAAAAAAATCAACAGACCATATGGACTACTTTTGAAATCAACTATCATTGAAAACTATTAAGGCAAACATTGTTTGATTTATGGGGATTCTGTACGTTCACGTCTGGTTTTTTATATTCGTTTCGACTGATTTTTATTACCCAAGTAGCCTCCTTAACATCACTGACACGTCCTATTAGGATGAAACAGCTGTATGATATAACATCTCTGACGAGTCCTAGAAGGACGAAACAGCTGTATGATGTGGCTGACGAGTCCTAGAAGGACGAAACAGCTATATGATGTAGCATCACTGACGAGTCCTAGAAGGAAGAAACAGCTGTATGATGTAGCCTCACTGACAAGTCCTAGAAGGACGAAATAGCTGTATGATGTGGCTGACGAGTCCTAGAAGGACGAAACAGCTGTATGATGTCACATCACTGACGTATCATGATAGGATGAAACAGTTGTATGATATAACATCACTGACGAGTCCTAGAAGGATCAAAGTGCTGTATAATGTAACATCACTGACAAGTCCTAGAAGGACGAAACAGCTGTATTATGTAACATCACTGACGAGTCCTAGAAGGACGAAACAGCTATGTGATGTAGCATCACTGACGAGTCCTAGAAGGACGAAACAGCTGTATGATGTAGCATCACTGACACGTCCTAAAAGGATGAAACAGCTGTATGATGTAACATCACTGACAAGTCTTAGAAGGACGAAACAGCTGTATGATGTAGCATCACTGACGAGTCCTAGAAGGATAAAACAGCTGTATGATGTAGCATCAATGACGGGTCCTAGAAGGACGAAACAGCTGTATGATGTAGCATCACTGACGAGTCCTAGAAGGATAAAACAGCTGTATGAAGCACTTAATTTCTTTTGGTTGCATTTTTGTGCAGTTCTTGGTGATATCTTATTGATTTTTTTTCATTTTTTTTTATTTGTTAATTATACTACCACTTTGCATCATATTTATTGTACTTAAACACACTGCTTATATAAGGGACCCAGTTACTGGACATGACCTGTGACTCATGAATGCTTCATAAGGATAACCAAGGTCAAATACCAGTGATTCTCTGGCCAAGTCCCTGACATGCCGTTTTGAAATCTGTTTCCGGCAGATATTAGAACCTTATTATCGTATCTATATTTCTAAAACAAGTAGAAGTTTGGACTATCACATGCTATTTATAGTAAGCTCGTGCGATCCTTATCGTGCCGTATGTGCTATTTTTGTGTGTATGACTACATTCTCTCGTCCTATCTCAAATTAAAGTAACCTTCAGATCAAATAATGGAATTTTGCGCTTTGGTCCGTGTTAAGTTTGGATTGTGTGATAAATCATTTGAGACGCTAATCTATGAAATAGCCAAGTAATAACATATATATTGTACAAAAGACGCAGGTGAACACACATCTTAATGCAAATTTCGAGTTTGATAAACTAAGCCAAGCAATGAATGAGCTCACATCTTACCGCTGTTTCGTCATACAGCTGTTCCCTGGCGTCCTCCTATGACTCGTCAGTGATGTTACATCATACAGCTGTTTCGTCCTTCTATGACTCGTCAGTGATGCTACATCATACCGCTGTTTCGTCCTTCTGGTACTCGTCAGGGATGCTACATCATACCGCTGTTTCGTCCTTCTAGGACTCGTCAGGAATGCTACACCATACCGCTGTTTCGTCCTTCTGGGACTCGTCAGGGATGCTAAGAGCCTACATTTCAAAAGCGAGGAGGCGACAGAGAAAAACAAGATTTATTGGAACAAAAATGTTAAAATCCAGATAGAGAGGTGCAGTGTTCATGACAAATTCTCGAAATATTCATATTTCTGACAGTTTCAAAAGAACGTCTACTACATGTTTATATTATGAACCGTGCCACTATTCGAATTTATTAAAAAAAAACATAAGTCGTGATCTGTTGCATTACAATTAATAATCAAACTGAAACGTCTTGAAAATGTCCTGGTGTCAGTAAATAATTGTACAATTTTTTTTTATACATTTAAGGTAACAATCAGGAATTTGAATGAGACAAAAATTCCTATCGATATCGGACGGGCTACGTTTACTATATTTATTAACTTATTTTATATAAATGTATTCATAATATTCATTACGACATATTTTCTCCTTTTTTTCTTGAAAAGTTCGTTAACTTGCTAATACGGTGATTACTGCGCGTTGATCGTAGGAAATGCTGACTTTCACAGATATAGCTTTGTGTACTTAAATGCAATTTTTAAAATAAAGAAACGACTTAGAAAAAAAGTTTTAAAAACAAAAAACCTGAAACAAAAAACAAAAAAAAAAACCAAAAAACTGGGTGGTGTATTTGGAAATTTTTCGCAAAATTGTACTTTTCCAAAATAAACCGATATCCGGTAATTTGTGATAAAGAAGAATTTTCACAGAGTTACCGACTTCAAACAAAGCCTTCATCAGGCGCATTCAATCTGGTTAAATTACCATAAAACATTCAACGGATTAAAAAGTCATAATATATTACATGATGCCTAAATGATAGTATACAATCTAATTCATACTGGGCTTTGATAAGGCTTAAAATACCACATCATTACAATGTATTTTTACCTTCAGAAAGATAAAATACACATGGTTTCTTACTATCGAAAATATTGAGAAATTCTCAACTGTCTTTATCGAAATTACGGTTACTTTCAAAAGTTCAGAAGTTAAAACTTTAATTAAAACGAATTTCAATTTGGTGAAATCAACATATTTGCCGATATATTTTAAAGCTATTGAGG